CAGTATTGACTGCACACGGCGTTGTGATTACAAGGTTTGGCGGCTTGTAAACAACACACCGGGGGAAAAGAGGCGTCTTATGCTATATTTGAGGTGGTGGACAGATCTGAAATCGGGATTTAGCGTTGCAGAAGACTGTTTCAAGTCGAGAAATTGGTAGCAGTGCACTCTGCCACCAATGTCAATCGCAGACGGCGTAAATTTTAAAAGGCGGCCAATGTGGTAAAAATGAAACCGCACAAAACGACAGGCTACTTCGTCTGACCTCGGGTTCTACCTTGGCCTCGCCTTTGTTTTCGTAGAGATGGCTTGGTGGCGTTTCGGCGAAGGCACTCTGGAAGCTTTAGCTTTGCGTTGGGTGGCGCCTGTCAGAGAAGCGAGCGCGAGTCCTCAGACTGCGCAAGAACTATACAGCGAGCTGTGCCTCTTTCGTTGTAGCTTCTGGACCGATTTGAATGAGGGGAAAAGAAAGAACGAGGGGGGAGGTGGGTAGGTACGGTCGATCGACTGACGACACGATGCTGTTTTGGTCGAACTCGACTTGTTGGAGCTCAGATAGCTTGCGCGGTATGAACTCTAGATAGCTCTGGCTAGTCTCGGGTGGACAATAGTGTAGGAGGATGGGCGTTCCAGAAGTTGCAGGAGCACTTGGTAAGAAAAATAAGATTCACCGGACTGTGTTGGAATAGCAAATCATCCAAAAGGGAGGTCGAAAGCCGACATGGTGACGTGCCAAGAGGAGGGCCAAGTTCTTATACAAACCGCACTCTCTCCCTCCGCCACTGCCGTTGCCGCTGCCGCTGCCGCTGCCGCTGCTATGGCACCATGGCATTGCAATTGGCATGGGCATTGGCATTGACGTCGTTTCGGTGCGATGGGCTTGTTTCGGCGATGGCATATGGCTGGGCGGGCATGGAGGCATGTCTGTTTCGATCCATGGGGAATCGAAGCTCCTATGATCGAGAATTGAGTGAGGAGATCGATCTCAAGGCATGCCCACCTTTGATGCAAGCCTGACGCAAACCTGGCGCAAGCCAGGTGGCTTGCTAGCGTGCACAAATAGCTCAGGTGGGCCCATTTGTATATCTGTACCTTGCTAATGCCAACTTTCTGCATCTTTCGGGCTCCACTTTGAAGTACAATTGCACTTTCCCTTTTTCCCTCTTTCGCTCCCGATGTCGACTGGTTTCTTTGCCCTCCATATCACGGCTAATCCTCTTTCAGCGAGCTTCAGGCGGTCCGCCTTATCCGTATCCGCTAGTGAGTTTTGTGAGCCGCTACAGGCATCGCTTCTCCTGCAGTCCATCAACAGTCTCGGAAGGGTTGAAGTTAAAAACTGTCGAAGGCGGAGGATAGCCAAGTTGGCACGCAAAAGGCCATATTAGCCGGTACGGAGTACGGAGTACATGTACTCCGTCCCTTGGGATTGCAATCCAATGGGCAAGGGGGACGTGCCGCCTGACAACTCCTTGGACCAACGATCAACGTGCAGCTGGCGATGCGCAGCTCGAGTGCCAAGGTAGGAAACGTGTCGTGGACGGCCTGATATCTTGATCGAGATGCCGGGCGCATCAGGAATGCACTTTGGCCATGTTTTTCCGGTTTTACTGTGTCCAACAGGGCTCCTCTGTGACGAAGATCAGGCGTCAAGAGTGACAACACTAAGACTACTTTCGAGAGTCCTAGGGTTATAGGTACAAGGATATACAACATAGTTTTGTTTCTTTTAATTTGCTAGTGCGGAGTGTAAGTTCCCATGTCGCAAAATTTCCGTCCCCGTCTATGGGCCTCCTGCCTTTTCCCTGATCTGTCTGGTACTGGCTACAGCCCGCTCCTTCTCTTTGTGGTTTGCACATGTGTCCATTTCCACAAGGGAACATTGAAATTTGCCTGCTGCTCTGCTCATATTAACGCAATCTGCCATATTCAATGTTGGGCGTTCAAGAATCAGCATAAACATTACGTCGGAGAGGTTCAGTTACCGGAGCTCAGACAATCATGTCATCCTGGACGAAGATGCGTATGGCTGCTCCCCTCCACTTGGCCTGCTTCGTGCTTCCGCTTTCAGGTTGACGATCAGAAGACCCTTGGTCCATCTTCCTCGGTGGTCCTTGAGGCAGACCACACCGTCTTCTAAAGTTCCCTACTGGGCTTTCACGGCCAAGGGCAATTAAGCAGGTTTTTATTTATTGTACGGAGTACTTGACATACTACTCTACGGAGTATTAATCGCCCTACCGAGACAACAACACACGCCCACAGCACATCCCTGCACCCTGCCCCAGACTTTCGGGTCCCCCGCCCCTCCCTGGGAATCCCTCCAGGAAACCAGCCACATGCGCGCAAGCCTGGTGCGCTTCTTAGAGGAGTATTTGACGACTAACTTCGTCGTGCGGAGTACTCAAAGCGCAAATAATACCACTGGTTTTCAAACTGAGCAATCACCGTTTCCGAACACCCCTTGCGGACCCTCTGGATCCAAGCACTCAAGCCCAAGGCCAAGTTCATCTACCGAGTGTGCTCTTTTGTCTAGCTGTGGCGCAAAGATGGGGGTGGTGCACTGGTGATCCTCCAACGAAGTTGTCCTTGCTGGTGATGAATGAACAAGGTGTCCGGAGGAAATGGTCCGGACACTTTGCTCCGGCCACTCTTCTCCGCTCCGCAGCCGAGGGGTCAACGGGTCGAAGGGCGGGCACCAAACCAACCAAACAGCCGAACGAAACCATTTGCACCTCATCAGGCGACGATCAAGCGTCCTGGAACCATTTGGCCATCACCATCACCTTCGACACGCGGAGCACGCGGAGCCAACCTACCTAAGTACCTAGTGCGCATGTGCCCTCGGCCGTGCAATCCCCGCCATGCCAGCACCCTCAAAGTGCCTCTACAACGTCGGCAACATTGACGGTACCTGGATGTGTTCTGCAATATGACTGGTCTGACATTTTATTGCGCATCTCGATGCCTCGATTAGTCTCGGATATAACAGCTCTCCCTGCAATTCGACCTCTTTGCTGATTATCTATTCGGCACATTTTGTCCGGCGAAGCAGGCTATGGCGGAAGTTGTGTCGGTCTATCAGCAACATGAAAGCTCACGGAGCACCACTGTTCCACCTCAGTAATCAATCCGTGCCACTTCGCGAAGATCTTAGGAGCGCTATTGCATTGGAACTGAAGCACTCCCTAGATTGCAGACAAGCTTACAGTGGGAGTAGAGCGGCCATCAAGATTCCTCAGGTCATCGAGAATTCATTGTTTCCGTCGCCCGTTAGCTGCGATCCTGGACCGAATACTCGTTCTAGCCCCTGTTAGGCTACGATCCTGTCACCCCGTTTGAACGTTCGCAACACAGCAGAACTTGGATACTAATCAATTCACTCTTAAAAAGCTTGAATAGCGGCCAGGCTATTCGCATTAAGCTGCTATGGGAGCCCACAATATTAAGGCTCCTGTGTCTTTGGCTATATGCTTGCGTGTCCCTAGGTCACTCTATACCACCAGGTGGGCAAATGGTTACTTGTGGCCTTGGTAGGTCGGAGCAGGTTTTCCTACGACAAACCACCGCTGAACCGAGTCGGAGGAATCATTCCTGGAACAAGCCACCTGCCGAGAAATGAGGCAAGCCACATATCCGCAGTTTCTCCTCCCCCTCCCTCTTTGCCTTTTCCTTATCGCCCTTGATGAGATTAAGCATGTCCCGCACGGCCACCTGTAGGGTTGAGTGACGTAAGGTGGCGGCAGCCAGCTTTTTTATTGCACATTCCCATGCCGATCCACGTCGCCTTTTTGTAAGATTTCCATGTTGTCCTTGAGAGGCAAGGCCTTGTTGCGTGTGTGATAAAACCATGCAGTACCGGCGGGAGCAGAACCAACGCCAACACCAACAGTACGGATAAATCCTTGATCGACAGAAACGACGGTGCAGCGGCACCAGCGTTGCTCTCGAACGAAGTCCTCATCAAAACATTTCAAGCGCGCCAGGAACCCCCCTCGAACGGGTCGGTTTCCAGATGGCCCCAGATTATATCGTGGCTCGCATCGACGAGGATCCGGGGTCTGGGCCACCAACGCCCTCGCGAAGAAGTTGTGCACGAGAATGACATCACATCAATCGACCTGAGCAGTGGGGCGCTTTCCGCTCCCACATGTTCCCATCCATCCATGCACGTCCAGGTATAATACCCGATTGGGTGCAAAACTTTCCCGATCACCAAAGTGGCGAGAAGCCATTGCCCGACGCGCAAACCACCCTATTCACCGATCTCCATGTCGCGGGAATGGACATGTTGCTCTTTCCCTCCATCTCAATCGTGCGGTTTGTTTGTCCCGCCGAGAACCCTCGCATTTCCCCTCCCTCTCCACTGGAAAAACGATGGTTACAATCTCGGCTGTACGCAGCCACTTTGGACGTCGGCGACCCTCTTCCTCTGCTGAGAAATGCACACACATACGTCACTTTCAGGTTGACCCCAGGTTTTCCCAGTTTGGCCATTGGCACTCGGACGTGTCTGGTGTTCCGTCACGATCCTCGTCAGCCTCTTACCGTGCTGAAGACATCGTTTTCCATTGTGGGAATCTGTCATTTTCGAGACTCGACCAGCTTTGTCCTTTTTGAGCAGTGCGTCTTCGTCAACGACTGACGGGCATCCTTGATCCCAAATACCGAGACGTGCAAAAAATTGTGGTCAAATTGCACAAATGCTACATGCCACTCTTGACAATCGACACCCTTAGAACACCACCACTACTGTACCCTTCCATGCAATGCAATGTTTCCCTGAAGCAACAGTAACAACCATCTGAATGTACTCAGGTTGAAGGCAAGTATATACTCATTTTACATAAAGTAAGCTACATGATATATTTCCCTCGCCAAGGCACCACGGTTGTACATGAGACGACGCAAAATCATGTCATTTCTGGAGAATTGCACACGTCTCGGTATACTTCTAGCCAACAACGCCATAATCCATAACCTACCTACGCATGGCTGCGCACTCAAAAGAATTTACTCTTAATGCTGCCCATGACCAAATTCCGCTTTTGTTGATTCACAAACTTGGTAACATCATCTGCCCACCCCTGACTCTGCTGCTGCAGCGAGTCCATGCCTTCATTCACAACACCCAACCTTTCTGTCCGCTCATTCACCTGACGGGTCAGATACGCCCCCCAGCTCTCTTGGCTTGCAAGTCCACCTGCGCCAGCACGTCGTTCCGCCGCCGCCGCGTCCTGCATTCTCTTGCTTGGTGGTCTGTCTGGCCCGCCCACAAGAAGGTCCAGGTCCAAGGGCGAAACATACTGCGTGCCAGAGATCCATTGCATGTTGGAAATTGTTGGCCGTGGAGGGCATTGCAGCTCCGGGTTGATCAAGGTATCTGGTGATTGCTGGAGTGGCTTTCCAGTGCCCCAGACATGGATCACGGTCATTTCGCTGGGGCCTGTCCAGCCAAATACATCGCCCGTTTGTGCTACAAACGCTGGCTTGGTTGGGTCAATCATGGAGAGCTGTGCCTGGCCGAGGTCCTTTAGTCCTGGAATAGAGTATGCACGTGCCGTTTGGTCGTCAAAGAAGGCCACAACGGCGAAGCCTTGGAGCTCGAGTTCCGCAACAGAAGCCGCATGACAAACAACATCATCAAAGTCTCGGGATGCGCCTTTTGAATTAGCAGGTCTGAACACCCTGACCTCCTTTTGTGTTACTGCATATCGTGTCAGTTATATCTCGAGCGCTGAGAAGACTTATTCTGCTTACCGGCTACCAGAGCACCATCCACTCGCTTGCCCTCCCTCAAGGAGCCAACAGTAGCAGCACTTGCCAAAGCTGGTTTGCCTGTCTGGGCATTTATAGGGGATAATGAAACTATGGGTCCATCAAAGGCCACGACACCAGCTAGTTGAGCCGTGTAGGCACCGCCGGCGGCGGGAAGTAACTTGAACGTAATCACCTTGCCCAAATTGGTTCCGACGAAGCAGCAGATACTTGAATATTTATCCTCGTCCAACGTCATGACTCCAAACTCAATGACGACAGGCCATTCTTTCTGCGGCTCGTCTCTTGCCTGGTGATGATGGTCGCGTTTGAAGAAAGAGCTTCTCTTCTCTCGCTTGGCAAAATCTGTCATAGGCGCCTGATAAAAGATCTGAGGGCCGCGGAGATCTATGAGTGTCAAGAAGCCTAATTCCGACCCGACAGCCACAAATCCTACATTGGATACTTGAATAGCGGTAATTGGCCCTTGCATCATTTCGTACAGAATGGACGGCTGAAGTCCCTCCTTCAAAGTGGGCTCGGCGCGAGAACTGATATCGGTAAGCCCCTTTGGATTAGGGTCGAGTTGCTTTGGGTTGTCACGTCCGTAGAACCGATTCCCTCCCCATCTGTAGACAATAGCCTCGCCTGTACGTGTGCCAACTGCAAATTCGCCTGTGGCACTAGACATGTTCATTGCGGTAATGTCGATATCATCGTACCGGTCTAAAGAGCGAGCGACATCAATCTGCAGTTGACGGTCGTTCTCAATTTCATCCGCATGACCAGAGTCCCAAATATGGATAGTGCTATCCCCGTGTGCCGCTTGAATAATTGTTCTCTCCTCAAACCGCTTCTTCGGTCTTGGTCCCTTGGCACCGCCCGTAACCAACAGTTCACCTTGGTCTCGTTTCTCCTCCATAGTCAACCATCGCGGACGCTCCAAGCTTGACACATTGACCTTTGTTACGAAAGGGTGGACGAAGAAGGTGGACGGGTGGAGTTGGTTCGTTGGGCTGATTTGATATCCTGATGGGAAGCTCATAGTGATGAGCTCTCCAGATGACACAAGAGCCATAATTGCGATGGGGTCCTGAGCTCCAGCGAAATGAGGAGATGAACGAGGAATGAGGAGAAAGTCCACTGCCTGTGCACCGGGTGGTAGTGATATAGAAATTTGCCGCTTCCCTTTAAAGTAATCCGCGAGGACCTGCCATGATGACGTTGCATACATGGGCGTTATACCTAGTTCAATAAATGTGAAGTTCCTAGGCGAAGTATCAGGAGATTCGCCACCAGCAATGAGCAGTCCAGTATCATCACAGTTTTCCTTGCAGCACCACGCAATCTTGGTATATCGCCCAGACGAGGACGGAGCAGTCGAATTGGGCACGGGCTTCTCAACGCCCGTGTCCTTTAGATTTCTGGCTGTGATGACTCTTTGTTCTCTGTAATCCCACAGGACCAAGCTACCGTCCTCATGTGCTGTAGCGACGAATGTGCCAGAAGGGTGCCAAACCGCGTGTGTCAGTCGAGGCCGGCGCATGGTGTCTACTCCCACGCCATTTCCGCCTGGAGCACCAGCAGGGAGCGTGTACTCTAGAAAGTTGATGGGTTTGTTTTGTTTGAATGAATAGATGACGGCGCCGTGGGAGTATCCGATCATCAATTTGCCCACATCTCGAGGATGCATTGACAGGCATACCAGGGTGGCCGCCCTCGCAGCAGCAGGGTCCTTTTGGTGCCAAAAGTTGGGGAGTCTGAAAGATCTAGTCATGGTTCTTCTGTCAAGGTCATATGCCAGAATATCGCCGTTTTGCAAGCCAATAAAGGCCCAGTCCAGCATGGGATCGGTGATCAAGGCGACGGCAGTGCCAGCAATGACTTGGGCGGCGACTCGAGCGCCCGTGTCCAAGTCCCAGACCCCGAGTTCATTCTTGCTGTCCAGGCTCACCAGTCTGTTGGCACTGAACTGCACAGAATGGAAAGAGGTCGCACGAGGAGGCTGCAGGATCTTTTGGACTCGCCGTTGGCCAAAGACGTATATCTTGCCAGGGCCGAACCTGCTCTCCTTGGTGCCGATGGCGAGAAGTGACTGCACAGGATCATATCCGAGGCATCTGCAACAATTGGACGACAGGGAGTCAGCAGAGTTTTCCGGCAGAAAGGGAGAATGGGAGTCGGAGTCTGGAGAAGACGGCCGGAAGTGGCATGGATGAATATGCCAACGCACCCAATCTGGCTGTTTATGCCGTAGCGAGCCTGTTCATCCGGCATGAACAACTCTGGGCGGATGCTCGCGGACAAATCATTCTGTATGCCGGCCTGCTTGCTGCGCAAAAAGCTGGACATGTTGGCTGGATGGTGTCTCTCGTTTCGGTAGAAGCGAAAGCATACTTTGTACGGGCTCTGGAGTGAAGAGTGAAAGATGATGGCAGGAGGTTGCGACAGGATGGTCCGGTCAGTCGTGGGTTCAAGCTATTATGCGCGGGAAGCTCCCACATGGTGGGGTTCTTGAAGCTGGCTGTGCACAAGTGGCATGTGGTGTGTGTGTGTGTGATGCAGCTGCACTTGGCTCAACCAGACTGTTTGCACATGTTGCACATCCACCTGCACATCTGTACATACATAAGTACATATGTGCATTGCCCTCTCGACCAAACACGTCGTGTGCCAAGAGTGTGACGCTGCGGCCAAGGAAACGTCTTGCTTCCGGAAATCCGAACCGTTGCGCGTGGGATGGCGCAGCATATCTTGATGGATAAAATTCGGTCTGGAGAGAAAACCTGGCTTGGGAGCGCTCTCACGACGACTTGAAGTGTTGACTTGCGGTTGCTGCGGGCAAACAACGAATGTGAAGTCTCATCATCTTGAGAATACATACTCTGTACATGCCATCACAACTAGAATTCGTGCAACCAAGTACAGCGCAGGCCGACGAATGCACCTCGCTTCTCAAGCTCGGGATCTGAGGTACCTGCATGCCACGCTGTATAACAGCATCTTCTGCAACTGTGAGTGTACTTGCCTACGGCCAAATGCTCCCAGTGCCATGTTGCCGCCGAGTGCATGTGTGCTTTTTGTGCCCCTAGGCATCGCCAGGCACCCAAGTACCGAGTAACTGGCGCATGGCATTCATTTGTCCCATCAGCGGTGACCTGGTGACCTAGCCACTCTGAGGTCCGATCGGCGCCAGGCAAGGAGAGCGTGGTGCCAGGCTTTATGTGATGGGCTCCATGGGCAGCCTGTCGGAGAGGATGAGGACGTCAAGAAATGCGGCTTGATGATGCAAGCTTTGAAAACTCGGCAATGGCCACTACTTTGAGGGCTGCTCGTGGACCGCTGTCAATTCGATTCACTGCGAGATGGCACTTGATATTCAACGACTGTGAGAGCGGTACTCATAAACCGACATCTGCAACTCGGATATGTACCTAAGTACTTGCATAGCTCCACCCTGCATTTACTGAGTAACTACTAAGTACGGAGTACGGGGTGCGGCGTACTTGCAACGCATTTCAAACTCGAACAAGCCTTCATCCTGACTGACAATTTCGGTCAAGGGGCAAAAATTGAGCGTTTTTCTGAATGCTCTACACTTTGGATATCAGATAGGCAGGGTCATAGGTCATCATGGAGCAGAACCAGGAGCAGAACCAGTTCCCGTGCAATCAAAGTACACGGATTGAGGGCCAAGGCATCTGCCCATGTGCGCCGACGATTGGCTCCTTAGAATCGGCGCCACGGGGGCAAGATGAGATGAGGTCAAGTGGCGGCGTTGCGGCTAGTCAACCGGTCTCGCAACTCTCCAGTTTTGTCCAGTATTTATTATCATTGCCTGGGCATTTCTTTTAAAGGTCCATTGTCCCCTTGGTCAGAGAGGCTCTGGCGCATCGCACGAGCCGGTTCGATCCTCCACCTCTTTACCTGTCCAGTCTCCCTTGTTCGAATTGCTCTTTCGCGCAGTGCTGCCTGGTCCGATCAAAGCGGTCGCCGCGCCTTGACACATCAATTGATTGACCTTGTCGTTTCTGGCTGCTGCCCTGGCCCCCTGTGGCATCCCGCCTGATCCCGCCTGATCCCGCCTCGCCTCCAGTGTGGCCTCGGCGCCTGCTTCAGCACTGGTCCCAGCCTCCAGGTGCTGTCTCAAGTGCTCGGATTTGAAGCCTCCCAGCCAGCACATGCAGCCTGCTTGCCCGGACCAGCGCCCTGTCGTCTCTCGCCTCAGTGCTCCTGCGCCCCCAACGCCCCCCCAGCGCCTGGCTCGAGTCGCCGGCTTTGGAGCATTAGAACCGGCCAACCGCCGGCACCCAGCTGCCGTGCCGCCACGCAACGCCTCCGTGCCTCGTGCTGCGCCCCGCAGTCCGGACGTCAGAGCACCTTGACCAGACCAGACCAAGACCAGACTTGACCTCGAGACCAGAGATCGTCTTCCAGTGGAGGGGCTCAACCGTGTTTTAGTTTCCTCGGCTCGTCTGCACCGCCAGGCCTTTGATAAATCTACTCGTCACTTTTTGCTGCAGTCTTTTTCTTCTTGTTTCTGCGAACAGCCTGATATCTGCATTTACGCACAGCAACATATACTACTCCCCGTCGACGCCGGTCCGCCACCCACGAGCTTGCTGGATATTCCTCGCATTCCGCTGTTGGCCCTGCATCGCAACCGTCCACCATCTACCGTCCGACACAGCCCATCATCGCCATGTCGTCATCGACAGCCCCCTCTGCGACATCATCGCCGGCGACCGACGCGCCCGACGAACCGCAGACCGACGGCTCCAAGCTGCGAACATTTTTGGGTATTCTTAAAAAGTAAGAGCACCTCTGCGTCAACCGGGCGAGCTCTCGGCGAAGCCTCACCGGCGGCGCTACGCCGTTTCACTTCCACCATCGAGTTCGGCATACCGGCCCCAGCCCGGAGCTTCTTCCTTTGCCCTTTTCACGGCAGCGGAGCAGTGCAAAAAAAGGGCCAGGCTTGCTAACATACTACCTCTTCATAGATTTATAGGCGTTTCCGACCTTGCCTCTGTTCGATTTTCCCTGCCCTCGCAGCTTTTGGAGCCGACCCCGAATCTCGAGTACTGGACCTACCTCGATGCCCCCAATGCCTTTATAGCCATTGGAACCTCGGAGGAACCCCTCGACCGCATGCTGGAAGTCATCCGCTTCTGGCTGACCAAAGACTTGAAATATGCCAAGGGCAAACCTTGCAAACCATATAATTCCTGCTTGGGAGAATTCTTCAGAGTAGGTTACACCGCTACAGGCAAAATGCATGTGGGGTTGTGAGGGGAAGTCGGAGGACCCCAAGAAACGTTGGTTTTGCTAACAGATGGCTTTTTGCACAGTGTAACTGGGAAACGGAAGACAATGCCCCGAGGATCGAGACGGCCGAGCTGAATGGGTGCGTGTCCGGGTCAGAGAAAGGATCCTTGCGTAGCTTGAAAGTGCCCCCCAAGAGCGACAAGAATGAATCCACCGTTTCCCTCTCCGTTCCCAAGCACGGGGCCTCGACGCCGGACAAGAAGCCGATTCGGATTTCATACCTGACCGAACAGACTTCTCACCACCCGCCCGTGAGCGCCTTCCATATTACTTGCCCGGAGAGGGGCCTCACTGCCCGAGGCTTTGATCAAATCAGTGCCAAGTTCACGGGCACCTCGGTCAAGGTGCTTCCGGGAGAGCACAACATGGGCATCTTCATCACGTTGGACAAGCATGGTGGCGAGACGTACCAGCTCACGCACCCGGCTGCACATCTTGGCGGTCTCCTGCGGGGAGCTCTCAGTGTTTCCGTCAGTGAAATGGCTTACATCACATGTCCCGAGACCAAGCTCAAGTGCATCCTCCACTATGTCGAGGAAGGCTGGCTCGGCCGAACCACCAACAAAATCGATGGTGTTGTTTTCCGGTATGATCCCGAAAACGACACCAAGACCCGCGTGCAAGATGTTCCCGACGAGGACATTCTTATTCGTCTGAGTGGTCCATGGCGAGAAAAGGTCGTTTTCTCACTTGGTCCCAAGCCAATGGTAAGCTTCTCCCCCCCAACTCTCATCTAGCACAGTACCCACGCTCTCTCTCTCTCTTTCTATCTCTCTCTCTCTCTCTTCCTCTCATACAAGTCTCTAACTACAAGTCCGCAGAAATCTGTATCCCCAGAGCACCAATACACAATCATAGACATCGCCCCCCTCCACGTCGCCTCCAAAATCCTCCCCCCAGAAGACCAGCAGCTCCCCAACGAGTCTCTCACTCTCTGGGGTGGCGTGACCAAAGCCATCCACGCCAAACAATTCTCCAAAGCCACCGATCTCAAGGTCGAGCTCGAGGAGAAGCAGCGCGAAAAGGCCCGCGAGCGCGAAAAGAACAAGGAGACCTGGCAGCCCGTCTTTTTCGAACACGTCGTCGGCAACGGAGGCAAGCCCGACTTGACCGACAAGGGCAAACAGGTACTAGAGCGAGCGCAACAGGGCGACTGGTCCATGGAGGGTATCTTGTAGCGCGGAGAAGCAAACGACGAATAAGTGGATTTTGGTCTGGTACACAATCATATATACACAACTGCATAGGATTATGGGATATTTATGTTTTGGGAAAGGGGAAGGAGAATGAGAAGGGGGAGGGGGGCAGGGACGCAACGTTGGGGCTGAATCACGCAGAGTATACCCTCATTTTGGTTTGGCGAGATGGCCACCAGACGGTGCTGTTATCTGTGCTTTATTAGCTGCTTATTTACGGAGTCATTCATGAAGGGTATTGATTTGGGTTTAGATGAAACGGGGTGGTGTACGGGACTAGTTCCCTAGCGGACGTATTATAGAATTGCAGGTCCTAGTTGAATGGCCTGGGTTTTCTGAGGCTCGCGGTGATGAGTTGTGTCAATCTGACCGTGACGTATCGGGGCTTACTTGATGGCATGCAAAACCCATCATTTCAGACACCACGAGATGAAGGCTGTATACGACATTAGACTTTGTGTATTCATAATGAGTCCGCTAATTTTTCTGGATTTTTTCCATCCTTATACACGCAGATTACATACGCTGCTAATAATACAACATGAGTGAGGTAAATGGCTCCGGTATCCCCTCCCCCCCTTTTTTTTCAACTGCAGGATACCCAGGCAAGATGGCAAGACATGGCCGAAATTGAACCCATTCCAGCATTTTTTTTCCGTCCGCCTCTTTTTTCTTTTGGTCTTGGCGGAACCCGGTTCCGCCTTTAGAATTACACGAGCTTGCTGCAATGGGGTTGAATTAAGCGTCGACAAAGCCCTTGACGTTGCTCAGCCACCGCAGGTATTCCCTCTGCTCCTTGACGTCGACGTAGTCGGGCACAAACACGGCCATTGCCTGCGTGATGCCCCTCTCCTCAAGGAATCGCTCCATTAGGACCTGCAGATCCTCGTCGAGGCTGCCGAAGGGCGGGCCGGGGTACACGTCTGCGCGCTTCTGCGCGGACTCGGGGCTCTCCACCTTGGCGACCTTGGCGTCCTCGTAGAAGAACATGTTCTCGACGACAATGTTGCCGTCCTGGGCGGTAGCGTCGATGTTGAGAGCGCCAGCGGTCTTGCCAGGCTTCTCGACAACAATGGAGAGGTTGATGGGGGCGGCGGCCTCCTCGTCGAGCTCGTCCATGTCGTCTGTTTCCTCGGCCGCATTGTTGGACTGCTTGCCGGAGGTTTGGGCCGATTCGTCGAACTCATCGTCCTCGAGGGCGGCGTCCTCGGCGTAGGGGTCGTAGCTGGTGATGTCGGCAATGGAGAAGCTAACGGTGATTCTGGAGGCGGGTTAGTTTTCTTGCAATGGTTGAGGTTGATTTGATTGGTGTGACGGGGCAGTAACGTACTTCTCGTTGCCGAATGAGCGAACCAGCTTCACGACTTCCTGGCCCGGAGTGTCAATCAGCTCGAAGGGGCTGTTGTCCAAAAAGTCCTTGATGCTCGCGGGCTGCTGCTCCTGTGCCTTCATATCCTCCTCGATCTGAATCTCGCTTTCCAGCTTAGCAGACAGCTCGTCATCAGTCTCACCGTCGGCGGCACGGCGCCCGACAGTCGTCGAGAAGGTGGCCGCGCGAGCAGGTCGCAAAGCGCTGATAGCTGAGGATTTGGCGAGCATGCTGGGACGGGCTACGCCGGAGCGCAAGGAAGAACTGGCGATACGGGTCATGGCCCGGGGGGCGGATCGCGCAAAGCTTCGAAGAGACAGCATTGTGGCGGCTATTGTGGATGATGGGCTTGGGTGGGAAGCAGGTAGGCAAGAAGAGAAGGATGGAAGTTTGCTCCGAGTCGAAGTTTTGACGTGTGATGCCAAAAGAGCTTGGAAATTTTAGCTGCTGGCGCTATTATGGGGACAGAGCTTGGCGCCAGGGGTCCCATTTGGCGCTGCACGTGACCGACAACGTCTCCCAAGGGTGAGAAATGCTTCGACAATGAAAATACAACCGTGAATTGATGACAATGGTGAGGTGGGGAGTAGATGGCGTGAATCGTTGTCTCTGTGTTTATATTTTATGCATTATTAAACTCATAAACTCATGCGCTCTTTGAGAATAATGGCCAACAGCCCGTCCATTCATGGCCGGAACCAAATCCGAAAATACTTGTGCTCAGATGTAATTTAAACTCCTCCAAACGCCTGGAGGCACTGGCAACGAGGTCTCTCTTATCGAGAGACCCGCCTCTGTGCTGGCCTGTCGCTACCGTCACATCATGATTGACGTGGATCATGAGCTTTGCTCATAGCTCAACAACCTGCTTCCAAATCAGGGCCCTTTTTTCCTCTACTCCAAAACAAAGAGGGCCTCCATCAATAGACGTCCTTATCGACACTACTGGCCACCTGGCCCGTATTGGGTAAATCACGAAGAGAGGCTGCTGTAACTCTGTTGAGCCAGTCATTAATCCTTTCACTCTTTCAAACTGCTTGATCGCATTGGCTGTCTCAGTTGATGCCTTTTGAGGGAAACTCGGCAGATCTGACTTGGCCAGAACTCGACACCCTAATCCAAGGCAGAGTGGTCAGGTATGCCCACGACCCTTCCCACTTCCCCAAGTTCTTTGCGTGCTCGGCAGACATGACATCCGGAATCACTGCATGTCATCAGTATGCACGCCTTGCCAACACAAAAAACAGCAGTAAACTGCAAACCTACCAAATCCAGTCTGGTACTCTTTCTCTAATGAGGCAATCTTGAGCTTAAGTAAATCTTCTCGGGCGGTAGCAGGCCTGCCTAAACGACGAGCCTTTTTGAGGTCATCATATTCCTCGTCATATTGATGAATGAATCTACTCATATTTGGTCAGAAATTACATGCGGCATCAAGAGAAGGATGAGTTTGAGCCAACCTCTTGATAAAAGATTGTACCGTCTCGATATCGAGAGACTGGTTATCCTTCTCGGCGAGACTTTCCTGAAAGAAATTCACTCGATCAACTGGCAGGACCAAAAAAAATAGAAAATTCGGTTAGTGTTTGCTTTCAGATGAAATTACCCTTGAAAATGCTAATCGTACCAATAGGTTGCTCCTTTTTGCTTCTTGCAGCGGCAAGCTTCTCTAGTCTCTGGTCACGCACGCCGGCCTTGTGCAGTCGCAGTGAGTCCCTAGACTTTGCATGCAAGGCATTGACTTCGCCATTTCGCTTCTTGGCGATGTGCTTGCGCGTCTTTTGTAATGAGCTGGGCATACTGGATGAACGAGTTGCTGCGGCAGACCTGTCGAGATAGAATGGTGTCTCGGTAATGGAGACGCCGAAAAAAAAAAAGTCAATATTTTCGGTGACATACAAACGCTAATCCGATCTTGTGGCAGCCGACGCCCCCACCGACCATCCACCACTCAGAAGAGCCGGTTGTGGGCTGTCCACGGGCTTGACATATTTTCCAACTCCAGATTCAGGGCATGTTGGAGGAATTTGTCTTTCATGGATCCTGTAAAATGACATGTTTCATGAAAGACACGGGTAAGAACCTCGCCACTCGGAGACCAAGGAAGCAGCAGACACGCTCACCACGAGGGCCTGAAGAAGCTCTGAGACGAATGTTCAAGATGGGCGGCGCGGGAACTAACCGCTTTAAGCCACGGGAGCCGCCACAAGTTCCTGTGTACATACGGAGAACGGGCTGCTAACTAGTGCGTACTAGTACCACCAGACATTTACTTACGCAGCAGACCAGACGATGCTGCACAGACATGCGTTGACCGGGAGCCCCAGTATCGCGAACCCGCGCCGGGGGCCACGCTCGTTCCGGTGAGCCGTCCATCAACGCGTTCACGCAAACACCAGAGCCGTTTAGCCAGGCTATGTATGGCACGCGTTCAGCCCTCCGCTGATCCTCCGTCTTGGATGGACGAGGTTTCGGCGAGCTGCTGACATGGTGCACCACGTATGGCGGTGTGTTTATGTGTTTAAGTAAGTACGTGAGTATCATGCACTCCGTACTCGGCAAAGCAACGCACTTGACGCATGAAAATAAATAAATAAATAATTGAATTCACTTCAATGGGCCAGGCGCAGCGACGGTAGTGCAGCAACCGCCTGCAACCGCTGCGGAGCACTTGACCACCCTGGCCACCCTGACCACCTGCCGACCGACCCCTGGGCCCTGGTCGTGTCCATGTCTGCAATGTCCTTCAACTCAGCTTCGCCAAACAACGTCCATTGCTTCTTCGTTGCACTTGACTTCCACCTTCAAACCTTGCTGCTCCACCTCGCCGCCTTTCCTGCTTCGAGCTTACATCTTGCCGACGTGTTTCTGCGTGCCTCACCTTCACCATCGCGTCGTCTGACCCGTCTTTCAACCCGCGATCCTCTTCTCAGCTCCTTCTCGGCTCCTTCTCAGCCCCATATCACCGTCGACATCTAACAACAGCATCTCACGCGTTGGGCTGCTGCAGCACCTTCTTGATCACGGCCTGCTACGACATCGACTTCTCCAGCCCCTCTCCTGGCATCCTACGCACTTGTCGACGCCTTGACTACTTAGCCAGCCTGAGTAATACTGCTACGGCATATTCTGTTGATGCCAACTCCTGGCCTTCACTATGGGCGTGTCGGGTATGTACCTACACGAACGCGACTCGTTTTCCCAGAGCTAACCTGAACACAGGGCTTCTACCCCTGCTCAAGTCCATACAACGGCCCACGGAGCTCAAGAAGTGCAGCGGTGACACTCTTGCTGTCGACGCGTATGGATGGCTTCACCGAGCTGCCTACTCATGTGCCGTCGAACTCGGCCGAGGCAAGCCCACCAAACGGTTTGTAGTCACCATTGAGCTCGCCACTTCCCTCAATACTAACCACGACCTTCAGCTATGTAAACGCGGCCATGCACCGCGTCCGAATGCTTCAGCATTTTGGAGTCACCCCGTACATGGTCTTTGATGGCGACTTTCTTCCAAGCAAGGCCGCTACCGAGGATTCGCGTGCCAAGAGGCGAGAGGAAAAGAAGAAGCTCGCAAACGACCTCTTGAAAGCTGGAAAGACGTCGCAGGCTGCTCACGAGTTCCAAAAATGCATCGACGTCACCCCGGAAATGGCATCGACGCTAATCCAAGAGCTGAAGCAAATGGGCATCCCATACGTGGTCGCCCCCTACGAGGCAGACGCCCAGCTTGTCTACTTGGAACGCCAAGGCCTTGTCAATGGCATTATTTCAGACGATTCGGACCTGCTCGTCTTTGGTGCCAAACGTCTTTTGACGAAACTGGATCAGTATGGCAACTGCATTGAGATCAACCGGCGTGATTTCTGTGCTTGTCGCGAGGTATCTCTCACCGGCTGGACTGACGCCGACTTCAGACGAATGGCCATCATGAGCGGCTGTGATTACCTCAACGGTCTGCCAGGCGTCGGCCTAAAGACTGCCTATCGCATGTTACGAAAGTCAAAGTCGCCCGAAGCAGCTGTCCGCTTGCTGCAGTTTGATGGAAAGCGCATATCAGAAAACTATTTGACTCAGTTCTATCAAGCAGAACTAACATTTCTGCATCAATGGGTGTTTTGTCCAAAGAAGACTGAGCTTGTTCATCTGACAGAATTGGACGGTACTCGCACAGCCGACGAAATGCCATTTATTGGTGCTTATGTTGAACCCGAACTTGCAAGGGCCATTGCAAAGGGTGACGTCAACCCCATCACAAAGGCACCCATCGTCATCGCGACAACACCTTCTAAGAGGAGACATTCCCAAACGGCGACCCAAACCCAGCCGCCGAGAAAGCCAATAACATCATACTTCAAAGGACATAGTCGCATACCCATGGGCGAGATGGACCCCAATTGCTTTTCTGTCGACCCTCAACGAGTTGCGCAAATTACTGAAGGAGGGATGGTCCCGCGGGTGTTTCCCTTGCCTCGACCATATGTTGATGACCAAAGCGAAATTACCGGACGCGCCACATCAACTCCGAGACGAACAAGTTCAGCTCCAACTCGAACTTCTCCTAGGCTTCAACGACGGCGAACAGAGCCCATCTCCAACATGCTTGCTCGGGTCGCCAGCAGCCCAGCCACAGCAACAACTAGTGACCCTTCTCTCGCTCCTCCTTTGAAAGCACCACTTTCGGAGCCTCAGGTCAGACCAGTCAAGAAGGCACGTCTATGTGACGAGGGGGACGAAGAGGACGGCTCGCCCAAAAAGAGCAAGTTCTTTCCTCTTCATAAAACCAAGACGAGTCCGGTTAGGGCGAAGAGCGATGCATATCTATTTTCAGATGACTCCATTGAAGAAACCCTTCGGGATCTGCCTGATTTTGAGGGATGGAAACCGTATAACAAACGGGGAAAGCCAATTGCTATCTTTAATGACGATTCACAGGTCTCCTGCCCCGATGAAAGCCAGGTCTCTCTGGATGACAGCCAAAACACTAGTCAGGACACTGAGGTCACCGTTCCGTCAGAGACCCCGGATGACTTGGAGCGCCCTACAAACAGTATGATGCCTCCGCCCAAGTCCACCAAGTCAAAGGCGCAAGCGCTCAAGACTCCATCTCGGGCGCCGAATTTGAGCCGTTTCTCATTTTCATCCAGACCCTCGTCTACACCATCATCGTCCATGTCACATCAGTCGTCGGTTTTCAGCGTGGCATCTACTCCATCGACCGCTCCGTCGACTACTAGTTCTCGGCTTACCCCCTTGCAGAGACTTGGCGCCCAAGCTACCAACTTGATGGCGTCTCCTAAGCCAGCCAGAGCCAAAGCCAACATGGCCAAGGACAGCGTCAAGGGTTTGCCTGTCAACCCGTCATTTGTCCCCTTGCCCAAGGTGGATGTCACAGAGGTTGAAGCCCTGAACAAATCATGTGGAAGCGAAGATCAAATGGTCCCCGACAGCGACGGGGAGAATGAAGATGAGATTGAGCTGCGCCCAAGGAATTTGAATCTGTCTCGATTTGCATTTTCCTGACGCCAGTATCAATGGGCGGTTTCTTCTTCAACTCTGGCGGGTAACGACTTTTTTTCTGTTCATGTGTATATATTCAGCGTGTATGAGCATTTCCAGGCGTTGTTGTTTTGTGTTTGTGTTGACAAGGGAGGGAACAGGTAACCTGTCGGAAGTACTTGTTGGCGTTTTGGCATTGCCGGTACGAAATGGGTTGTCTTGATTGTGACAAGGAAGGCGTATGGACTGAGTACAAATACCAGGCATGAGAGGAATTATAACAGAATTGTGGACTAGTCATAATGAGTCGGTAGAGGTGGGGAAATTCAGGTTTATGTCATTGCCAAAATTGTTTACATGTGACGAATATTATGCCCGTTGTTTTCCCTTGTCTTAACCCGCGATAATTGCAATAAGTCCTCAAGGATATGCGAGGGTCATTGGTGGTTAGCTGGCAATATCTGAATTATTTAGGCCCCTATCACGACAAATCCGATTCAAGTCTGGTTTCCACATGCCCGATCAGCAATTCAAGATCATCAGAATCAATTTATAAAAGTCCGTATTTGTATCTACCACGTGCGCCCAACACGCCTATGGATGCTTAAAGTCCTCTTCGTCCATCCTTTCAGACACGCCCCGTTTGCGTATGAGTGGTCGGTCTGACATGTCAAGATAAATAAAAAAAACGAAAATGACCCAACACGAGGGGGGGAGAGGGAGGGGGAAATACAAAATTCCCAACAACGCCTGTTCCATGCCAAGACTAGCACAGGTCAAAAAATAAATAAACAAATAAAAAAAAAGTAAAATAAAACCTGAGGCCCTTAAAGTGCTGTGGTGTAAAGCAGTGTAGTGTAGCTTATGTATGCCACTCCCCGGCTTGCATGCAGCGTTCTTCCTAGTCATGATGTCGTTAATAAGAAACAAAGCAATCTATGATTGTATTTCGTAGTGCGCGCGGTTGCAGTCACGCGAAGGCCCGAATTCATCGTTCTCTGCCAAATTCGTCTCCTAGTCTCCTTAGCGGCGAGCAGATGCGACTGAGGGAGCGGTAAGGTCCGCGTTGAAGGTCCATTTTGCTACACTGACGTTAGTTGTGTAAGTTTTATTTGATGGGCGTGTGAGGAAATGTGAGGGGTTTTTACATTTTGCGAGGTTCTCGGCAGTGTCCTCGAGTAAAATGACACGACGCTTGTTGCAGTATGATGTCTTGTCCATAATGTCGACCTTGAGCTTTGAATCAGATAGTTCCACAATCGGCTTCTCAAACATCTCAGACAAGTTCTCCACAGCCATTTCCAAATCCTTTTGGTTGTCCTCAAAGATTTCCGTCAGATTGTTTCTGGCCAGGTAGAATGCAAAGGCATACGTCCACTTAAGCGTCTGTCGGCAAGTTTGGAGAGCTTGCGAAGCAGAGTTGAGGTACTGTACTTCAATCCACGACATGCCCGACGTAGTTTGCAGCTGTACCATTTTCTTCTCCGTCTTCTGCGCAATGTCCTTGTCCAGCCTTGCAGACTGTTCATGGTTGGCATAACGATTGTAGTAGTGCAAGTAGCGTTCCAAGGATGTCCTTGACTTGGCCTGCGCATCTCTCGCCTCTGAGCCGCTCTTCTCTTCGTATCTGTTGCAATTGTACCAGCTGGTGCCATGCTCTGACCACAGCCCCATGCACATCCAACAAAACTCATATTTGCACTTTCTACATGTCATGTGGTTGCATCCGCCGTTCTTTTCAATCGTTGAACTGCATTTGGGACACTCCTTTGTGTTTGCCGAGATCCAATTTGCGGTTTCTGAGTCATCGGCACATTTTTTCAGCCACCTCTTGACAAGCTCGCAAGGTGCGGGTTGGTGATCGGCGTTTGGACAGCCAAAGCAGAATCTGTAGCCGCACAGGCACTCCACGGAGGGAACAATCTTGTCCAAATCCTTCCTCTTGATGCCGCACTCAACAACATTCGGACAGTCGGGAGCTGGGCACCATTTGAAAATGTCTTTGTCCTCGACGTAGGTCCGGTTTAGTAACTCACGATACCGACCAGTCAGCTCAGGCGTGACGAGCAAGTCCAGCGATCGAGAGTCGAGAATGCGACCACAGCCATCGGCGGGACACTGAATTCTAGCGGCCTCACCTTCACCCTTGATCTTCTGGGTCAGGTATTGTCGGTAACAATCAACGCAGTACCTATGTCCACACTTCATTGCAAAAGTCTGCAGACCATCTTCGTCTTCACAGCAAATGTCACACACGAAGCCAGGAACCGCCTCCAGCTTTGGCAAGGCAGCTGTATTGCTACTTAAGCCCGCAGCTTCGAGGACCTTCTCGGGTCGGTCCATGTAATCTTCAAGTAAACGCTCTTTATTCCATCGGAAATATCGCAGCATAATGGCAGCATCTTCTTTGCGCATGTCCAGAATCATATTCACCTCATTAATCATATCATCTTGTTGATGTTGAATGTCGGAAGGCTTGAGAACTTTGAACGAAACGACATGAGCCGGCTGTTTCGTCTTGGTGATGTCCTTGGAGGTTATTCCAAAGTCGGGATCGGGTTCGTCGAAATCATCTTCAAAATCTGGAGAGAGAAAACTTTTGTCAGCACTGTTTGCTCATTGCGTGCTAGATAAATGGAAAAAAGGAAAAGAAAAAAAACGGATGGGGAGTACAAGCACTGGCGGTTTAACGACAAGGGAAGCGGATGACAAACGCACCATCGGCAGCAGACATCTCATCTCCGCTATATTCTTGCATGCCCTCGGCGTCAGTAGACATGCCTGACACGTATTCATCTTCAGAATCCATGCCAGCGCTAGTGGTGGTGACTGGTGATGGCGGGGCTTCCGGAGGGGAGGCTGCTGAGGTGGCGAGTCTCTTTTGAGTAGATGCGTCTCTGTCTCGGTCTTGAGAAGGAGTCGTCGCCTCAGCAGCCTTTCGCTTCCTCGTTGTTGGAGGAATCGTGGCGGCTCGATATGCAAACGAGGGGGGAAAGGCTCGTCGAAAACGAGAGTTGTTGACGAGCAGAAACGAAGCACGGCGGTTCTATAGCAACGCAGGGCCTTTCGCCGGGATGGATGAAGGGCGTTTGACAACTCTTGATGTCTTCTTGGGCGCTCAAGTGTGATCAGGTGTGCTCAGGTGGGAGAGAGATGGCAGATGACGGATGGTGTCCGATGTCGATGTCTGGTGGGCAAGGGTCAACGCCAAGGGCGATGTGGCGTGCAGACGGAGTTGGGGATTTGAGTCTACAGCAAGAGTATAAATGCCCCCGGAGACAAAGACAGGATTGAATATTGGCGTAGACTGCCTGTTGGGTGTGTCGGTGAAGTCGGATGGAAGGGCACCAGAGCAGCGGGGAAGATGGTTTGATGGAGATCTAATCAACAGAGGCCTAAGCCATGACGGCGGCGAGTTCAGACTCCTGTCGCTACTTAAGACTCTCCGGGACGTGGATGCCTGCCATAGGCGCTAGTGGGTGGTCACTAGTCACTGGTCCGTCGTCGCCACCTGCGATGAGTGGTCAACTGGTCAGTAGTCACCAGTGTTTGGTGCATTTGGTTAGAGGTCACACAATGGCGGGTTAATCTCGGGGCCAGCTGACTCAAGAGTTGCAGATTCCAAATTGGGCTGATTGTCATGCATGCACGCACGAAGCACCACACATATGGATTACCCTAAACACCACAACAGTCCCTGGAGGATAAGCAGCAAAGTCAAAAAGAGGTCGACAGAAAGCACTGCCCAATGTCAAATAAATGAATAAATCTCTTTTTTTTAAAAAAAAAAATAATAATTAATTAATGAATAATAAAGTAAGAATGAAAGGGGGAGGAGGAGGAAGAAGAAGAAGAGGAAAATAGACGCAAAAAAAAAAAAAACAGGAAAGGAACAACGTAATATAGTCACTCTTGATTTTGTTTACACCAAGCGATTTGTCCATCACTCACAAACAACCAAGACTACCTACGGACGTCGTGTTATACCAGCCTGCTTCAATAAAGTCCCAGTCCAAGGCGACTGCCGACCACAACAAACAATGACCAATTCTATCCAACGTGTCCCAAGATCCAACCCCTCCGTCTGCCTCATACAAACGCCCCAAGCCTAGCCAAGAACCTTTTCCGCCATAGAAACTGCAACAAAGTCAGCACCGCATACCACAGCACCCTCATAGTCCCGGGTCGGATAACACATACCGTCAGCACCAGTGCCGTCGGGTTCAATAAACGTCTTGGAGACCTTGCCATTTTCAATCTTTAAAGCATAGCGCTTGCTACGCACGCCTCCAAAGATTGCGGAGCCGTCAAACCCAATGTCTAGTGCCTTGGTGAATTCCGCCGAGGGATCGGCAATGAAGCGAATCTATAACCAGTCAGCTACCTCAAAGCAGTATTGCCGTGCAAAGACGTCGTCGACTGTACACTTACGCCAGTCTCCCCGGCAGGATCAAGCTGCTCGGCCCAAGCCTTCATACTGGTGTCCACCCCAATTAGCCCGGTTTCCCACAAGACAATGAAGGACATGCATTTGAAAAGAAAAATCTGCAGAGTTCTTACACAAACGGGTCGTTGACGGAAACAACAAACACCTGGCCTGCCTCCTTCAACCTCGGGTGGTTGATATACGAAGGAACATGTAAGCTCGAACAGGTACCAGTAAAGGCCCCAGGGACGCCAACAATGTACCCATTAGACGACTTGAACTCCTCGGACAAGTTGACCTTGTTGCCGGGGGAGTTCTCAAAGAGGCCATCAAAGTCGGGCAGTTCATCGCCGGCCTTGACAAAGGCGCGGGGCGTGGTGTGGAAGCTGCGGATGGCGGGCGAGGGACGGGCGAGGGCCACGCGGCGGAAAGAGGCTCGGAAAGCCATCATGTGTTTGTTTGTTTGTTTCCTGGTGATCGGGGGATTTCACGCGGAATAGGAGAACTCAATGGATGCGCCGTGCGAGGTTGGCCCTGACGGTGCTGGAGCTGCTGATGGATGAGGTCCCGGGCTTGAAGCTGGAGCTTGGTTCTCAAGTCAGACAACGAGGCATCGATTGGACGGAGCTCGCACGCGGGCTCAATCGTAATCAATGATTCGCTCCATACGCAGAAACACCTCCACAGCACCTCCTGCATGCACTGCGCTGGTATTCCTTCAACCAGTGTTCCGTCGTCACCCTACTCACTCCATCGTCCATCATGGCAACCCGCGTTCTATATCTAGACATGACCTCGTTGCAGAGTAACCAGTAGCTGGTCTTGGCCCCAACCCAAATTATAGAATCGACCAAACTACTAATATGACATTTGCATAGATGCCTGGATACGAGGTTAATCTCCCCGCTGTTCTGTCCAGTAAAAAACAGGTAACTCAGCATCCACGTCACAAGGACGCTCGTTAACGACAGACAAAGCTCTAGCTCTCCGCGGCCCTGGAGCTAACTCGGATGGAAAATTTCAAGTCGCAAGGGATCAGCTCCTTAGATCCACCCCCTTTCACGTCCTACTCCAGTGTCTCAGATACGTGGAAACTAAGAAGACGGCCAAAAAGAAAGGAAAAGAAGTGAAATCAAACATGTCCGGTGGCTTTCAGGGCCCGTCACTTGGACTGTGCGCAAATTTAGGACGTTTTATCCACGATACCGGGTCGCCTGCGTCCCACCGGCGTCACCGACAGTCCGGTTAAGCCTTGTAATTTCGAGAAGCGTATCCAGGCTGGCGGGATTCAAAGTGACGAACACTGCAATGAGTTCGACTGCTTCAAGTGGTAGTATGGGATGCAATCATTTCTCAACGGCTTACTCGCTGCCCCTGGGTATGTCATGACGTCCCGTAACAGTCTCGCTGGAATAACATCAGTTTTTTTTTTAATCTTAGCCAAACGACTAGGATTTCGTCCGACCTACTCAACATCGATGAAAAGCCGAGATATGCCTTCCCTATTGTGTCGGAAGACGTACGCAGTAACACGCACGGTTTGCGGAGCAGGTGTTGCATTATGACTTTCTTACGTGCCCAAGCAAGAGTTTTGCTGGTCTGAGAACTGTCATTTTCGAAATATTTTTTTCCAACCCACAGCCTTCCTGCTCGCCCGCCAAGCTGCAGCCGCGTACCTAGTGTTGAGTACATAGATGCGTTTGTAATTGGGTGCCCTCGCACTTCCACACTTCTGAATGCTAGAACAACAGTCCTTGAGCACAATTCAACAAGCCCTCAGGCATAGACGCATCAGTATTGTGACATGTACCCAAAAGTTTATCTGTTGGACTTTGCCAAGATCATGATACCACTTGCGGTTGCCGCTTGCCACGTAGTTCAAGTTCTTATCGCTTGGCAGCACAGACAGTCAAATCTCAAATTGCCGGGGCATATCTCCGTGTAAATGTACGACACAACATGCAGCACATTTAATTACCATCGCTGTGGGCCTGACTATAAAGCTCCAACGACAATCCGGAAATTGGGAGGGAGGACGGATTATGTACTTGCTACTCTGCAGGGTTGACATCATCTTGACGTTTACCAATGGATTGCGCTCTTTTGTGTATTTTGTGTAGCGCCAAAAATATTCGGCATTGATTCCTGACTCGTAGTTACAACATGCGTAGGTGACACAGCACGAGATATTCTTGTTCTTACATTGCGCGGACAAGACTTCTTGTCAGCATGAGTCCTGCACTCCTGCCCAATGTTATGCGGAAGTTCACCTATGTATCTGCCTTCGAACACAGTACAGGGTGATATGAAAGATTTCAACACAACTCAAGGAGGCGTAACATGTACTCGTGCCGGCCAATGCTCAGCAAACCACCTCTGTGAGCAGGAAATTGCGGGGTTGATGCATTGAACGCCTCACCGAAATGCTACATGTAATATGTAAATATCAGACCAGCTTATTTTTAGTTGTCGTGAGATTACAATGTGCCGAGACCAGAACAGGGGTACAAGGAATTCCAGTTGGAAAAGTAAGACAGCCACCTACTACTCATGTAGTTATACGCACGGAATTCCGGTATCCTGGATGACGTGGAGATGGCTCTGCCGTTTTGCGGGCTATCGCCCAGAGCAATACTGTCGTATGCCGATTGTAATTTGCGCACTCGTCTGTCCGCACCGAGAACACTCAAGGGCCTGGACAGCGCCGGGCTGGGTGGACTGGCGGCCCAATAGTGGCAACAATCATGAAGTTTGTCGCAAAATATGGGTCAGCGGAGACGGAGATTCGGTAGTAGTATCAGGCAAGATAGAATTCACGCTCGGCCCTGCAACAGTTTGTTGCATAGTCTCGATAGTGTTTCCTGCATGTCATGCATACTCGGTGGACGATGTGGCTGAGTGTTGACAACAAGCATCCCAAAGCAGCAAATATCCACTTGGGAACTTGCCCCCAGGATAATGCTTGAACTGACTAAACGGCCAACCATGAGCATCCAGAAGAAGGCACAAAGAATCAAGCTATACAGGATATGTGTTTGTTACACACTGTATCAATGATACACTGTCACATGCTGCATGCATGCATGTATATATGTACTGTGTGTGACAAAACTGCGGGAAGCCATAACCGTTGATCGTCTTGTTTCAACCTGGACGCAAAGTTGGTATCAACATTTCCACGCATTTGCTGCCCCGTACAGCCTAGGTAGTCGAGACAAATCTGATCGGTTTAGTATACATGACGTCTGGGGGTCTTGATGCCCCTTTTGTAGATGCAGTGATTCGGGATTCTACCGATTGGTGCAGGCTGATACGGTTCTGACATGAACTGAACAGACATGACTTGGGGGGGCTTTTGTTGAGGTTGAGTGCCGTAGTCTGACAAAGCTCGATAAACGCATAAGGAAACACCTGACCGGCTCTAATCCTTGTGGCAAGCCGCGATGGCGTCCACTTTGAGCGACACTTGGGGGCGGAAAAGGGTGAGTCCACAACACCATGCGCATCCTACGGTCGTCTGCTGAGGCAAAAGGGTTCGACGCGTGAAATCCTGCTGTAGGTACTCCGTACTGTAGCACATTAATAAATTGGTGGATCTAGAAAATGGAGGGCTGCGGCCGCGTCTAGTTGTATGGGCACCCCCTTTCCGGGTTTCTGGGGTGGTCGGACGTCGGAAGAGCGCTTGAGCGGCCAGGGGACCGATGTGAATTCCAAGCCGTGCCTCGTGCCTGAGCCGCTCCTGGTCCAGAACAGGAGAGTTGGAGAGATAGCATTCTCGACAGCCGAGACAAATGACAGTCGATGCACAAGTCAGTCAATACATGTATAGCGAACGCCAATGATTAGCTGCGTGATGATGCTGGGAGAAAATGATTGATCGGATCGAAAATTGACAAAAATAATACGGAGTACATATGCACCCTTTTGATCAGTATGGACCATTAAACGCAGGAGGCGAGGCAGGAGCGACTGGGCCATCCTTGGCTCTGCGCGCCTTGTGTGACCCCTGGAGCACCTTCACCTGGTAATCCTCCGTAAAAGGTACCTGGCGAGGTACCCAGGGAGTCCAGACGTCCGGAATTTGACACTTGACACCCAACACCAAGATGCGACAGGCTGTAGCTGTGGCTTGGTTTGAAAGCAAATGCTCTCTGGCACACAAAGGAAGATGGGATGGACGTCATAAGAGCGGTGGCCTTGGAATCAGTGCGTCAGATCGCCCCTGGGTTAGTACGGGTGATAATCTCGTCGTGGGACCAAGCGTCACACCCCTCGGTCTACAATCGAGTAAGTACTCGCGCGAGTGCAAACTTCAGAACGCTGAGCAGAAACGAGGATGCAAAGGACGGCGGGGAGGTCCTCGGGATCCCGGGCTGGACTATTGGCGCGGAAGCACCTTGACTGTCCAGTACTCGGTAAGGAATTAAAGGATAAAAAAAGAAAACATATGAGTACTACTACGATTGACTCCAGACACGGAGACGCCCTAGCTACTACTGTACATACCTACTTAAGTAGGTAGGTCTAAGTACCCAGCACTTAGGTACTTAAGTAGGTTGGTAGCTCGCCACTGCGAACAGCGTACATTTCGCTAAACTGGCTACTGTAGGTACTTAAGGCACTCGGTAGGAATTCGACCCGAAATTCGGCGCCTTTTTAGAAGGCTTGGCCGTGTTGTAGTAAAAGCTGTATTACAATGGTTCTGGAAGAGTATTGGTGTTTTGCATTGCCAACTTTAGAAGTTGGAATACGGAGGGAGGCTCAGCAAGTACGTACTCCGTACCCATCACATCCCAGAGATCAGACGTCAGGACCCACGGGCGGTCCTTCCCACCCCACTCTCCCTCTCTCTTTCCCTCTCCTTGCACGCAACACGTGAGCATTGGGCTGTGCCCCTGTCCCACTTGTCCGTCCTGTCCCTGGCTGGTCCTGACTTGCCCCGACTTGGCCAATTCCAGTGGCCACCGGCCCTTGCTCACTCATATCTGGCGTCCTCGTAAGCCCACGAGTTAACATGCTTGGTCAAGCCAGGCATGTTTGACATGGCAAGTCAAGTTTGGGGCCCCCCTCTCTTCTCGTCCCCCCTCGTCACAATTCCTCGTCCCTCTGTCGTATTGTCCTTGCCAAGTCGTCATTTGTTCCTTGTGGCTAGTGCTAGTAGTAGTACTTGACTCCGTACTAGTACTAGTATTTGGCCTAATCCCAGTCCCAGTCTCCGCCATCTCTTCAACACGCCCCTCGTCTGGTGCACTGGGAATTATCCTTCTCTTTTCTCAAACACATCACCACCGCCTCTGCTTTGCGCAGAAAGCCTCGTCGCAAGTGCATCGTGTTCGACGCTGCACTCTTCCAACGGCCCCTTCGACGGGCAGTAAACCCGCGGTTCTCAAATAGGGGCGCCGATTATCTGATAGCCACGCTTGAACTCTCTCCCCGATCGACTTGCCGACAGCAAAACTACCGAGCCTCAGAATTGATATCCCGTGCCTCCAAGTCCTTACCCAGCCAACCACATGCTTTGTGGACACGGCCTGTTGACTGCATCCTCACGACCGACAAAACCTGAAAAGACGACTGCATTGCATTCTTGCTACATTATTTGCAGTCGCCCAAGCCCTGCTTCGCGCACAGCCGGCAGATACTTGCAGCTCAATACCGATTAGCCCCCAACAATTGGTTCGTCTCTTGGGTTGTGCAACGTACCACCGTCATCCGTCATCCGTCATCCGCACCCGTCGGCCGCCTGCCTTTGCGTCTAGTGCATCTTGCAGCTCGTCTCCTTCCTCCCCAAGCCGATACTACCTGCGACGTTAATTTTATTCTACCCAGATTGAACGAGGCTGCGATTTGGCGTCCTTGTAGCGCTTCTACCTGCCAGACCCGCACCTGTCGCATACAATAAATGACCTCTTATCAAAGCCGACTGTCTTTTTAGCGCACTCGACTCTGCTGTGTTCCACATAGTCTCATTCGGGTCCCTTTGCGAACGCCTAGAGCGCACGACTTAAAATATAGCAAGGGGCCTGGTCTGGTACCCGCGCGCTCCCGCCTAACGCGACATTCCTGAGGAGAAAGAGGCTCATCTCGTTGTTCTTGGATCTTGTCACCAAGCTGCATCTGCCCCGCTCCGCTCATCATGCCCACCATGCTTCAAACTCCATCTCGAGCCTCAACTGCTTCGTCGTCGTCGTTTCAACCCTTGTCGCGCCAGAACACCATGTCGTCCTATGATGGAACACGCTCGGCGCGCCAGTCTAAGCGGTACTCCATGTCCGCGCTGTACATGTCTATGTCAGCAAACGAGGGTGAAATGCAAATTGAGGATGATCTTGCCAAAGGTAGATTCGCGTTGCCGTCAATATGAGAACTCATACTGACTTATCTGTTTTGCAGCCCAGAAAGTACTGCGAGATTTGAAATCAAAGATATCTTCCCAGTCGAAAAAGAATTTTGTTCTTGAAAAGGATGTGCGGTATCTGGATTCAAGAATCGCTCTTCTCATCCAGAACCGAATGGCTCTTGAAGAGGTGAGGACTTCCTACCGCCGGATACCTTCCGTTTCTTGTTGTCTAGTTTGAATGTACTGATTTGACCTGCTGCAGCAAAATGAAGTCGCCAGCCACCTCGAGGATGCTACCGAGGTTCAGGAAGGTGTTTTCCCAAATGATGACAAGACCCAGAAATATGGCAATCTCTTGTTTCTCTTGCAATCTGAGCCCAGGCATATCGCGCATCTGTGCAGACTGGTTTCAATGGCCGAAATAGACTCCCTGCTGCAGACAGTCATGTTCACAATTTACGGAAACCAGTACGAAAGTCGCGAAGAGCATTTGCTTCTAACCATGTTTCAGGTCAGTATTTTCATTCTTAGCCCTGGAATGTAGTCAAGGAACTGGTCAGCTAACCATTAGTACTATAATCAGTCTGTTCTGACATACCAGTTCGATAACACTCCGGATTATTCCTCGTTGCTTCGAGCCAACACACCCGTGTCCCGTATGATGACAACATATACTCGTCGTGGTCCTGGTCAGAGTTTTCTCAAAACTGTGTTAGCCGACAGGATCAACAGCCTCATTGAATTGAAAGACCTGGATCTGGAGATTAACCCCTTGAAGGTTTACGAGCGCATGCTGGAACAGATTGAAGAGGATACTGGCACCCTGCCTGCAAATTTGCCCAAAGGTATCACTGGTGAACAGGCTGCCGAAAATCCCAAAGTCCAGGCCATTATCGAGCCCCGACTCACTATGCTAACGGAAATTGCCAATGGATTTTTGAGTACCATTATCGAAGGCCTGGAAGAGGCTCCTTATGGTATTCGGTGGATTTGCAAGCAAATCAGAAGCTTGACAAAGCGCAAATATCCTGATGCAAACGACCAGGTTATCTGCACTTTGATTGGCGGTTTCTTCTTCCTTAGGTTCATAAACCCAGCCATTGTTACCCCCAAATCGTACATGCTTATTGACGGAACTCCCGCCGAACGGCCGAGACGAACCCTGACCTTGATTGCGAAGATGCTTCAAAATCTTGCGAACAAGCCTTCATACGCCAAGGAACCCTACATGGCAAAGCTTCAACCATTCATCCACCAGAACAAGGACAGAATTAACAAGTTCATGCTGGATCTTTGCGAAGTCAGTGACTTTTACGAGAGTTTGGAAATGGACAACTACGTTGCGCTGTCAAAGAAGGACCTTGAGTTGGATATTACATTGAATGAAATTTACGCCATGCACGGACTTATCGACAAACACTATCAAGAGCTCTGCAAGGATGAAAACTCGCACCTGGCTGTTATTATGTCGGAACTTGGTCCATCTCCAGCTCAAGTACCGCGCAAGGAGAACAGAGTGATCAATTTGCCATTATTTAGCAGATGGGAAACTGCAATTGACGATTTAACCGCAGCGCTTGACATCACACAGGAGGAAGTGTTCTTTATGGAGGCCAAGTCCATCTTTGTGCAGATATTGCGGACCATTCCACAAAGCAGTGCTGTGTTGCGACGGCCATTGCGTTTGGAGCGGGTGGCCGATGCTGCAGCAACGAGCCGTAATGATGCTGTCATGGTTCGCAAAGGCATTAGAGCCATGGAGTTGCTTTCGCAGCTACAGGAACTGGGCGTTATCGACAAGAGCGACCAATTCGATCTATTGCGAGACGAAGTCGAGCAGGAATTGCAGCATCTCGGCTCACTCAAGGAAGGCGTCATTGCTGAGTCGGCGAAGCTAGAAGAGGTATACAAGACGATTCGTGACCACAACACATATTTGGTGGGCCAACTGGAAACATATAAGAGCTATTTGCACAATGTGCGGTCTCAGAGCGAGGGCACAAAGCGGAAGCAGCAGAAGCAGCAGGTGTTAGGACCCTACAAGTTCACGCATCAGCAGCTTGAGAGGGAGGGAGTGATTCAGAAGAGTAATGTTCCGGATAACAGACGGGCCAACATCTACTTCAACTTCACTAGCCCTTTACCAGGTACATTTGTTATTTCGCTCCACTATAAAGGTAAGACATGTGTGATAGCAAACTCTGAGGAAGACCCAATGTGCTAATATGGTCTTGCGTAGGTCGCAACCGGGGTCTTTTGGAACTCGACCTCAAGCTGGACGATTTGCTTGAGATGCAAAAGGATAACCAGGATGAGCTCGATCTGGAGTATGTGCAGTTCAACGTACCCAAGGTGCTTGCCCTGCTCAACAAGCGATTTGCTCGAAAGAAGGGGTGGTAAGGTTACGCCGAGCCTCGTATATTTTCACCAATGTACAACGACTATATCGAAAAGGGCTGTTTGGCGTTTGGGAAAGCACTGATACCATGGAAGTTTCGTTTCTTTTCCTTCATTTTTACATTCGTACAGCCAGTTGGGAGGAAACCCCCCCCTTTTGTGTTTTTTCCCCTTGGTTCTCTTTCCCGTTTTTGCTTGTTGTTCGACGGCCGACGTTAGTATTCCTTTCCCGCTTCCGTATTGCGGCGAGACATATAGCGCTACATTTGCACACTCAGATACTAGGTAATAATTTGGGGAGGATATTTGATATTCTGCTTCGGCCGGTCCGAGGAGACTCTGGTTTTTTTTTTTTTTTTTTTCCGTTGGAACAGTTTCATTGACGGCTCTGGTGGCTTATTTGATATCTGACGGGGGCTTTTGGACCGAGTCGGGAGGATTTACCTTTTGGATGAATTAGTATTGATAAATGAGTAATACATGTATCCTGTTGTGTGATGACATGAACGAGGGCCTGGTGAATCCGTGTGTGTGCATGTGGCTGGTCAAAGTGAGGCGACGCTGAGCTCGCTTCTAGGACCATGGAGAGCAGGCAATGTCGTCAAGCTTCGTTCCTCAAGGCTCCGATCTTGTAACAGATGGGTTCGCCTTGTCCCCCAAACGCGGTTTAGTCTCCCACTTTTGACGCCACGACAGCCTCGCTTTCCCAAAGTTGAGCAGGGTGAAACGTGGCATGGCCGATAAGAATTGACGCCCAATGTTAATTAAGTCGCAGACAAACTCGGCGCCTAGCGGGCGCCACCTCCACGTGCTTATGCGCTGCCATACATACGGATGTCCTCGCTGGGTAACGTCGGCTTGTGGTGGGCGAGGCGCGACGGTGACGTAACTGTAGGTGTGTGAAGCAGGGCTGACGGTTCATGCAAGTCGGGCAGCTGAGTCGAGCTGTTACCGACGTCCTGGGAGGGTGACCGAGCGATTTAGTGCTGATATGGAGGACAGGAGTCAATCAATGAATGTCCTTGGTTCAGCCGCATCATGGCCATGTCACGCACGCCGTGTAAGTGAGGAGTAGGCCAGGTCCCAGGCCGAGGCTGCAAATTGCTCAACGCTCTGCCCACGTTGGAATTTAGAAATAGTGTTCCGTGTCCTGGTGAGGCGTCTTTGCCCATTATCCCTTCACAATTCATAAAGCACTGGACTTCAAGCCGTGTCGGTAGTGTAGATTGAACCCTGTGTGGCACATGGCATCTCAACTCAATGTCGAGGAGCTCATCGGCGCCGCAGAACACCACCACGAACAATATCTCCAAACACTGCGCAGCATCCAGAATGTCGTTGGCCAGCGAGCTCGCGAGCGTGCAGACAGTCCTCCGCCTCGCACCCTCTCTCACCCGACCTTTTTCAGTCCCGAGCCTCACACGCCCAATCTTCACCTCCTCAGCCGCCTCCAGCGGACGCGAACCTCGACGCTGGAAACCACAGCAGAGCGGCCGTCGTTTTATCCGTCTCCCAAGCCCGTAGCGCGCTCGACAATTTCTCATGATTCAGAATTCATCCCTGACGAGGAGCTGTCCTTCATCCCGCTGCTTGACGCGCCCTCTGCCGGCGCTCGCCCTGCGGAAGAGCTGGCACCTCCGCCCGCGGATATCACTTCGAGAACACAGAAACCTCTTCTCCCACTGAGCTTCTCCGACGACATGCTCATGCGGCATCTCAGGGAGACAGAGTTTGACGGGCCCACGGCCACGGTGCTGGAAGAAGTCGTTCGCCGGCGGCCAGACATGGACCTCGCCGTGCCGTTTCGTGATTTTGCAGCCTTTGAGCGCGAGAGCTACGTGAGCACGACGTTTGAAGTATACGAAGTCACGGCAGACGCAGAAGCCAAGAAGATCAGCGTTGATATTGATGTACAAGCTGATGTCAAGTACGGCGGAGAAGGCGTGCCGTACCAGAGTCCAGATGGCATCGTGGATGCGCCGACGGTATGGGAGGCCATCAAGGACGTCAATTCCGACGGGGAGGCAGTGGGCAGAATCACGTATGTTCCTTGTACGCGCCGTTTGGGCTCCAGTGTTGTTGACGTACCCGATGAATAGCATCGTCCAAGAGCCAACGCCGCTCATCCTCGCCGCCCTCCATCTCACAATGACGCCGCACTTCGACATGGGCGAGCTCCTCACCCATCTCCTCTCTGAGGCGCCAAACCGCGGGCGCACAAATGCCATCATGCACCGGGCCTTTGAACGAACCTCGTCCGTCTCGCCGTACCCCCCGTCTCCTTTGATCCCCCCAGCCCTCGACACCCGCCATCAACCCGCCTCGTCGTACGCAAACGTCCGTCAGCGCTCATTCTTCTTCGTCTTCAAGTACTACACCTCGGTGGCAGAAGGCCTCGAGCCCGCCCCCTGGCAGAGGTTCGACAAACGGCCCTCTGACAAGCGGCTCGGCGACCACATCGACATTGCCGAGTGCAGCTCCGTGCTCGCCCTCTCGCTCGGCGGCGAGCCCACGAAGCCGCTGCGCATGAGGCCTCGCCGGGAAAGGGCCAGAGAGGGATTCCTCTTCGACACCTTTGGCCCGTGGCAGCTGTTGAGTATCCAGAGCTTTCCCGACGACCAGCACACTGTCCGCGGCGAAGACTTTCAGAAAAAGAGCTTTTACAACGGCCCCTATGCGTTTCTAGACCTCCTAACTGCCGAGTATCGTGACGCAGGGAGACGAAATCAGATTCTCCACGAGAAAATCACAAAACTCATTACGCCCCCTGTCAGTCTCAGTCCTCATCAGCCTCTTCCTTCTCCTCCCCCCCTGTATCTTGTCCTAATCGCCAGCAGACCGAGTTCATGTTCGACCGCCGCCTCCGCGACAAGCTCCTCTTCGAAGACAAGCACTTCACCTACATCCGGCGCTACTTCTGGGCCTACAACACCCTCGCCGTCATCAACACGGGCATCAAGGCCATGGTGGGCGCCTACTTCGACACCTTCACCGACGACTTCTGGCCCGGGAACCACCCGGTCCTCTGGCCCCATCCCTCGCCCTCGTCGCCCGAGGGCGAGGCGTACCTCGCAAAGATGGCCCTCCTGCGCCGCGAGCTGGAAAAGGCCGTCGCCGAGCTGGGCGAGGTGCTGAAGCGCAACGAGCGCACCAGAAAGGAGATTGAGAACCTGAGGGACCAGCTGTTCAGCGGGAGCTCCATCAAGGAGAGCAGGAGGGCCATTGACCAGGGCGACAACATCCGCATCCTGACCATGATTAGCATGATTTTCCTGCCGCTGACCTTTGTCACTGCAAGTGAGCCCCTTTTATCCCGAGACGAGGCATTTACAAAAGAAGAAAAGAAGAATAGATGGGAAACTAACATTTCGTAAAAAAAAAAAAATAGTCCGTTTTTGGCATTACGGAATTCACGATTCCCGCGACTGACTGGCGCTTCGCAGTCACCATGGTCCTCGTGTGCATCCCCTTCATGGCGCTGATATTCCTCCTGCAGACACGCATATTCACCGTCGTCGTGGGAGAACTGTACAGATTCATCCTTCGGGTAGTCACGTTTCCTTACAGAATGTTCACGGGGGCCCTCGAACAGGACGCGCCTGATAATCGATCCGTGCACTTGGCAAAGGGCCGCAAGAGAAGGCTCAGGATGAGAGTGGCGAATGAACAGCCGCCCGTCGGTAGTCGCTGGAAGTGGCCGTGGCAGAAGAGATGGAATGGAGAAGGGGAGCTGGGCAGGGTATAATATAATGGAGGACCCGGTTGGTGTGAATGAGGAGGTCGCCCGGTCTTTTCTTTCCCCTTTTTCCCCGAATCATGATTTGACGACCTAAATTTGATGATTTATGATAATGAATGTCACGTGGATGGTGGGCAATCAAGATATTACAACAGGGCTAGACAAGGCAGTGTCAGATAAAATCAACAAGGAATGACAATGACAATGAACAGCACATCAGCCCGTCAAACCCAGGCATGGTATGAACACTCCTGGATCCCCTTTTACCGTGGCAAGTAGTGTAAATTGACTTTGTAATCCACCGTGCTCTTTCTATCCCCGAGTAATAATATACGAACTCTTATGTAATCAACCACCGCATCCCAATTACCTCCCTGGATATCATCCTGTTTCGTAACCGTCATAGCTCTATAGTTCATTCATCTACTAACCAACCTTGCTTGATTCGCGAACGCGCTCACCCACCCTAAAGTAGCATCCAAGAAGACCGATGAGCAAGATGGCATAATAATCCTCCCAAAAAGGTTGGCCAGAAATGGTGTGTCGATATCACGTATCTTAGCCGCAAGTCCGTTAGGAAGAAACGGTGACGGGCTTGGCAGCTGGGGCGTCGGTCTGCTTTTCGGCGTCATCCACTTCCATAGCATCGTCCTCACCAGCTTCGGCTTCAGCCTCAGCCTCCTCCTCTTCGTCGAGTTCGTCCTCACTCTCCCCTTCAATATCAACACTGCCATCCTCGGACATTTCTTCCTCTTCCGGCCTATTCTCTTCGGCGTTCCCATTCTCCTGTTCAACTCCAGCCATTTCAGCGTCCTCCCCAGGCTGGAGTTCAGTCTTTTCGGCGGCTTCGGCAGCAGCTTCTTCCTCGGCCTCCTCGGCGCCGTATTCGTCCCCATCTGCAACAAGGTCTGCCTCGGGTTGCTCTGGAGGAAACTCAGGGGGAGCCGAAGCCTCGGAGTCCCTGTTGGGATTCATTAGCATAATCAGAAAACTGACAGCAAGCAACTGGAAGGGTCGCTCAACATACCACTTGATGGCGAAGCGAGTGACACGGGGCTTCTCAGCAAGCACATTGCGCCGCACGCGCTCAATGATGGGTTTGGCCGGCAGATCAGTGTTAAGTTCCTCAGAATCATATTCATTATTAACGTAGTAGCCCACCCGGACGAATTCACGACCATCGTAAGCGCAGGTTAGGAGAATCACAGTAACTCCTAGAACATCAGCGTCGGGAATTCGCGTAGTTTTAGGAGCATCGGCCTCAAACAAGAACTTGTTCACGCCGACAGGGACCGGTCCAACCAGCAGTGAGTCAAGCTCCTGGTCATATTGATCGCTAAAATGCCGGGTCAGTTACCGTCCATCGATCAGGTATAATAATGACGCTGGGAGGTGGTTCTCACGAGGTAGCAGAACCGACGTAAGTAAGCTTCCATTCAAGGTCTAGAGTACAATCAGTTATTCTGTAGGCTTTGAATGCATAGATGGATGCTCGTTTCACAGCTTGTACCTTTCTCGAGCGCCTCCAAACACTCGAATGTGATCTCAAACTCGTATTTGTCGGTAAATTTGGCCGGGTTGTTCAGCACCTTGACACCTAGTAGCGAGACGACGGACATGTTGATGGAGTATATCCTTCGAAGAACGAAACGCTAGCTTTTCGTTGAAGTAGGGTACGCGCAACTTGGGTTGAATCAGTCGAATGCAAATGGGCAGGGGATGTGGAAAGTTTGCAGTTGGTTGTAAGAGCAGCGGTGACGGTGTGCGGGAAGGTGGCGCGCAAATTGATCGAGCGCTTCAGCAAACGGCGACACGTTATTTGGAGTGTGGCAGAGACGAACGCGCTGTCAAGTCAACAGAATCAAGCTTTGTGCTGGAGGGAGGCAGAACCCTGTCAATAGAGACGAAGGAGGCTGGCGTGGACTGGAGGAAGGCAAACAAGTCTACCGGGTGGCAGAAAAGTCGTGGCGGACGGAGGCTCAATGAGGGACCGCATGTCAAGTGCGTGACAGCGAGAAGGTGGGACGCGCTTGATGGCCACCAGCGCGTTGAGAGGCCGACTGTGGGTTCCAAGTGGTTGCTCTTCTTGAGCGTCCAGATGTCTACTCCGTAGGCAGGTACCCTATCGTCGAGTCGTGCCTTCCTGGACATCGTCTACTAGTTCTAGGTACCTAGGTAGATACCAGTAGGGGAAATCAGATGATACGAAATTTCTAAGTACTTAGCCACGTGTGTTTGCATGGCATTAGTAAATAGCCCTGTAGGCAAGTGCTTGAGACTGATATTATGTATTGGACTCGTACGGGGTGACAAAACAACTTGTAACCTATCCTCAGCAGTTCGCACATTGTCTGGTACTTGGACTTGTCTTCGTCCTCTAAACTACCCCTGTGACGGGGATCCAAATTATCGGTTTAGTTGGTTCCTGGGGCGCCCACTGGTCCATGCAGAGACAAAGGGCTCACCGCCCGCCCATTTTAGACTAGCTATTCTTGTTTTTTGCCTGCGACTCTGCGACGAGCTTCTCAGGACATCAACACCTTCAAGAGCTGTCAATCACAGCCTGATCCTGCTGCTGGTGCCACCCGACATCCAGCACAGGCCGCAGACCATCGTATTGCTATCGCATTGTTTTGTTTATTTCGCTCTCTTTAACATTATTGCGCCTTTCACCGACGTCCCGCGTCTTCGCCAGTCGTGGAGAGCTGCTTTGGAATCGCCACTCAGCAGGCGAAGCTTCCAATTCAGCGAGTCGCCTGCAGGCATTGCATGATCCCACCACAGCATCAGTTACTTAGCCATTTTACAGAGCATTATATTTCTTCCCCCGCAACTCGAGTGCCTCTCATATACTTCCCGCCTGTTCCTCTTGCAATTTCATCGAGACGGAGCTACGTCCCTTGCCTCGTTTGAACTACAACCCCGCCAACGACCACGTATATCGCGACTTCTCCATCATATTCTAATATAAAGAATACAAGTGCGCTCGTGAAAATGGCCACGGAAGATGCTGCCTGGGAAGGGGAGGGTTCTGGTGTGGAATATGATCCGCTCGCGCAGCCGAGCGCAGGGCTCGACCAGCCTGAGGAAACGTCGGAAGCTGTGAGCGAAGCTGCCGAGCCTATTGATGAAAATGAAGAGGACCAGGACGATGGAGGCGAATATGATCCCGAATCTGTCGGTTTTGACAGTGTCTCGCACATACCTGACAAGTCTGCGTCTGGGACACCGTCGCAGAGACCAGCCAACAAACCTAAGATGTCGGGGGGGTTTCTGGTCGAGGTGTCGGATGATGAAGAGGACGATAACCAGGACGCTCCATCTGGAGCACGAAATTCGGCTGCGGCCAATGCCAACCAAACCAGCAATGGCACTACGCCCCTTCCCATTGCCGGCGCGCTTCCTAATGCACCTCTTGGGCTGGCTGGAGTGAATCCCGTGGTACTTTTGGAGGCGCGCATTCAGGAAGACCCGCGTGGAGATATGGATGCGTGGATCAACCTAATGGCCGATCATAAGCGTCGAGGCAGGCTTGACGAACTCCGCTTACTGTACAACCGTTTCCTTGAAGTGTTTCCCCAAGCGGTGAGTTATAACATCTGAATAAAGAATGCCGTCTAGCGACTGACACGAAGCCATTCCATAGGCTGATATTTGGGTTGAATGGATTGAAATGGAACTCAATCTTGATAATTTTGTCGACGCTGAACAACTCTTTGGAAGATGCCTGATGTCTGTGCCCAACGTCAAGCTTTGGACGTTATATCTTAATTATATTCGACGTCGGAATGACCTGACAAATGACCCAACCGGTCAGGCCCGACGTACCGTCACTCAGTCATACGAGTTTGTCATTGACACCATTGGATTTGACCGTGATTCGGGTAATATTTGGCAAGACTATGTTCAGTTCATCAAAAATGGCCCAGGTCAGGTTGGTGGCACAGGATGGCAGGATCAACAAAAGATGGATCAACTCCGCAAAGCATATCATCGTGCCATCGCCGTCCCTATGTCATCTGTGAATACTCTATGGAAAGAGTATGATCAATTCGAGATGGGCCTGAACAAAGTTACTGTACGTTCCAACGACTGCCATAGCCTTCACCTCGTCACTAACCTAACCTGATGGAATAGGGTCGTAAGTTCATCCAAGAGAGATCACCGGGATATATGTCGGCGAAGAGCGCCAACATTGCTTTGGACAACATCACGCGAAACCTCAAGAGAGAAAATCTTCCACGGCTGCCTCCCGCTCAAGGCTTTGATGGCCATGAGGAATTCCATGCCCAAGTTGAAATGTGGAAGAAGTGGATTGCTTGGGAACTGGAAGATCCTTTGGTCCTCAAGGATGACGAACCGAAAGCATACAAGCAGCGAATTCTGTATTGCTACAAACAAGCCTTAATGGCCCTACGCTTTTGGCCCGAAGTTTGGGTTAATGCAGCCGCTTGGTGCTTTGAAGCCGACATTCGAGAAAATGAGAAGGTTCAAGGCACCGAAATGCTGCTTCAAGGCATCAGCGCCAACCCAGAGAGCGTGTTGCTTGCCTTCAAACACGCTGACCATATCGAAGCCAACTATCCAGAGAAAGAAGAGGAAAAATCCGAATATGCCAAGGCAGTGCGGAAACCTTACGACGCTGTTTTGGATACCCTCTACAAAATGGGCGACAAAGTCAAAGAACGGGAGAAGCTTGAAGTCAACACCCTCAAACAGGCTGCAGCAAATGAACCCGCTGTCCAAGAATCTATAGAGGAAGATGACGATGACGACGACGATGAGGAGAAGAAGGTTAGAAAGTCTCCCACAGAAGAGCGTATTGCTGCCATTCAACAGGCGTACGCTGCTGAGTCACATCTCCTCTCAAAGACAATTTCTTATGTCTGGATCGCCATGGCTCGCGCCATGCGACGTATTCAAGGGAAAGGTAATCAAACTGAGGGTGGCTTACGAAAAGTTTTCACCGACGCGCGACAAAAGGGCCGTCTAACGAGCGATGTCTATGTCGCAGTGGCCTTGTTGGAATCGGTGGTTTATAAGGATCCTGTCGGGGCGAAAATCTTCGAGCGTGGTGCGCGACTTTTCCCCAATGATGCTGGATTCATGATAGAATACTTGAAGTACCTCCATTCCAAGGATGACACCACAAGTGAGTTGTTTTTCTCAAGTCACCCCCGCTTTAGATTGAATTCGGGTTTCCTAATCGATTTGTATAGACGCCCGCGTTGTGTTCGAAACATGTGTCAACCGCTTGGTATCTAAGCCAGAAACTCTGCAAAAGGCCAAACAACTGTATGCTTACTTCCACAAGTATGAATCGCAGTACGGGGAGCTTTCACAGATCTCGAAGCTAGAAGCTCGTATGGCAGAACTGTTTCCAGAGGATCCCAAGCTGAGTTATTTCACCTCACGATATTCCACCGAAACTTTTGATCCTGTAGCGGCACCAATCATTATATCCAAGGCTGTGCAGATGCGACCAAAACAGCTTATCCCTGCGATTGAACAACCCATCTCTACAAGGGAGAGTATTCCACCATCCCGGCAGGAACAAAGCCCAAGGCCACAATTCATCCGAGCCACCGCCTCGCCCAAGCGCCCGTTTGGCATTGAAGACGAGGACCTCAATCCACCAAAGAGAATTGCTAGAGGAGTTTCCCCCTTGAAAGGAGCAGCTGGACGACGTCTCGACCAACAGCGCCGTAATCAAACATCGGCGCTACCTCGAGACGTGACTTTCCTTCTAAGCCTTTTGCCGCCAGCACCCACTTACGACGAGACACGACTCAACCCGACCATCATGGTGTCATTGCTTCGCGACACCCAGCTACCGGACTATGCTTCTTGGAAAGCTAAAACCGGCGGTCAATATCGCATCACGTCTGGCAATCACAGTAGACAGGCGTCTGGAGATTTTGGCAACCGGCCAACCAGTCCGTACGGACGCATGGCGGCAGCATCGGGAGCTTACAGGAACTCGCCACTGAGGACAGAGAGCGGAAATGCGTTTGCTGCAAATCCTTACGCTCCGCCACCAGATGCCAGTGGTGCCACAGCTTCATCATGGCAGCCACCTTCTGCTGGCGCCTATGGAATACCACCACCCGCGGGACAATATGGGGGTTATCGCTACTGAGTTTTGACGAACTGTTATATGTACAAGTACAATTGGGAATTTTTTGACACGACAAGTTGGGTTAGGTTGCAGTTGGTGTTGATGACGCATTTTGCAAGGCGTTTGGTAGACATTTGAAATGAAACTACGAGATGCATATCGCCTCAAGGAAGCTTTCTCTTGCCATCTACCCGGCTATAACTATTCTTTAAAGCAGGGTTGAGTTGACGATGGGTGTTATAACAATCATGTAAATCCTTTGCCAAGGAGAAAAGAAACGGAGGTCTGGTAGGTAGTTCAAATGCGACGTTAGCTAACATTTGTTCCTTGAGATCCAGGACTGTGACTCCTTTACCCCAGCTTGTGTCCGTCAGAGCACAGCAATCGGTGCGACATGCAAACGCACAGTCTCCTATACAAGAACTATGACTCGTGTGATCACGTTTAGTTTGAGCAACGATATCTGCGTTAACGCGTTTGACGGACTGCAGTGTGACTGGGCAATGTCTCGGCTATTACATCAAGGTCAACAACGGAGAGTGAATTTTTCACAACCTGCATCCTGCTATCGATGAACAGTCCGAGACTCCATGCCATTTATTAATTTAGCCCTTGTCCAGCTTCCATTCTGTCGCATGCTACCTCTACCAATTGGCAATGGTTTCTGAATCTCCTGCAGGTGCGAAAGCCAGGCATTAACACCTTAAGTGCTCCCAAGTGCTCCTAAGTGCGCACGAGCATTAATGATTACACCTGGCCGGGCAGCTGGCAACAACCACCTGTCAACAGGCACATGCAAGTGCCAGAAGCACTTGCCTACATAAACAGTGCCCGTGTGCCTTTCTCCTTCCCTTCTCTTTCCCCTCAAACATCTCTTCCATCTTCATCTCTTTCAACACACTTCCTCTTCAACCGGCCCGTCTTCTACCTCGTGCTTTCATTAGCCTTGCCTCATTGCGCGCGTGCTTTCACGCACGAATGCAGAAGCATCTCCAGAAGCACTGAATTACAGCAAGCTCGCCTTTCAACTTCATCAGATTTGGGAATTCGTAAGTGTTTTCTCCTTCTTTCATGCTCGCCCACACATTTGTGTTGGCCATCAAAACGACCCTGTGGTCAGCTCCTGTTGTGTCTCGTTGTTTGAACGCTACACTTCGTGGAAATTCTGTTGAGATACGACTTTTTCATCTCAGCCAAGAAGAAGGCGGGATAAAACAACTACGGCTTTTGCCAAGTTTTGACTGCCCAGTCTTCATTTTGCAGGCTGGGTTCAAAGCTACATCATTGTTCCCTATCACTGCTTTCATTCACTGCTCCAGCAATCGTTGAGCTGACTTCATTGGTTCCAGCCGACTGCTTGGCATAGTTTCGCGCGAACTCATTTATTGGTTCCTCTTCATTTTGATTTGGTAGGCCAAGTAAGTTCACTCCATTCACCATCTCTTCCTATCAGCATTCAAGGTATTCGGCTCTCTATAGAGTCTTCAGGGATGTGGATACCTCTACATTCCCTGAAGATATTGTGATTTGCTTCCATTGCTTTGTTTCAGTAAGCTAACATTCTATAGCGTCACCGTCATGTCTGATCGTGGTCGATCTCCAGGCCCCTCCGGCCAGGGCTCGTCTGGCTCTCGCCTCCCTTCCAGGGCTCCTCAAGGTTCTGCTCCAGGGAGTCGAACCGGCTCGCCTTCACGATCGGGTCAGGCAGCTGCTGGATGGGTCTCTGGCCCTGGCTACGATCCCGCCAAACCAGCTACGCAGCCTGATAAGGGGAACACCAGGATGGAGCTCCCTCCGGATGCTTACGTGACCGAAGGGCAGAAGGACCTATTCGCTTTGAGAGGGAACAAGTTCAATACAGAAGGTAGCAATGCCGTGATTGAAGTTAACCAATATCGAATGAAAAAGTTCGATTTCGCGCAAAAGATCTATCAATACGACGTAAGATGTCAAACTGTTTATCTTTTCTATCTGAAAAATGGCAGCTAAACAACGCATAGGTGATTATTTCCCCAGACAATGAACGAAAGTCTGTCTTGATGAAAAAGATTTGGACAAACACAGCTACGAAGGCTGCGTTGCAAAAGTACCAATACAACATGTGGATCTTCGATGGTCGTAAACTCGCTTGGGCTCCAGGCAAGGTTGATCGTGGCGAGCTTCGCTTCACTGTCGACCTGGACGAGGGTAAGCGACCACCAGGGGCTCAGGCCCGAGAAGGAGCTCGGTTTCATGTGACCCTTCGGGCCACAACCGAAGTCCATATTGGTGCGATTCAAGGCTATTTGGATCGCAAGATTCAGTTCAACACCAATGTCCAGGTGGCCCTCAATTTTATGGACCATCTCCTGCGCCAATGGCCATCGCAACATATGACAGCTATCAAAAGAAACTTCTACAGTGCCTCGGGAAGTGGTCGACCTCTTTTGGATGGTAACGTACTGGAAGTTCACAAAGGGACTTACGCATCTATTCGCATGAGCCACAACATTACTCGTGGCGGAACCGGCCTGGCTCTGAACGTTGATGTTGCCAACACTGTCTTCTGGACTGGGCCACAGCCAGTCGACCAACTTATGTGTAACTTCCTCGTTTTGTGCGATCGCAAATGGAGAGGCCTCAATCCTTCGACTATTGGTCAAGTGCTTCGACCTGTGCGAAATAATGAGGGTAGATATCAGTCATCGGATGCATTCAAGCATTTGCGAAAACTGAGAAAGCTCAAATTTACTGTCACACACGCCAATCGACCTGCAAGTGACAAAGTGTATACCATCATGGACTTTGCTTTTGATGAAAAGTATGGAGGCGAAGGCGCCACTGCCAGAACTGTCACTTTTGAATGCAATGGAACTCAGATTTCTGTTGCCGACTATTACAAGCAAAAGTATAAGGTACATCTGAAGAACCCCAGTTTGCCTCTTATCTTTGCTGGAAAGGGGGGCTTTATTCCTATGGAGTTTGCCATCATCGAGCCCATGCAGCGTTACGCTTTCAAGCTGACGCCGGACCAAACGGCTGCCATGATCAAAATTGCAGTCACAAAGCCCCAGCAACGTCGGGCTGACACTGAGAACAATTACAAGGGCCTTCAGCTCTCAACAGATCCATACTTGAAAATGTATGGAGTTGAATTCGAGCCTACATTCACCAAGACCGATGCTCGGATTCTACCTCCTCCTCAAGTCAACTTTGGCCAGGGAAATGCAGACCCCAAGTTTGCTGGTCGCTGGGATCTTCGAGGTAAGAAGTTCTGGAAACAGAACGTTGCGCCGTTGCAGAATTGGGCGTTTATCGTTATGGATGCTTGTGTTGGGTACCAGCAGTTGCAAAACTTTGCGAAGACATTTCGCAACGCATTTCTTGCGCATGGAGGCAAATGCCCAGCAGATGCCCTGTTATTGAACGTGCCGGGAGACGTCAAGAACGATGTCGCTCAAGCCATTGCCTGGGCCCATAAGCAAATCTGTCTGCAGAGGGGCTATACCCAGCTGCTTTTCGTCGTTGTTCAGCACAAGAACAGCCCACATTATGAACGGCTGAAGAAGTCTGCAGATTGCCGATTCGGCATTCTTTCTCAGGTTGTCAATGGCTCGGCCGTTGCCAACAATAATGGGCAGTACCATTCTAATGTGTGCATGAAGGTCAATGCCAAGCTTGGGGGAGCTACCTCTCGCACACTTCCTCCATGGAAAAGCTCGCCGACTTACTTCCCCAAGGATCGCCCAACAATGATTATTGGCGTTGACATCTCGCATGGGGCTCCTGGAGGTGGCTCGCCGTCTACTGGCGCCATGACCATGTCTATTGATCGAGACGCAAATAGGTATGCTGCTGTGGTGGAATCCAACGGATACCGTGTGGAAATGCTTACCGCTGCCAATATCCATGTTATGTTTGGACAGTTGGTCAAGTATTGGATGGCTGGTCACGAGGGCGCCTTTCCAAAGCATATCATTTACTTTCGAGATGGTGTTGCGGAGGGACAATTTGCTCAAGTCTTGGACCAAGAAATTCGGGAGATCAAGACTTATCTCCGGGAGAAAGCACCAAACGCGCAGCCCCCCAAGTTCACGGTGATTGTCGCCACGAAAAGACACCACATTCGCTTCTATCCACAGAAGGGAGATAGAAATGCCAATGCCCTGCCTGGCACTCTCGTCGAAAGAGAGGTAACTCACCCATTCATGTGGGATTTTTACATGTGTTCGCACGTGGCCATCCAAGGTACCGCACGGCCAGTGCATTATCATGTCATCTTAGACGAAATGGGAATACCGGTCAATGACTTGCAAAAGATGATTTATCATCAATGCTATTCCTACGCCCGCTCAACCACACCAGTTTCCCTCCATCCTGCCGTTTACTACGCGCATTTGGCTTGTGCTCGAGCACGAGCACACGAAAACGTTGCCAGTAGTGAAGGATTTAGGGCTGGTGCAAAGGGCCACGAAATGATCCGTGATCAAGTTGCAATGGGGCAGACTATGGAAGGTCCTTCACGAGGCATAGACGCACCTCCTTTGCTCCAGCTTGGAGGTAAACCAGAAGGTGACAAGCCTCCTGCCGATGGCGAGATGCGGCAGAGAGATTTTATCAGAGGTACTATGTGGTACATTTGATGGAAAGACTGCAAAAAGTAGTTCTTTGGCGACAAGTTTTAGGAGGACGAACAAAAAACCAACAAAAGGGGTGACCGGTTTGGCGGGAGATGGCGGCGGAGGTCTTTTTTAGTTAACTACTTGCTTACACACTTCAACTAGCTAAATATACATTTGCTATAAAAACGCCCGCAGCATAAATTGCGTTGGTGACGACTAATTGTTAAACGATAGCGTATGAATTCGAGCATAGGACTAGTAGTAACGCCAAGCCAGAAACCTGGGCTGCGAGAAGGTTTCTCATCATCACGTTGTGCTCTGGGTAGGAAGGCCTGTGACAACGGTATGGACATGGTGCAAGACATCTCACATACTAGCCCAACGGTACCATGATATGGAATCTGGGAAAATTTGATGGAACATATCCTTGAGAGGCCTTACCATGGATAATGATTTTCTGGGTCGGTTATTCTTTGAGATTTTTGGGCGTAGCGAGACCGCCTACCACTCCATAGTGAGGAGTGAGCAACATACCGGCTGAAGTGACTTTGTATGGGTTCCTTGTGATGATCCTTCGCCTTTTGTGCTCATTTTGCATTTCAATGACTGAAAAGCTTGAAAAATGGAGGGCTTACTTACCTCCAGGAGCGTTTTCATGGCTGGTACCGACGAAAGCTCTCCTGCTTTGTGCAACAGGATAACACACACGGCAACAAAAATGGAAAGTTATCTGATAATGTACGATCGAGTTGAACATAGGAATAACTGCCCATCGCTGACACGGAGAAGGCTGGAGAGTATTATTGCCGCCGAAATGCGCATGTACGTTGTGGAGCAGTATAGTGTTGCAACCTACAAGTCGACAAGCAGGGCGAGGGAGGAATTCTTCCAACTAGGAAGAGAGACATCTTGTAACGCATCTCTGACACTCGTTTAAAGAGCTTGCACAAAGACGAGAATGATATCATGGCCTTGGGAGAAACATGTCTCAGCGATCAAATGCCTAGATAGATTGGTAGGGATCGTGATGCTCCCACATTCCACGGACATGGCTGCCTCGAACTGTGGCACGCGATGGCCTCCGCGGAGTAGCTGGCACTCTTCAAGGGAAAATGACGAAGCTATTTACCCAACTTGGTGATGTGTTTGTCGATTCAACACGTTCTTGTCGCCCTGGAGCATACCGCAGTTGGACTAGATGAGGTGCAACGACGGCAATGGAATTGGTCTGGCCGAGTGTTGAAGCAACGAACGTCAAAAGCGGGTCACTTGGAAACCTGAACGGGATTCATGCTGGCTCTTGTACAGGAGGACTGTCTCGATATCGGCCTCGAGAGATATTTCCCAAAAACCCGTCTTAATTTTCGAAAGACGTCGCATACCAGCTGGACGGTAGAAGCGGAAATAAGAGTCGTGCTCGCTGGTATAAAGGAGGCCCCCTCCTCGTCCATCTTGGAGCAGTGGTTGAATTCATCGCCAGTATAAAATTCCATCGAGCTCTTTGATACACATCGCCAACATGAAGTTCTTCTACATGGCCACTGTTCTTGCCTCCGCCGCCCTGGCCGTCCCTCAGGGTGTGCAGCGCACGCGTGAAGAGCACGTCAGGCACCAGGGAGATGATATCAAGAAGGCCCTCAGGAGACAGGACACGGCCCAGGTGAGCGCCCTCAGCTGCAACTGGACTATGCCCGAACCACAACTGACTGACATCCCCTGTGTAGTGTAATGCTATGCCACAGGAGTGCATGTCCAGCATCAACAACGTTTTCAATGGGTTTATGGAGGCCATGGCTTCCGGGAATCTCATTGCGGCGTCGGGCGTTGCAGCAGGTTTCCAAGCCGAGGTGAATAGCAACGGCTGCATGCCGAAGCTTTCTGCGTGTGCCAGCAACATGCCCAACATTCAGCCGAGCAGTCCCCCCAGTGCCGCGCCGAGTGTCGTGCCGAGTGCTGTTCCCAGTGCTGTGCCGAGCGCTGTGCCGAGTGCTGTGCCGAGTGCTGTTCCCAGTGCTGTACCGAGCGCTGTACCGAGCGCTGTACCGAGTGCTGCGCCCAGTGTCGTGCCCAGCGTGGCTCCTGGTGGTGTTGGTCGTGGTGTTTCATGGTAAGATGCATGGATGGCTTTGTGGACGAACAAGGGGTGGAAAGCAGGATTCAATCAGCTTTGGCCATGCAAGGTGAAGGTGGATTGTGTACAAACTTCGGGCGGTGCGAAGAAGTTCCGACTAGACCACGATGACTCCATACTTGAATGGTAGTACTTTTTCATCACATGGGCACATGCAATCATGATGCGTGAACCGGGATAAGCGACTGTGTGGTTGGCTCCGACCTGGCTGCACGCGATGCCTCATAAATGGGACTCCAAGCCGTGGTTCGGGTCTACTGAGTCTAATAGAGTTCGTTCGGCAAGTGGAAGGTGCGGCCCAAAGCCACCCCAAAAATGCGTAGCTGCGTGTGGTGAAATACATGGGAAGGAGTGTTCCATGAGTACGGAAACGAAGTCAATTCCCAAGCCACCCTCCGACCAGCCCTGGTGCCTTTTTTCCCCCGAACCCTGGGAGATCGGACCCGTCGGCCCGATGCTGGTGCTTGGCGAGTGGGCCGTCCGATTTAGCCTGCGCCATCAGACAGGGGATTTGGACGTTCAAGACTGCGGGGAACTTGGCAACGACAGGAGTCACAGGACGCACCTTCCCTTTGCATCATGACATCTTTGCACTTGTGCGACTCCGCACCCCCGCATCTTTGATCAATATTAAAACAACCCCCCCCCCCCCCCCATTTTTCGGCCAGACTTTCTTCGTCCACGCTATCAGCGTGATTCAAAAGCGGCCTGCCGATTGATCGATGCAGTCCACAACAGAATATTTTTTGCCCATCATAAAGTATATGCTAAGCATACTATAGTGTATGCTAGTATATTTTAGTGATAGCTAGCATACTCTAGTATAACCTAATATAGCAGACTCTAGTATAGCTTGGTATCTTCTTTTTGGTAGGTATAAATGTACCTGGCCCCTTGGTGTATGACTGGGTTTGACTGGGTTTGACTCGCCCTCCTCTTCCTCTTCCTCTTCCTTTTCATTTTCATTTTCATTTCCTACTAACGCAAGACAAGGAAAATGAGAGCTGGCGCAGTTATTCAGTTCTTCTTTGCCCTTGGCGGGATAGCTGCTACTCCAAAACCGAATACCCGCGATCGTCTGAGAGAATGCCCCGGCTACAGAGCGGTCAAGGACGGCCAAATTTCGGACGGTTTGTGGCGGTTTCTGGAAATCCATGATGACAGGGCCAGATTCATCGACTTGGAACTCGCTGGCAAACCTTGCAACGTCTACGGCAAGGATCTCCCGTTCCTAAAGGTCACGCATGTGGTTGAGACTCGTGAGTACTTATTTGCTTCATGGTAACAAGCAGAAAACGAGGGTTAACCACTGCCCATGCAGCCACGCGCCTTCACGTCCAAATCGCCGATCCAAAACAGGAAGCCTACCAAATTCCCGAACTTGTCTTTCCCCGTCCCAAGTTTAGCAAAAAGAGACAGAGCAAAAAGCCACTTTTGGAGTTCGAATACACCGAATACCCGTTCTCATTCAGAATTGTTCGCACCAAGGACACTACGATACTTTTCGACTCGTCTGCCGCAGGACTGGTCTTTGAGGACCAGTATATTCGTTTGCGTACCTCGCTACCCGTGAATCCTAACCTGTACGGCTTTGGGGAGCACTCTGATTCCTTCCGGCTAAAAACTAACAACTATACGCGTACGCTGTGGAATGCCGATACCCCTTCTGTCCCTGCTGGTTGGAATCTCTACGGAAGTCACCCCATGTACATAGAGCATCGTCAAAAGGGAACCCACGGCGTCTTCTTGCTCAACTCGAACGGCATGGATGTCGTAATCGACAGCGATCCCTATAGCGCCTACTTGGAGTACAATATCCTTGGCGGAGTGCTCGACTTTTACTTCTTTGCTGGAGAAACTCCCATTGACGTGGCCAAGCAGTATTCCGAGGTCGTCCAGCAGCCAGCCTTGGTGCCTTACGGTGCGCTGGGACTTCACCAGTGTCGATGGGGCTACCAAGATGTTTTCAACGTTGCTGAAGTCGTGCACAACTACAGCCAAGCTGGTATTCCTCTCGAAACTATGTGGACGGATATTGACTACATGGATGGCCGAGCTGTTCGTGACCCTTGCCATATCCCCATCTTCTCACTCACACGTTACTAACTTTGCGACAGGCCTTCTCCCTAGACCCTGAGCGGTTTCCCCTGCAAAAGATGCGTCAGTTAGTACAGCATCTCCACTCCAGGAATCAAAAATTCGTCATGATGCTCGACCCTGCCATTGCCGTCAAGGACTACGGCCCTTACAACAACGGCAAGACGTGGCCAATGTCCTTCCTTGTCAACTCATCAGGGTTACCCTATGAAGGTGTCGTATGGCCCGGCCGCACCGTCTACCCAGACTGGTTCGCCCCTGCCATCCAGGAATACTGGAATAAGGAGTTCGACACCTTCTTTAACCCTGCAACAGGCGTTGACATCGACTACCTGTGGATAGACATGAACGAGCCTTCCAACTTTTGCGACTTCCCGTGCAACAATATTGACGAGGTAGCTCTGCTGTACCCGCCTCCACCACCGCTCGTTCGGTCACCGCCGAGAGAATTACCTGGATGGCCTTGTGACTTCCAGCCACCGGGCACAAAATGCGACGACAATGGAATAAAGCCCCTCGCCTCCCCAAAGAAACCCCGTGCTGTCTACCTCTATTTCCCAGAACCTATGCTATCTATACCCCCCCTCTACTTCCCCTTGATGGAGGAAGTCAAACCAGGTTACAGACCCTTCTTTCTAGGCTTCGACAATCGTGATCTCATCAACCCCCCCTACACCATCAACAACGCCTGGGGTATGCTGCCGCAAAAGAGCCTCAACACGAGCATCCGTCACAGCAATGGCCTCACTCTCTTTGACACGCACAACCTCTACGGACACATGATGGCTGCTGCCTCACGCAGAGCCCTCATCGCCATGCGTTCTCACAAGCGTCCCTTCATCGTCACACGCTCTACCTTTGCTGGCTCGGGAGCCCACGCCGCGCACTGGCTGGGTGACAACGACTCTAGCTGGGAGCACTACCGCTTGAGCATTCGGCAAATGCTGCAATTCAATTCCATGTTCCAGGTGTCCATGGTTGGATCCGACGTCTGCGGCTTCAACGGGGATACCACTGAGGAGCTCTGTGCGCGATGGGCCATGCTCGGCGCCTTCCAGCCGTTTTACCGTAACCACAATGCCGAGGGACAGATTGACCAGGAGTTTTACCGGTGGCCTTCGGTCACTCAGGCTGCGAAGAAGGCGATTGACATTCGCTACAGGCTGCTAGACTACTTCTACACGGCCTTGATGACACAAAGTTCTGATGGAACGCCGGCTATAAATCCCATGTTTTACATTTACCCCAAAGATGCAAATACTTGGGGCTTGGACATGCAGTACTTCTTCGGGCCTTCCTTGATGGTTGCGCCAGTCCAGGAGCAAGGATCTACGAGTGTGAAAATCTACTTCCCCAACGACGTCTTCTACGACTTCCACACGCACGAGCAATTTTTCGGCATAGGGCAGTACGCCACTAGAACAAATCAGACCATCACCGATATCCCGCTCTTTGTCCGAGGTGGTCAAATCATTCCTATGCGTGCCAGGTCTACCATGACCACAACCGAGCTTCGCCAGCAAGATTTCGAACTGTTGATTGCTGTCGGCAGCAACGGCAGGGCCAAAGGAGTGTTGTATTTGGACGACGGGGAGACTTTGCAAAAACCGCCGCATTCGTACATCGAGTTTAATTATAAGGGCGGCAGGGTTACTTCCAAGATACGATCGATGGATTTCAAGACTGGGGCGAAAATAACAAAGATTACCATTATGGGCGGCAAAAGATGTGGACCTGGGAAGTCGTCCTGCTCGAAAGATCTACACCACCCACTGAAAAAACGACTGAGTGTCAAGATTTAGAAATCCAAGTTTTTTGATATACTTTGATGTACTTAGTATATATTAGTGTACTTCAATATATTAATAGTATAGACGCTAATAGCGAGCTGCTCAACTTGCGTAAATAATTTTTGCCCCCCACTACATATTTTGACATCCTTCACGGGAACCCCTTTTCTCATGCATACGACCTGAAGTGGCGTCCCGGTTGCATTTGCAGACGTACCTCGATGGAGCCCGACCGCTCCAAATTTCAGGCGCATCAAGCCCCCTCGGGATTACGTTTCCAAATGCATACTTTTTGACCTTCTTGTAGGCATGCAAAGTCTCTGGGCACACAAGGCTGCGGCCCCTCCCTTTTTCCATATCTTGGATGGATCGACGGCTGGCCAAAGACCCCAGACGCCCAAATTTGCCGGCACGACTGGGGGGGCTCCAGCGGCGTAAGCCGGCCTCGCATACATATGTAGCCAACACATCGGGCGGCATCGAGGCTGTTGTCGCCATTCATTGGGTTCGAATTTTTTATTTTCATACTCCGCAGACATACATGCGTCTGGGGCTTGCGAGTTTGGTCATTTCTGACAAGTTTTGAAAGCAGTAATCGTTCGATAATCAAGACCCTGGCGCGAGTCCAAGGCGGCATGTGCGCAAACTGGCTCGCGAAAAATGGAGCCCATGCTTGCAGATTTCGTACTTTCGCAGTGAAGACGAAATATTTCATGGCCGCTTCTACTCCTGTCAGATTGGAACGAGCCGAGATTTTGGAACAGAAAAGGGGGCGGCCGAAACCGACGCCGTCTTTTGAAAAGATGTAGTTCTCTAGCGCCACGCATGCGTTAGTAGTACCAGTCTCTAATTTGTCTCTGCATGTATTGCCCAGCAGGGGACGTGAAAATCTTACATCTTCTGTAGTTGTGTCTGGCCATCGGTGGCGTAGTCTAGCTGCCGGTATCAGGGGTTTCTGATTCCCTGCGCCACGTACCGAGTAGCTGGTAAATAATCTGCACAAAAGGAAAAAGCAACTCGGGCGGTTCGAGAGAGTTATGCCTTGCGTATGGTATGAACACAATTGCCCATATTTATGCTTCGAATATGCAGCATTTTCTCGCCGCCATGAAGAAACAAAAAAAAAAACATCGGTTCCGCCAATCTCTTTCCTCCTTTTAGAATGGATGTCGCTTCTGTAATTGTTCCATGCTAGAAATGTTCTTTTTTCCATCCAGTGGCATCCAGATGGCGGTGAAAATCAGTGTGGTGCACCATCCTTCGAAGGAATAAAACCCAATGACACCTGAACCAGTGGCGGCAGTTGTTGTGCGCTTATCTCATGGATTAATGCCCAACTTGTTCCGTGCAGGATAACGGACCTCCCTGTCCATTCAGGTTGGTGAAATTGGCATCGGCTATGGCGTCGAGGAGTATCCTCGATATATCTGTCAGTCGTGGTTGGCGCCCATATTTCGGGACTCGCCCTCATTTCCGGCGACCACGGGCATACATGCAGATATGTTGAAACGGATCGTCCCCTTGAGCATCCTTCGCTTCTTCTGTGTACTATTCCCGCACAGTTCAGTCATAATATTCATATGAGACTGAGACTATTCATGGGATGGATTGTTGTTTCCTTTCCAGCCCGTATATTGACCCGAGATACAATAGTTAGCCTCCTGCCAGGGGTCACACCTCGTGTTTAAGTTCTGCATCTCTCAACATTGATTTGCGAAAATAAATAATAAAAGCCCGCAGAGACTTTAAGTTACCGAGGCCTTCCGCCCTCAGCAACGCCCAGCCACCGGTTTATGTCTGAATTGAACGCCCAAAATCCAGCGTTGTCGGATGCTAGGCGGTTGAGGGGCTGACGAGGAGACCACAACTAAGTCCATGCTTAGCTACTCAGGTATGCATATCCATTTTGGGTTTCTTGCATGTATTCCCGTCTTACCCTTTTTTCATCTTATTAGCAAAACAACTCCACTGTCGCCGGTTGTTGTCTCGTCTAGTTGTTACCTTGCCTCATTGCCTGATCCTTGTTTTTACCGGCAGATCGCGGAGCATAAATTTGACAATATTATGGTGTGCAGGGCGATCGTGTTTGGATTTTGTTCTTGCTTTCCATGCCGTTCCTCAAAGTTAAGTCTCGGCAACAAGAATGACCTATGACACTTGCCATGTTCGACCCACCATGTTTTAATGCATGGAATCCACAAAACTGATATCTGGATTGATGTGTCGAATCAAGGAGCTTACCAATTGATCATTGATCCAGGTATGAACGCGATACGCCCTTCGCATGCACGGCGACAACGGGTTGGACGCATATATTAAAGCCACGACGAAGGCGATACTATCAATACATGGCTGTAATTACGCCACATTGCGTATGGCTACGCCTATTGTGCAATTTAATGCACTGACCCGAAAACTTGGGTCTACAGAAATTGGTGTGCTTCCTGCGGCGTGCAGAAGGGTCACCGAAAGTGCAAGGTATGCCGGGCGGATTGGACCTGTATTTGTTCATGCTTCTTTGGCTGCACTAGAAAATCCCAAATTCTCGGTTGTGCGAACCAAATTGTGAGTGCCACCAATGTGTGGCTGCATATGATGCAACACACCATGGTGGTAAGCCTGTTGTAAACCAGGTTAGATCTCTGCCTTGTGCTTTGCCATGTCAACGGGGTTTTTTTTCAGTGTCTTCCCGTTTTTTCAGCTTTTTCTCCTCTCTTAACCCTCCAGGGTGGTCTTTCCTTATTTTACGATAACCCTGATATGCCGCCTAGTACTGCCCATCATACTGCATCATGAGATGACGGGCTCCTCTTTGTGCTCTTGGAAACCCCTCCGTAATTAAAAGAATGAGGTGTTGGGAGGACGGAAATTGGAAGTCCTAGTGCTAATGTGGGAGGCAGACACGTCGTACTCTCGGTCGGGGGCGGATCAATATTCTTAATAGTTGAATTTCGAAGGCGTCGACTGTCAACAGTCGAATGAGTGCATCGAGCATCTGCCTGATATGGTACGGTCATGGTCGGCTCCTTGTGATTGCGGAAGAAAGGGTCTTTGGGGATTTGGGCGTACAGGCAGGCCGACTCCGTACTTGCTGCCGCCTCACTTTAGACAGCTGTGTGTTGTTTGCAGTCCCAGAAAGATGCTGACCAAGGACTACACGGGAGCAGCGACTGAGGGTGTTGCGGAGCGGTTAGGCATGCAAAGGCTCTCATGCTCTCAAAAATGGAGGAAATACAGAGAACAGTAAGGGCCGTGCATCTCTGCGCGCCGATATTAGGTTTCAACTCTTGACAATAAGTACGAGGCAGGGGCCAACATGGTCTGTCCCTGTCCATGTTGCCATTTTGACTGCCTAGTACCTTCCTAGGTACCTACTATGCATGTGTAGAGAATTAAAATCCGATGGGTCGCTCCTGCTTCTTACTTTAGACAATGGAGTCGTGGACGATGGCCGTCACTCACCCCCCTCCCCCCTGTCCATCAATGTTTGACAATGAGTCAAACCAGTACACAACCTCGGGTTCGACTGAAGTTAAGGACCTGCCCGCTTGCTCTTGTATAGCTTGCTTTTCCCGGCTGCAATCCAACGCATGGCCGACCAGACGCTCTCCGTGTTCCGTTTCTCTCAGTACTGCAACCTGGGCTTGTGATCTTGGTGCCACTGGCATTTACCTAGCACCTCACCCGCAAGCACGGCTCTTACTCCTGAGGTCAATGCCGGCTTCCTTGACCTGGCAATTTGGAAGTGCCGCTGCATCACTAAGGTCCACTCAACTGCATTCGGTCTTCATCTCTCTCAGGACAACGTACATAGAATGCGAGTTGAAACCTCACAGCTCCATCTCCCGCTCCAAATCTTTATTCCGGCTTCGTCGCGTGGCCGTTTGACTGAACGCAACGTGGGCCATTGCGTTAGACAGAAGCCCACCCACAAAACCAAACAGTTTCATGCCGGGTTGGAAACATGCCGTATTCTCGCCAGTTGTCCGTCGTCCGCGGGAGCCGGGTCAAATAGCAAGGTTTTTCAAGCCCATAAACCCTGGGCACGTTAGGACCAGAAAGCAAGTGTTGAGCCAGCTTGGCCACTCGTCACGGGAGATGAGCGAATACGGCCAGGCGATTACGCCGGACCCAGTGCTCTCTGCCTTGCTTCTCACACCTCCTGTTGCCCCTTGTCTGAGTTTAATCTCATGGCTCTCTACCTGTGAGAAACCACTTCGCACCCTCCCGTCCCAATCGACTGTTTTATTACTGGAACCCACGTCACGATCAATAGTGTCACCTCTCGGGCCTAGGTCACCGGGCTCCAGGCTACCACGACCAACCGCAAGTCGCCTCCCATTCCCCATGGGCGTCTGATCTGGAAAACTGCGGAAACGACCACGTTCAGGGTCAGGGTGGCTTGGATGCCGGCGCGGATGTGGCCATAGAAAGCAGAGCACTTGCAAGGACCCGCCAGGATGACAGGCATGACATCGTTTCTGCGGCCCGTTGCTTTTGATAGTTGTGCTGGCTATACTTTCAACATGAGTATCAGAGCCTTCTGCATGCATTATTGCGAGGAACAGCGCGTACGGTTTTTATGCCATCACATAAATGGGCCCCCTTTCCTAAACCTCGCCGCAGCAAAGATGTCAGCTTCCACCTCAGGACCAACTACCATACTCCTCAAAGACTGTTCAGCACTCATTTTTGACATTGATCAATTGGTGTGAATATTCTATTTCTCCTTGTTCTGTTAAGCAACTTGGACATATTTTCGTGTTTCGTCTTCTTACTGTCCTTGTGCGCAAGCATGCCGCCCGAATCCGTTGATTCTACCCAGGCCGATTGGGGATGCGGAACTGAGTAAGTCTAGTCTTCCGAGCCCTTGCCATCTAGCAACAGAAATAATGCTCAAACTACTTAGTTGCTGCACTCTTTCTCCATCCACGAGACAAGAAAGAGAGGCTCTCAGCAGAGAGCGGGTGAACAACATGCTGGAAAATCAAGTCAGCCTCAACATCGATCGAATCCGACTGGGTGCCAATATAGCGATCCAAATAAATGCCCAGGCTGAACAAGGGGAGCTTCACACTGAAGAACGAAAATCTCGTACTTGGCCTAAGAATAATTAAGCAATCGAAACGTCTTCAATACTGTCTTGGGTTAGGCATTGTTGTTCCTGATGTCAATGCATCACTGGGCAGAAGTTTGCCGCTGTTGCGGTTAAAATCTGCTCAGCGACGGAAACTCGCCGTTACTCGGCTTCAGAACACTGCGCCAGCTGCTTATTTGAAATATTTCTTTTATTCGGAGGCTCATCTACGATATCAGTACCGGCTATGAAAATTGAAGAAGAAGAAAAAAGTTGGCAGGAGAGGGTTGGTGGCAAGCAAGTCAAGAGACAGTCCCTGACTCTTCGCAATTTTCCTCCCGTCTTCCGCTATTCCATTCTGTACTTCGCTTCTTTCCTTTGGGTGTTTGGAAACTAAAGATGGTCTCATTAGTGTCTTTTGTCGATAGCCTACCTGACCCTGAGTTCCTGACCAGCCCCTAACTTGGTGGGATTTTGTAGACAGCCCATGGTTTACAATACACCCTTGTTTCTTTTTTTAAGCTGTTCACATTTGATTCGCCGATGAGACAGCCATCATGCCGAAACATGCGGGATGGGACCCCTTAGCCATCTGTGTGACGGTTCACTTAGACACTGAACGCTGAATACTATGTCTCGCGGCTGTCGCGCGAGCAGGTGGAGTGGCCGTGAAACGTGGTCTTGTCAGTCAAACTTGTGGAGACTGGGCAAATAGAGATGCGATGATGTCGTCGTTCATCTCCACCCGCCCGCCCATCAGCCCGTGTAATATCCTATGGCACGATTGCACGATGCCCGAAGTGGCATTGACATGGAGCGCGGCGCCGAATTTGCCACGAGCTTTCTTCAGCGTCATGGGGCGCCATGACTAAGGCAGTACTCCATCTGTGCTTTTACAGTTGAATGCAAAATATTAACTTTACCGAATTGGGCGGACGCGGTGGATCGTCTTGAGCACGCAATCGTGCCCCAGTTCGAGCTTTTTGTAAGCTGGCAGAACAAAAGTCGCCTGTTCTGCTGTCAATTCTTCTTTTCTTCTAGAATTCTGCAACGTTAATCTGTCGCCATTGCATTTTTAACAGCTGGCTATTAAACGCCACTTTTCTCTTTCCCGCATCGATTAAGGTTATTGCCCTCGGCATGGGACCTGCTAAGTGATCGACACTACCAGTATACCCGTATAAACAAGCTAGTATTTCGGTCCGTTTTGGTCTGGAGGACATGTCGGTTTTGCCGCTTTTGGGCTAAATAATCTGCACCTTGTCTCGTTCCCCCGCATCTTTTGCTCCTGGCACTCTTTGCTCTTTAAGAAAGTGGTCTCGCCCTGTCTTGTGTGGGCGTACGGAATATCCCCATTCTCTCTTCCAAAGGGAGCACCGGCCATCTGTGCGAAGACGAATCGCTGATATTCGTCATGGCGGAGAAACGCTATTCTGGGGCCCCGGGCTCGCCAGTGGTGGTAGGCAAGATGAACAGTCAAGAGGCCGACTCTGATGACCGCCATGCAAAGCCTCAGCACATCGAAGATGGTACCATGGCCAAAGAGTCGGACCACCTGAAACGTGCCCTTTCTGCTCGCCAGGTGCAAATGATTGCCATTGGCGGCACAATTGGCACAGGCTTGTTCTTGGGCACGGGAAAGTCATTGGCCACTGGTGGTCCGGCGTCACTGCTGATTTGCTACGCCATCACGGGTGCCATTGTCTTTATTACCATGCTGAGTCTGGGCGAGATGGCGGCCTTTATCCCTATCGCTGGTAGCTTCTGTTCCTTTGCTGGGTAAGAAGACACTCGGAGTCTTTTCTCTTGTCTTGGTCACCCATGCCGGACCGCGAGTAGGACTAGAGCGCTGACAGTCCTGATTCTAGGCGATTTGTCGATGACGCCTTTGGCTTTGCGCTGACGTGGAACTATTGGTTCAACGACGCTGTATCCACGGCCGCGGACCTGGTTGCGCTGCAGCTGATCTTGGAGTACTGGACAACAAACTTTCCTGGATGGGCGCTGAGTTTGATTTTCTGGGTTGTTCTAATCGCTGTGAATATAATCACTGTCAGGGCATATGGCGAGGTAAGACATGTTGGACGGTTCTCTGCGTCGAGGAAAAACATGGTGCTGACTGTTTCATTTTAGCTGGAGTACTGGCTCAGCCTTCTCAAAGTCATTGCCATCATTGTGAGTGCCGGTTCCTTTTACCGCACCATTGTCTTCCGAGGCTAACATCATCATGCAAGGTCTTTATTGTAATGGGCATCGTCGTCAATTGTGGTGGCAACCGCGACGGCCACTATATTGGTGGCGAGAACTGGCATATCCCCGGTGCTCCTTTTGTCGGCGGCATCGGTGGCTTTGCCTCGGTTTTTGTGACGGCTTCCTTTGCCTGTGAGTGAGACAGACACTGCTGAGACCTGCAGCCAAGAGATCTGACCATGTTTTCAGATGGTGGCACCGAGTCCATTGCCATTACAGCCGGAGAGACCAAGAACCCGACCAAGAACCTGCCCCGCGTGGTAAAGAATGTCTTTTGGCGGATTCTTCTCTTCTAGTGCGTATCCCTGCGAATTTGCTACGAATATTCGACGTCTTATCATCGACTAACGTGGTCCATAGTATCCTCTCTGTTCTCCTCATTGGTCTGAATGTGCCATACAACTACCCCAATCTCAGCAGCAAGAAAACCAGCACGTCCCCCTTCACGATTGTCTTTGAAATGACGGGCGCGCACGCTGCTGGAAGCGTCATCAATGCCGTTATCCTCACCTCTGTTCTGTCGGCGGGCAATCACGCCCTCTTTGCCGGAGTGCGATTGCTGTATACACTGGCAATGGAAGGCCATGCGCCTCGAGTCTTTGGCAAGCTGAACAGAAATCAAGTTCCATGGGTGTCTGTGCTAGCTACAAGCTTAGTTGCCGGGCTATGCTTTGGTTCAAGTTTCATTGGCGCTGGTCAACTTTGGTCGTGGCTGCAAAAGTGAGTCTCGAATAAAGAGTAATGTGTGGTGGGGGGGAGAAGGGAAAATTTTTTTTTCTCTCTTCTCGCCTTGGCATTACAAGTATTGCAAGGGCGTTGCTAACGTACACACAGTCTGGTCGGTGTTTCCAATCAACTGTCTTGGATCGCAATTGGCGTGGCCTCGATCCGATTCCGAGCCGGCCTTGAGCGCCAAGGCAAGACGCATCTCCTCCCCTTCAAGAACTGGACATACCCCTACGGACCCTGGCTGTCCGTTTTTCTCAACAGTTTCCTGGTACTCGTCCAAGGGTGGAGCTGCTTCAGCCCTGAATTTGATGCGGTTAGCTTTGTCAGCTTCTACATCGAACTGCCCGTCATGTTGATCATGTATCTGGGCTGGAAACTGATCAAGAAGACTAAATGGGTTAAATTGGACGACATGGATCTCGTCACCGATGTACACACAGCGGACGAGGCGGAATCGGAGACGAAGAAAGGGTGGCAGTCCAAGACGAGGAGGGTACTCAATTGGATCTTTTGAAATAACAGGTTACCGTACCGCACCCAGGAGTCGTCAGAGGGCCTTTTTTTTTTCTGCAGTTATTATTTTGACATGATTGTTGTTTTGTGGAATTGGTCATAGCCTAGCGAGTTCTGATTGGCATTGCTGCTGAGCGAATGAGTTGACATGCATATGTACAATGTAGCTGTACAATCACGGGGAGTGCTTGCCAAGGTTAAAATAAAATATTTCGCTTTGAAACAAGTTCATGAGCATGGATGATAGACATGCAGTGAGGACTGTATTGCAAATTTTCAACAGCCTCGTATACTTTTTGGATCAGCCATGCCAGCTGTCATTGTCTCGGCGGCAAGGTCAGATATTCTGACACCCGTGGTTTTTAGTGTCAAAGTTGGCACAAGGGGCGAATGGAGACGGCCAGACAGAGAGCGATGTGTGGAGAACGGGCCGCGCTCAATCAATTGATAATACTAGATGATGTACGGAGGGAGTACGGCCGGTGCAGACGCCTTGGGGGTCAATTTGTCTTCATGGCCGGCAGTTTCTGAAAACCTTGACAACATGGAGTTTTGAGAGTTGAGCTCTGAAACCCATGTCGTCTTCAGCGACCAGCAAAACCGCCTTGATTGGCTTGTGATGACAACGGCGAGACTTGCCTAGCCTGCTACATATTCAGTGCAACATCCAATATATGATAAACTATCCGTGAGTGGCTGGTCGGTCGATTGGTGTTTTTAGTTGCAACAAGCTCATCAGCGCTGGCCGTGGTTGCGTAAAGAGGGCTGGCTGTCTATTAGCCTCGGGGAGTGGCCGAGACAGCATCACCTTGGAATAGTTCCTCATCTCAGCCACGGACTGAATTCGGGGGTCCCATCTTGCGTAGCTTATTGGTCTTGTCCTACTGCCATGCGAAGAAGGGGAAGAAGAAAATTTTTGCGCGCCCTTCCGCCTTAAAAATTGATTCTGCATGGGTAAACTTGATTAGTGTCAAATGACGAAAGGCGACTAGAAAGATAATCGCCATCAGCCTCGAATTTGCTGCAGCCAGTTTTTTCTGTCCTCAAGAGGTCGATTGTCTCGTAGGTGCGACGCGTCAGTCCAGGGGGTAGTGGCCAACAATTGTCTTCGGTGCCTTCGTGAATCAAGTGTCGAATTGATGCAACGCAGATGTTTCCCATGCACGAACTTGACAAGGCCAGCACCCTGCTGCAACCACCACCACCCGCTGGCCAAGGTCCCTCCCTTGGCGACTGTGCGATTTGTTGACATTTGGATGTGTGGGTTTGTGATTTGCGGGGAGTTGGAGGACTTCCGGTAGGCGTGTAACTATCCAGGTGCCTTACAGTTGGGAAACACGTGTTGTGTAGGGGTTAATGCGTTGATGTTGATGCAAGAAGGGGTTGAGGCACAGCCAGTCGTTTGCCGATGGTCTTGATTGCGTACAAGCATTTCGAATTGAGAAGTGACAAAAACTTTTTTTTTTTTTTTGCCAATTTTCTTTTGGCCATGGTCCCTTCCCAATTGATGGTTCGTGGCGGGTCATGGGACCACGTCAACCGATGGAAATCCAGGGGCCCCATGGAACAAGATGAAAGATATGTATTAATTGAAACAGACCAGCGGGGACGGGAATAAGGCTGTATGTAGAGTGTAGATCAAGGAACGAAAGTCAGTGACTTGAACCTGGGATGAACACCATCATGCGTGACGCAGAGTTTTCACATTCACGCGTTGCCAGTTCCCCTTGCGCCTTATCCGCGCTGCCCGCTACTGCATCGTGCAGCCTCGTACATACAGACCACGGCTTGCAGTGGTCTTGGAAGAATGGCGTTGCGAGTATTTGGCATGATGCAATGGCCACGGAGTGCACCATCAAATCTGGCTATTGCAGTCGTGTAACTACCGTGCCTAGCTCCGGCATGGTTTGGGTCTCCCCATCCGACCTATGTACTCCGTACAGCCCTATGCTTTGACACTCCTCGGGAAGGGGACAGGATCCTCCTTCTTCAACTTTAGAACCATTGTACGTATGTACTTGGTGCAATGGAGATTGCCGCAGGGTATACGGAGTACGGAGTACTAGGGTGATCATTGATGAGTGTCCGACGCCGGGGAGCAAACAACCTGGCCCGGGGATACTGGGGCCTGTAATGACGAGCCAGGGTAGAGGTGTGTGTGAGAGTCGAGACGAGGACGGCGGATGTCAGCGACTCGGCGTCAGATCTATCGGTAGTGTCACTAACCCTGTCTGTTATTTCTGCCATGGCCAGCCACATCATCATCGTCCGTCCCCATACATACAGGCTCGAGATTGAGGGCGAGCCGCCAAGTCGAAAAGGTCGACAGGGTGAGATGGAAAGAATGGAAAGAAGATGGACGAATGAAGCGAGTTGGGCCCACCCTCCCTATCTTGCCATCTTGATGGATAATGGATTGTACCGCGGCAAGTGGGAGACAAAAAAAGCCAATCGTCTTCAACTATCGCGCTATGCTATAATATTATGGTCTATTACCTAGTGTATTCTTACTAGGGCATATGTACTCTGCGACAGACTATAAGAGGTCAACTCTTCAAGGCTGGAGATCTACGGAGTAGAGCTCTCGAGCTTCCGAATGCTAGAAATATCTGCAATTCCTGTCGCTTCATGCGCTGCTGATCAACAGCCACCAACAAATGTGTCACGACTGTTCTCTGTCCCGTCCGTCGTACCTTCTTCCGTCTTGCCTCTATAAGTGGGGCAGTGTTAATGCCATCAAAATTGCACAATTATCTGTCATGAGTTACTTCTGAACGGAGTAAGTACTCTCGGTACCATGTCAAACTCTACACACTTACGATTCCCTGCACATGCACACCCCAGATATATCCGTCAAGGCCTCCAGATGCGCATCACGACACGTCAATTTTTTTAAAAGCCGTAACCGTGCCCACCACTCATACCCTGGCTCACTGGAGACTTTGGCCAATTAGCATGCCCAAGAGGGTGCGGTGGCCGGGGACCCTGCCCAAACGCAAAGGTCAGGAAAAAGAAAACCACCGTTGTGGTCGGCTCCCCAAGGCTTACATTCGAATTTTGCTATAACTCACGCAAACCGAAATGGCGGGCTGCTAGAAAAGAAATAAACCACAGCACCAGATGTCAAGAATGGCACGGAACACGGTTGAGACACCCCTTTTCTTCTTCACGTGGGCAGTCATGGTCGCTGACGAGTCACAACTTTACGCAGTAAGTCGACGTACTTGTGCCGTGTTCGGCCTTCATCATGTGTCCACTGTCTGTCAAGTGACGTTTAGTGGCGGGAGTGGAAGGAAATGGAACAAATGACAACAGGGACCCCCCATGGTACAGTCCATCGATGCAAAGCACATTGCCGCGTACGGGTGGAACCAATGGACCGAAATAGACTTAACCGCAAGATTTGCAAGGTTTTTGCTGACTGAGACGTCCATGTCCAACCCACCGTTTATGGCGCTACGTGATAAGGCATATCTCTTGTCTAATCTATGCGAATGGTCAGTGGCTCTAATACCAAAACCGCGACACTAACATAGGCTCCCAAAGTTCTTGGTTTACGACAAGGAGTTTCGCGGTTCGAGCTAGCAGATGGAACAATCTCTCCCATTCTACGAGGAATTCATGGCTCCGAGTTCCCACGTTGTACTACAGAATACTCAATCTCGTCGTTGGGCTTCAGTTATACACAAGTTGAGCGGACATTGTGGGACTGACCATGTCCGCCCGACTCCAAGCACTCTGCACGAAGCCGCCATCAATCCCTTTTCTCATGAGTTGATAGAGCCCGACTTAGGTTACTGGGCGAAAACACACGGAGTACGGGCCAGTGAATCGAGTCAGAATAGGTCAAGATCCTGGCAACTGGGCGAGGTCGGCCAAAATGGAAATGGGGGGTGAGCTGCTTCTTCCTGTCTCGTTCCATGGCGTGCTAGCAGAAAATCAGTGTGAGCTTTGAGTGAGACATTCCGCGGCGGGCGTAGCAACCCTGGCCGCAACGGCCGCAAGGCAACGAGCGAACCAGGCCTACCCAGTAACAACAGAGAGAGAGAGTTCCATAAGCCAATCAAAGGTTACCAATAGATACAGATGTATGATCCTGGCAAAGGGGTGGAGGTGTGAGTATTGACGGTCTTGCTAACTTGGATGGTTTTTGCAGAATTCTCTACGGACTTGGTCCAGAAATAGAGAAGCGAGCACGACAGGTGAAGACACGGAGGCCATCATGTGCCTCTACCGGCCCCAGGGTTTTGGATGTCCCTGTCGACCACGAGCACTCCGTAGGAGGTTGGCTTGTTGAGCGAGAGCCGGGACGGAGGCCCCTTGACCCTTGCCAGCAAGCAAGCAATATGTCCTCGTTGCCGTTGCCGCCGCCGCTAGTCTTACAAGAAAACACCGCCTAGGAACAGCAAAGTGGTCGCGAAACAAACTGCACCGCGTACGCTACCCTCGCCGGCGCTGGTCCCACCACTCCTCGTGGATGGTGTGTTTAGAAGTGGGCTTCTGTCATCAGTGTAGCCACAACTCACGACACTGAATGGTGTTTTGTGCTTGAAAATACTGACGGCGTTTGGTAGTTCTGAGGTGGGAGAAATGGAGAAATACACGCAGCACACTCATCACCGTCTATTACTGCGACCAAGCCTAGACGCAACCATAATGAATCCCCTGGGGCCACGTTGATACTGTGGCCCTGTCCGAAATTGCAAAGTACTTGACTTATTCAACGTCTTAGCAGCAGTATGTATGAACCGCCAGCTCGCGATACCTCCTCCATGCTTTCGCACTCTCCTCGGCGAGACGAAGCGGGGTTCCCAAAAACCCTATCCCGGGCACTTGGACAGTTGATTCCCAGCCGCTGTTACGCCTTGCCTAGTGGCAGAGGGGTGATGCAGGGAAAAGGCATACGGCATACGGCACGGGAGGTATTGGGCTACTGTTTTTGCGCCGGAATCTACTTGTACAGCTTCTTCTCCAGGGGTGGGTCATTCATGGCCTTCGTCTCGCCGCCTTGTTCCTTCGGGTCGACTATGGACTGTCGTTACGCTCCCTACTCTTTTCAGTACACCCCATCCATACGCCTCTCCCAGTTTACTCTTCCTCTTTAGTCCCAGCTCTCTGTTGTATCCATAATGCCCGGCTCCTCCTGTTGGGAAAAACAATACATGACGCAAACCAGATCCTATTTATCTTCTTACGATACCCATTTGCTTCCACAACGCAGTTCTTTCATCTTTACAGTCACACTCCACACGTATCACGCCTTGATCAAAGAATGCCTTTTGATCGCTACCTGCATTGGCTTGATCGTCTCTGTCGAAAGTGACGGCCTCCTCGTCTTACTGCTAGACACCACTTGGTCCCCCATCTTGCCATCAAAGCCTGGCTGTTTTTGGATACATCCCTCCGTGACCACTTCAGCAACGTGCTCTTCCTCTCTTCTCCACTGCGTCGGCTCCGCTACCATTGCGGCGTTGTCAGGTGTAAATCTCTGGGCTCCCATTTCGTCGAGCAAGGCGGGGAGTGAAAACTTGATGATTGTCGTACGCACAACCACTCGGTTATCGCAAGAGATGGATTCCTCTTCCACCCAAGCGGTCCACGGTTCTGCAAGCAGGTAAGCCCTTTCATCCGCGAATACCACTGCCAAAGTTATTCTTCTTCAAAACTCATCGACATACTAACGGTCATTTCAGTGCCGATGCTCAGAGCGGTCCTGTCACTTACCATCACACACACTCGCAGTACGGTTCGAAGGAGGGTGTCCTGCGTTGGGTCAACGACCCAAATAGACCCGTGACGGTTACCATCGCGCAACTGAGTGTACCGAGTCCGCGTCAACAGCCGGCTACTGGAACTGGTGTACAGGGCCTAGCTTCCCAGACACACTCCAGTAACATCACCTATTCCACTGGGTCAGCACATAATTCTTCTTCTGGTAACTCTTCCTCTGACATCAACTTTGCCTGTATGGGAGCACAGTTTCCGGTGTCACCGTTTGCGCACAGTGCATAACTTCCAAGATGTCATAGTCTTGGCATTGATGAGCGTATCATCACCTTCTTTGGACGCACTGAAACTTCTTCCGGATTGCTTCTCGCCCTGGTCTTCATCATCCACAAAGCCACGTCGAATGGAGTCTTCCGTGCGTTACTCAAGCATTGTATACTCTCACTCATTTTGAAACCGAGTTGTGGTGACGCGTGTATCATCAATCTCAGCATCAAATGTCTGGTTCGCCAGATAACGACAGGTTACGACCAATGTACGTTTCGGCAACTTCAGGAAAAAAAGAACAAAAATAATATTCAAAAATATCGTTATAAGAAAGAAAAAGCAGCATTATGTGACGCACGTCACCTCGAAGCTCTCGAGACGTCCTCCTAGAATGAGGAGCGGGGCAGTGTCGGTTCAGTTGCGAGTGTGTATTATCTCAGAAGCGCGAGGGAAGTCAGCCTTTTAATCTCTCAGCTGAGGGGAGGACAGTGGCGCAGCCGCATGTGCGGCTGAAATTATCGGCTGTACAAATTGTTGGGCAGCCGATAAAGTACAGAGGCTTGACATGGTAGTGTTTTGCTGCCGTGTTATTAGGCCATGCCCCAGAGCTTGCATGCTCGTGTCGTTTGCCACAAGCGTCCTTTGTCTACTTGGTGTCGATCGGTGGTGAACTTTGGCAGCTGGCGCTCGGATACCGGCCCCACTGCGGACTGGACCGTTCCGCAACAAAGGTTTGACCAAAACGGGAAAACAACGTCAAGCTAAATCTTATCGGCTTTGTCAAGTTCTCCAGCTGGTTTATCTGGAAGACCGGGCTAGAGGCATTCTTGCATTCCTCAAGCGTTACATCATCGTTATACAGAAAGTGTACTTTTTTACTAAGTTCGCTCTGCTACAGTTTACAGCCATCTAAGGACTGCCAAGTCAGACTACGAAATGTCAGTTGATGATCTTACCCTACAATTAAGTTTGGTGGAATAAGTCCTTTGTTTCAAAAAAAAAATATTACAGCCCCATTTATTATTATTAATTTTATTCGCGAATTTTGCTTTTTAAAGGGGATATTAGGCTCATTTTTTTTTAAAAAAAAAAAACTGATCAGGATGTTAACGAAAAAAAGGGGGGCGGTTCGGGACTCTTACACATTGTGCTGGGAAAAGTTGGGAGGAATTTTACAGCTTATGCAAAAGATATGCAAACAAATGGTTTCATTCTCGCTATGTACTTATATTTAAACAATAGTTTCATCAGGTGTATACAATTTACGTCTGCTACTCACTACCCCAACCGCCACCGCCCGGTGATTCAATAATAACACTCTCCCCGGGACCCAGCTTTGTTGTAGCCTTGGCGCCAAGATTAACTATCCTCATCTTTCCAGTCATTTGGTCTATGACATGGACCGAGTTCAGACCGGCTTGGCCATCTTGACCACCGTCCATGCCATATGGACGACGAGATCTGCGCTCACTGAGAATCGAGCACTGCACCGGCACACGGAACTCAATCTCTCGCACCGTACCATCGCCGCCCTTATTTCTGCCACGGCCACCGGACCCTGTTCTTAGTTGAAAACGGCGCAAAATGCAAGGATACCGCTTCTCAAAGACTTCTGGGTCTGTAATTCGCGTATTGGTCATGTGCGTGTGCACCCCGCTCTGTCCTACCCAGTCCGCACCAGCTCCTGAGCCCCCTGCTATCGTCTCGTAGTATCCAAATCCCTCTTTATGTTCGCCTGTAATGGGATCTTTGCCCCCCGTCCCGAAGGTAAGGTTGTTGCAGCATCCCTGGGACGCGGCACACGCGCGGAACGCACGGAGAACAACGTCTGTCACGCGTTGTGATGTGAGGACGTTGCCGCCTACTACGGCTAGACCAGCTCCTGGGTTCAGGATCGAATCCTCGGGAATAATGATTTGAATGGGTGCGAGGCAGCCTTGGTTTAAGGGAATAGAGGATTTGACTAGACTGCGGAGACAGTAGATGATGGCGGAGTGCGTGATGGCTTTGGGGGCGTTGGTGTTGCCGAGGACGTGAGGGCCCGTCCCGGTGAAATCGAATGTTGCGGAACCAGAGGGTGAGATGGTAATTTTGAGGGCGATTGGCGTTCCGTCGTCCATGTAGTCGGTTGCGGTCAGAGGCTCGGGGCCAAATTTGGCCAGAGTGTCGCGGAGGAGCCCGCGAACAGCGTCTTCGGCTGTATGCTGAATGGCGTACATATATCTGTGGACGGAGGCGAGACCAAATTCAGAGATTAGGGCCCTAATGAGTGTGATGCCCTTTGCGTTGGCAGCAATTTGGGCCTTGAGATCAGACAGATTGTCTCGCAGTCTACGTGTTCCAGAGCAGCCCTCGTATTTAGCAGGTTCAACGAGTAATAGTCTCTTGATTTCGTCTTCATTGAAACGACCTGCGCTGACTAGTTTCGTGGATTCAATAGAGGCGCCCTCTTGCCAAAGGGCAGAGGAAGTAGGTGGCATGGAGCCCGGTAGGATGCCGCCAATATCGGCGTGGTGGCCACGGGAAGCAACATAGAATGCAAGGTTGTCGCCGTCAAAGACGGGTGTAATGACTGTTATGTCTGGAAGATGGGTGCCTCCGCAAGAAGGGTGGTTGGAAACAAGGACGTCACCGTCTTGCAGCTTTCCCTCCCATAGCTTGTGCTGGTACTGTACCGCGAACTGCATGGAGCCCAAATGGACGGGTACATGGGGCGCATTGGCTACCAGGCCGCCGTCGGGACTGAATATTGCACAAGAAAAGTCTAGACGTTCTTTGATGTTGGTTGATACGGCCGTTTTTTTCAGGGTACGGCCCATTTGCTCGGCAATGGACATGAATCTGTGTCCGAAGACGGTGAGTTGGATGGGGCTGAATTCCTCTTCTACACCGTCGGAGGATCGTTCTTGTTTTTGGAGCTTTCTGTCAATGACAACGTAGCTGTCTAGGATGGTAGCGATAGAATCAGGAGTGACGAGGATAGTCTGGGTGTTGTCAATGATGAGGGCTGGCCCAGTGATGCGTGCACCAACTGGAAGGGATTGGAGTTCGTATACACGTGTGTCTAGGCTACCGAAACCTTCAAAAAAGACTCTGTTGGTTCCGCTGGAGGCAGGGGCAGAGCTCTCTGCGGCATTCACAGATTTGAGTTGGCTGAAAGGCGTATTGGCCTGCTTGGAACCAGTGGTGCCGATAGCTCTGATGCGGAAATCATCAACGATGATAGGTTTCTCGGGGAAATGGAACCCGAAGCCTCGGCGGTGAGACTCTTCAAACTCACGCTGGAAATCCCAATCGTCTCTTTTGAGGATCATAAGCGAGCTGCTGGATCCTTGATACCTCATGCTCAGGTAGGCATCGAATTTGATGTTGTCGGGTGAGAAGCCCTGCTTAAGAAGCTCAAGTCTGGCTTGTTCAGCGAGAAGTTCCAACTGTGCCTGGATACCGGCTTGTGTGTCTTTTCCGTATGTAATGGCGGCTGGCCGCTGAACTTCGTGTACAACATCTGCGAGCGAGATGCCATAGGCGGACAGAATCGATGAGTACTTATGAATGATGATGCGAGAGATTCCAAGGACTTCCGCCACTGAGCAAGCATGCTGTCCCCCGGCACCGCCAAAGCACGCAAGATGGTGATCTGCGGCGTCGTAGCCACGAGCCTCTGTGAGAGCACGGATGGGGCCAGCCATTCCTTCGTTGGCAACTTTCAGGAAACCTAGAGCTACTTCCTGCGGTGAAAATGGAGACAGGCCAGTGAGCTCTCTATCCTTATTAATATCACTCGTCAGGTCGGCGAACTTGGACTCCACGATTTCTCGATTGAGGGGCTCGTTCTCCTTGGGACCGAACACTTTTGGGAAGTAGTCTGGCAAGAGGCGGCCGAGAAACAGGTTTGCGTCCGTGATGGTCAAAGGCCCTCCTTTTCTGTAACACGCAGGTCCGGGATGCGCAGAGGCGGACTCGGGTCCAACATTGAAAAGGCCATTCTTCCATGTCAGGATGGAACCACCGCCAGCCGCAACTGTATGGATGTCCAACTGAGGGGACTGAATGGCAATCCCGGCAGTGGTGGTTTCAAAGACGTGGTCGTATACACCAGCATATCGAGAGACGTCTGTAGAAGTGCCGCCCATGTCGAAGCCGATAATGGGACACTTCTCCTCGTCGTCCCAAGAAGTCTGGGCATAGCCCACGACGCCACCAGCCGGACCAGAAAGAATAGCCTTGAGACCGCTGAATTTGCGGTAATCGGCGAGGCCACCATCCGACTGCATAAACTCGACACGGGTGGAAGCAGACTCGAAGCCCCCACGAAAATTTGCAGAGATGGAATTGATGTATTGCTTAATAATGGGTGTAAGATACGCGTCTGCAACAGCAGAAGTACCTCGTGGCACAACATTAATCATGGGCTGTACCTCGGAGGACAACGTGACAGAGAATCCCATCTCGAGGGCCAGCCTGCCGACCAGGAGTTCATGGTCAGGGAACGCATATGAGTGAATGAAGACGACGGCCACGGAGCGGAAGCCGTCATCCCAGAGCTGTTGCAAATTTGAGCGAACAACAGCCAAATCTGGCACTTGGAGGAGACGAATGGTCTCGCCTGTGATGGCGGTGACGAGATGAGCATCGTCGCCATTCGCAATCGTCTTGGCCGACTGGGGGTCTTCGGTGTAATCCTCCATGGTCACGCGCTCGTCCACCTCAACGACTTGGTCGAAAAGGACTTCTGGGCGTGATACTGACAAATCAAAGATGTTTGGCCGGGACTGATTGCCAATGGCCAAGAGATCCCGGAAGCCCTTAGTGGTAAGGAGGGCGACCTTCTCGCCCTTGCGCTCTAACAAGGCATTGGTAGCAACGGTGGTGCCCATGCGGATGGACTCGAAGTGAAAGAGGTCGAGCGGCTCTCCCCGGGGTAGTTTCTGGTCCGTGACCAGCTCCAAGATTCGGCGAATGCCTTCTGTCGGGGCATCTTGATAATTTGCCGGGTCGACTGATAGGAGTTTGAGAATAATGTCTTTCTGTTGGGGGATGGCAGCGTGGACATCAGTAAAGGTGCCGCCCCTGTCGATGGAGACGCGAATTCCGAGGGACTTGACAGTCATGCTGGCGTCTTGGTACAAAAGACGACGTGTCGATTGTACAATGAGCAAACCCAACGCTGATGGTCCTAGATTACAATGACGTGGGAGAGGCAGTAGTATATATTAAGCCCGGGGCGGACGACCGACCTTGTCTGCATTTATAATACGCAAGTTGCAACAACCAGGTTTTCACCCCGAGGGCAGCGAACCACATTGAACGAGGAGTCGGGGGCTCTGCCATGGCACGAGCGCAGAGAGGAGTCTGAGGGCCATGCTAGGCCACCACAAACAAACAGCAATTGCTCAAGGCGACGGCGAGGAAAGGCCGTCTGGGGTAACTAACGTGAGCCAGCCAAAGGCAAGAAAAACGAGCATCTGGATTCTGGAGTCGTGATGGGACGGGGTGGGTCCGCGGATGGCTGAATGATTGATCTCGAGCGTCTGGGATTCGAGTTGTTGCCGCCAAATTGACATGTGTGGGTCATTTTGTGTGTCGGCCTGGTTTCCCGACGGTCAAGTAGGTCAAGTACTCCAGAGTCCGGAGTGCCTGCCTTCCTGTGCTGCCCGGGTTTCTGATAATGGATTGTGGGACCGATTTCGGCGCGTCAAGTCGATTGGATATCGGACCTGTATTCGAGTACAAAGGTACTTACAAAGTAGTACAACACTGTCTGCTAAAGGAAGGAGACAAGTTCGCACGCGTCCTCCAGAGACCTCCAGGGGCCATGCTCCGGAAGGGCGTACGACTAGCAGTACGGGACTTCTGATAAATCCGTTGTAAGAAAATCGCCTGAATCAACTCGTAATGCTGATATCAAGAGAATGCGATTCGCATCTCTCGGCCACGGACCGTCAGTCGAAGCCGGAGGCGGCACTTGGTTCAAGTTGGTTGGCGGACCCCCGCCCAAATGGCCAAAACGCGCTGTCATTACGGGGTACGGAGTACGGAGTACTCCAATAGCCCTTTCTGCTTTCAATGTTGCCTAGTTCTCTTCTCCCCTCAGCAATGAAAGAAATAACCTTGAGTGGCGCATCTCAGCACGTCCGCACCAACCTGCCCTTCTCCCATCTCCGTCATCTGAATTCCCACGAGCCTGCAGTCCTTGGATAACGTCTGGTCTGTCGATAACGTTGTGCGGGGACCCGAACGATTCGTCTCGGTGCTCCCCTTCTGACGGCGAATACCCCGGATGAGGCTGTTATGCGAGACGAGGCGAAACCGTCAGCGACTCAGCGCCATTGGAAAGCTGCATCAAGCTGGACTTTGGATTATGATCCCGTTCAGCTCCCTGTCAGGCACAGACGGGGTTAGCATTCTTGTCGGGGCCCCAGACCTGCTTCAACATCCACAATCTCTCCACGTTGCAACGCATTGCACCATTCTGCATGTTCCATTGTTTCTCTTTCCTATCCGCCCTCCATCATGAAATCCGCCGCAGGCATGTCAGCAAAGGCGGCAGCAACTCATGCCCAGCCCTCTGATCACGGAAACCTGCGGCCAGTTGCGTAAGTTTATTGCCGTGGACCCTTGCAGGTAGAGCGACCTCTACGCCTTCGCCCTGTCCAGCTGCCAAGAACAGCCGGCCTCAGCAGCACCGAGTAACTTATTACGGACTGACACATTTCATGGTTCATGATGCAGCTGTCTCCACTGCCGACAGCGGCGTTCTTACTGCTCCAAAGAGAAACCCACGTGCTCAAGATGCCGCGATAGTGGGTTGACTTGCATCTACGAAGGGGCAAGAAAGATATTGGTCAATGAATCGTATGTATCTTTTCCAAAGACTACTCATTTGGCTGCTGTGGTTCAAATCTGATGAGTAACGTAGATATTTGCGGGAATTAGAGAGAAAGGCCAAGGCACTGGAAGGTATGAATAGGGACCATGTGCATGTGCATGTGCTCGTGTGCATGTTGCCAGGGCTGATGAGACCTTCTCCCCATAGCAGCCCTATCACAAAGAGTGCCTACGAGTGCAAAGACTAAACATGGTGCTCCTGGCGAAGACGAGGAAGATTTTGAAGATGAGCAGCCACTGCTTGAGCCCTTTACCAATCTCAGCCTACACAGACCGTCAACTAGTATGTAATGCACCTGGCCACGACAATGCCATATTCTGAGAGACGTGCAATGGCTAAATGTGCTTCGATAGGTTTTTTGGGACCTGCATCGTCTGACATCTTCCTTCGAAATGTAAGGAAGCTATCGGGCTTTTACGGAGACGACGGCAGTCTTGATGCCAGTTCAAACTTCTATGAGCCAGGCGCATTAGCCTCAAGGCGGCAATTCTTCAGGCTTCACGTCCGTCTCCCACCAATCGAAATGGCCAGACGACTCTTTGCTGCTCAATACACATACATCGGCACCATTTTTGCCTTCACAGACCCCAAAGAGGAATTCGATAGACTCCTCGTGGAAGCATACAATGGCCCTCCTGACCCGTCGGACAAGGATGCCTGTCTTGCGTACTCCAAGGTTCTGCTCATCTTGGCCTTTGGACAATTGTACTCGGTAAATCAATGGGTCGACTTCAGAGGGCCTCCGGGCTTCGACTTTTTCACAGACTCGCTACAGCTTCTCCCCGAAACCCACGAAGAAGGGTCGATTCTCTGCGTCGAAACCCTTGCATTGGCGGGATATTTCATGCAAAACATGAACCGACGGGATGCAGCCTTTCAATATATCGGCAAAGCCTTACGCATGGCAATTTCCCTCGGTCTCCACCAGGAAGTCAGCAATCACTATCCAAACGCCACCTGTCAGGGCCAGGTTCCTGCGCTCGACGAGGCTGCGCGTGAACATCGGCGGCGAATATGGTGGTCAATATACAGCCTAGATCGCATCCTGTCCGTGAAGTCGGGGAACCCAATCGCCATACAAGACGAAGATATCGGCGTCAATCTGCCGTCAAGGCTGCCTTCAGAGCCGGAATATTGCCCTGCCGTTGTTCTCAGATACTACACGCAACTGTCTGGAATACTAGGCGAGATCCACACCCTCATCTACCGCAGAACAAACCAGGCCGTCCCCAAATCTGGCAAAAGTCTCATGGCATCTGTGCAGAGCATCATCCTGGCGCTGTCAAAGTGGAATAGGGAAGTGCCGAATGAATTGCGCTTTGATCCTATAAAACTGAGCTTCAGTCGTGAAAGTGTTAGCTACTTGGCCCACTATTATCAATGTATCAATATGACTGTTCGTCCGCTGTTATTTCACGTCGTCCAGAAACGATTGAATACAATTCGGAGCGGCGGAGGACCGCAAGAAAAGGAACGGGATTGGAAGGAAGGGCTCTCTCAGACGACAGTGAGGGTCATTGACATGTGTATTGGAGCTGCGCAAGACACCGTCAATATGATGGCAATTGCATCGCAGAGAGACCTAGTTGGTATGTTTGACATTCCTCGTCGATCAATGGCGCCACCATTGGGAAGACAAAAGATAAAAGATGACTGACTTGCGGCGTTAGCAACCTACGGTTACATGGACGGAGAACACATCTTCTCCGCATCCATTGTCCTGGTAATGGTTTGTGCCGCCTTCCCCACCAACATCGCCAACACCACGGCAATGAACGCCGGCCTCAGTCTCCTCCGGGGCATGGGCGAACGGGGAAACAGCCACATGGGCGCTCGCTACGAACTCCTGGCCAAACTGCACTCGGGCGTCATGCCAGGAGCTGTGATCCGATGCACAACTGCCACGGGATCGCCTCCCCATGGCACGGACTTCGACTCCGCGATAACAGGCTCCGCTAGTAGCATGGCGACGGACCGGCTCCCCGCGCGAGTTCCGATGCCCGCCATGGGGTCTATCAACAAAGTCGACGGCGCGGCTGAGCAGACGCTTACCTTTCCCGTGATTGATAATAGCTCGCTCGATGAGCCATTTTATGACGAGAGCGTCACGAGCGGCATGGATTTCGGGCTGTGGGAGGAGGGATTTGCATATCCCACCATGGACCTGGATTTTGACCTCGTACAGAGGCAGCCACAGGGGCAGGTGCATTCCGCTATTGGAGAATTTATGTATATGAGTAGTTAGAGTGTGGAATGACCCCGACACGTGGGAGTTGGGTGCACAGTCTTGGTGTCGACGGTTACGTCTACAGTAAGCAGGAAGGGAAACGAACAAGATTTGATCAGACCAAAAAACCGGGCCATGATAAGAAGCCATGGTATTATCTGATGGGTACCTTGCGCAGGTACCTGGTAGCCATTTGTAGCATAATGATTAGTGTACATATACTTTGCGGTACTGTAGGAAGCTATACGGGTAACCTAGCCAAATACCCGGTAGCATTTGCGGATTGATGAAACAAAGACGGAGTAGCTACATGCGGAGTACTCCGTACCTGGGTAAACCAAGACCCTGTTTTCCCCAGCCAAAACAGATCAACGGATAATACTACGTAATACCCCGTAAAAGGGTCCCCGGCAAAAATTAATGGGCCAGCATTTGAAGCGGGCAGTCACACACGACGCATGGCATAAAGCCAAGGTGGTCTCGAGAGTCGAGATGGACTGGGCGGCCAATGCTCCGTAACTGGGTTCCATATTAACTTAGGCACCTGTCCCGGGTCAGGGCTACGGTAGTTTAGGCGGCCCCAGTATTCTAGAAGGTATGTCTCAACTTCCCAAAGCTTGACTCGCAACGGCGCCGGGGGGTTGCAGGAAAAAGCCACCCCGCGCCGTTGGTACCTGGGGGAAACGCCAAGGCCCCCCCCCCGGGTGAGGAGGGCGAGTCGTCGGCGACCCTCTCCGGTCTTATCTGTCCTTGGTCCGACGTGCCGCACACCACCTGCCTGTGCCTGGGCTGGCTCTCCACACACCCCCGGATCCTGATTGTACATTCTAGATGCCAAACAGACGCACAGAGACGAATACCCGGGCAGTACTCCGTACTAGTAGTGCTACTGCTGCTCTTCAAGCGAGGGCCCGCTGGGGGTGCCATGACGCCCGCGTGGCTACAATTGCGCTCTGGATGAGTCGCGAAGCATTTATATATCTTGGTCCATCTCCACACCGTCCTCTCCCTCTCCCCGTGGGGTTTGGGATATCCTCAGTTTTTAACTGGGACGGAAGCAACAGACACGGGGGATATTCTCACAGCCTCGTCAAACAAATTTTTAATAAATACTTGGCACCCCCCCTTTTTTTTCCTGAGACGCATAGAAACCATCACACAGGTTCATAAAAAAAGAGTAAAAACCCCCAAGCATGTATCCTCCTCCGCCGGCGATGGCTGGCGCCGAAAAACGCAGAGTATCGACAGAATCGCAGTCGCAGGACGTCGTTGGGCCAGCAGTAGCAATGCAGCTCGAGACGATTGACGCGCGCGACGAGCGCAAGCTCCTCCTCAAGCTGGACGCCTTCTTCGTGCCCATCATCATGGTGGTGTACCTGACGTGCTTCCTGGACCGCACCAACATCGGCAACGTCAAGGTGGCGGGCATGCCCGAGGACATTGGCGCGTCGCCGCAGCAGTTCTCGACGGCCGTGTCCATCTTCTACGCGACCTACGTGGCGTTTGAGCCGCCCTGGACCATCATGATGAAGTGGATGACGCCGCGGATCCTGCTGACGTCGCTGTGCGTCGTGTGGTCGCTGGCCACCATCTTCTCGGGCTTCATCACCAACGTCGGGGGCCTGTACGCCGTGCGCCTGATCCTGGGCGCCTGCGAGGCCGGCCTGTTCCCCGCGCTCAACCTCTACCTCACCATGGTGTACAAGCGCGACGAGCAGGCCACCCGCGTGTCGTACCTGTTTGTGTGCACCGCCGTGGCCGGCGCCTTTGGCGGCCTGCTCGCCTACAGCATCCTCAAGATGGACGGCGTGGCGGGCTACGCCGGCTGGCGCTGGGTGTACATCATCGAGGGCATCTTCTCCTTCCTCGTCGCGCCCGTCATCTGGTTCGGCCTGCCCAACGACCCGTCCACCGCCTACTTCCTCACCGCCGACGAGCGCCGCATGATGCAGGTGCGCGCCGTCCAGAGGGCCCAGTACATGGGCAGCGACGAGTTCAGCTGGGACGAGATCCGCATCGGCCTCAAGGACCCCAAGCTGTACCTCAGCGCCGCCATCCAGTTCTGCCAGGACATCCTGCTGTACGGCTTCAGCACTTTTCTGCCCTCCATCATCGTCAGCATGGGCTACTCCGTCATCCAGGCCCAGTACCTCAGCATACCCGTCTACATCTTTGGCGGTCTGTGTTTCCTCGCCGTCGCCTTTGTCTCGGACCGCTTCTGCGTGCGTGGCCCGTTCTTGCTCCTCGCCAATGTCCCCGGCATCGTCGGCTACGTCCTCATTCTGTGCCCTACCAGCAACCCCGTCAAGTTCTTCGGCACCTTCCTCTGCGCCGTGGCCGTCTACAACGGGCCCGGCCTGAATCTGACCTGGCTCAACGTCAATGTCGCGCCGCATTATCGTCGCGCTACCGCCATCGGCATGCAGCTGAGCATCGGCAACTCGGCCGGTATTGTGGCCGGGCAGATTTACCGCAGTGCGCCGTATGTATTGGGGAACAGCTTCTCTGTCGCGGCGCTGGGCCTGTCGCAGTTGGTCATCGTGCTCAAGTGGTTCTACTTGAAGCGTTGTAATGAGGAGAAGAGGAGAATTGCTGACGGAGACAAGGATGACACGAGGAAGGTGAGGACTGGTGATCGGGAACTAGACTTTAAGTATCACCTGTAAGATGGCGGCGGCGGCGGCGGCGGCGGCGTGTGTGTGTGTGTGTGTGATTTGTAGGCCCAAGTATCAGCGAGCTGATCATAAATATACCGTCTGGATAACTTGTTGTTTGATCGTTGCGGTGTGGGCATTCAGAAAACTGGCTGACAAGTTGACGGAATGCCCGCATGCAAGTCAGTGAATTACAAAATCCCGTCTTGGCAAATTGGCTTGTTCCGAAATCTGTCAACGCCAGTAAATGCCCATGTATACACCCCTATCAAATGTAGATAAACGTATCCGGGGCCAACGGCGCAACGCAGTTGAAGACGCCACCCTGTACCAGCCAGCCAACACAAGTACCACTGAAGCCTCACAAGCCCTGGTTGTATCAGTTTCTCCCCCAATACAACACTCAAAAATGCCAAACATGAAGCGTTGTTGTAGGTATCTGGACTCCATTATCGCACGCCCGTTCAGCGTCCCAGATACAAGGAACCATGCTCAGTTTTGTTTAATATATGCGCTCTCTGCGACATGTAGCTTCTCAGTAATTGTCTGCCCAACTAGACAGACTTTCTTGGTCCCAGAATCGCCGTGGTAGGAATTTCCAGGTTTGTCGGCGTGCTTGGGTAGGAAATCAGAGCCCCGTATCGGGTGTTCCATTGGAAACACCCCTAGCTTACCGACCCGGGATTTATAAAGTCTAGGTTCAGGCTCTCATAATTCCATAGCGTCGCCAACTCGCCCAGATCTTGTTCGGTAATAGCGCCGAAATTCGCATAGTCTATGGCATGGTAAGCCTCGTCAGTTGGTGGTGTCATGTTGACATATGATGTTGAATAATCCAGCGGTGCTCCATTATAATGCAGAGTATTTGACGAGGACATTGCGGCGCCCGACGACGTTGGAGGAACCGGAGGGGCACATCCGGCGGATTCGTCAACATTGAAGTAGTGACCAGGAGGCGTGGATTGTGATGCCGGAGCGCCATAGAAATGCGCATCACTGGGCGGAGTTGTATAAGAGGCGTGCGAATCGACAGAGCCAGGGTCACTTGCGAACGCCACCTCTGTCTGATTCATACATGGGGGTGTCAGTGCGAGCTCCTTGCCCTTTGGTCGCTTTTTCGCAGGCATGATTGGTGATTTCACTTCTTGTCCAGGCCGTGAAATGTTCTGAGCAATCTTGGCCAAAACTTTGTATGAGGTTCTAGCGGTTTTGGTCACCGTATTTAGTCGCTTAAGCATTGACAAGGCCTTGTCAACAGCCACCAGCATATCGTCCCGCTTTGAAAGGCTCGAGTCTTGGTCATGCATAAGAGCAGAGCACAGAACAGCAGCTGTATCGAAAATGCAGAAAAGCACAAAGTGGAATTTGGCGTCTCGGGGATAAACGTGGCCAAAGAAGCCGTGTAAAGCGTCCAACAACCGCAGCGAGTAGTCAACGCCGTCGTCACGAATCTTGACTTCGTCGGGTGGCGATTGTTTGGACATTGGTCTGGCTAGGTAGGCTCGAATAGGGTCGAGCATCATGGACATGGCCATAGTGTGAAGGTAATGCCGATGCAGGACAATCCACGGCCGCGACGCGTCGTTGCTTGTGTCTGGATCGACGAAAGCGTAGGTCGATGGAAAGGCGTTCATCCATCTGTCAACAATGACTTGATATGCTCGGACGTCGCCATGCTGAGAAACATCCTTGGGTAGCCCAAAACGGTTGAAAAGTTGAGTAATCAGTTCTGACTGGAGTTTCATGTGTTGCAAAGGGGACGGTGTGTACCCTTCTAAGGTGAGGCTAGGAAGGCCGACATCGATATCCGTTCGATCTATCAGCACCGGTCTTGATAGGAGAGCAGATATTTGCCTTGGATCAGAATTAAAACAAGTTAGTAAATTGCGGCCCAATTTTTAGCAGCTCGCCCAGTGATTTTGACAGGCATCGAGGCCTGAAGTCCAAAACTCACCAATCCCAAGTGTCCAGGATACACCAGATCCTTCTTCGCATCTCACGATCAAACTCGGACATTTGACCGCTAACGGTTTCCTTGTGAATGCCGAGTTCCTGGGCCTCGCGGATGGCGGTGCTGAGAACATGCCAGCATTCGACAAATCGCGCCTCTGATTTGTACCAGTAGCATGAATGCAACAGCGACTGGACATTCAGTAGGTGGTTGTTGCCGACAGGAATAGCGCCGTGGAGTTCACGGCCGGCGTTGTGGTACTGCTCAGTGAGCTGCTGGGCGCTCTGGCCGAGATCAATCTCGAGTTTCCGCTCAAGGTCACTATCGGTGTACTGCGTTGAGCACGCACAAACCATGAGCAGCAGACAAGTCCACTGCATACTAAGCGGACGATTTTCTGAGCGTAGCGACCACCAGGTCTTGTATTCTTCCAGGAAGGAAGGCGGATAAATGATGTAGTAATGGAAGTTTACATGGTTGAGGAAGTTTTGGACCAGAGCATCTGCCATGCAAGGTATCAGCCGTCAGGCATCACTTGTTACTTGCCTGGGTTTTGTTGCTTGACGCGCAAGGGACTGTGAAGAAGCAAGCAGACAAACATACATACATACCTGTGTAGGGTCTAGGAGGGAGGCGGAGCAGGGCACGCTTGAGCTGCGGACATGATGAAGGGTCCATGTAGTATTGCCTAAATGTTTTCGGGACATGCTTGGGTTTTCTCTGCCACAGGTTCTCTTGTTAGCACCGCACCGAGGGACCGCAAATGCTCAACCCGTAGCAGCTGAGCTGGACTGTGTGAGCTCCAACAAACGAGGCTATGTGACATACGGTTGAGCTTGCGTTGAGGCCGGCAAAGAGATGCGAGGCGCTGTATCCCAAGGCCTCGAAACCACTATCTGCGTCCTCCCACGGGTTCGAGTCCATCGACTCCGTGTCCTCGTGACTCAATTGCCGTTTCCGAGTGAAATCATGGCGTGGAGCTTTGTCCTGACTGGGCTGGCTCTGGCCAAAGCGGCACTTGTCGGCGACTTTGCGTTTCTGGCAGTGATTGCATGGCCATTCTCGATTGCACTAGATTCGACGGTCAGATGCGACATCTTTGGCGGAGTGGTCTGTACACTACAGGACAGGAGACTTTGTGGCATCTTCTCGGGGCGAGGGAAACGACAGCTCGCTCGCAAAGGCGTGGTGGTCGAGGCTGCTGGCTGGAACGGGATGGTGAAGTGAAGGTGAGCTCCGGGGGACTCAAATACCTTTTGCTTGCGACGCTGGCACTCGGTACAGGCCGACCGGTGGTGCGTGGTGTCCTTGGGGCTCTCCGTCTCGCCCATGGCGGACAAAGGGTCGCGAATCGCGATGGCACGCGGTCGCTAGTCAGGTCGAGAGTTGAAGAGGTTAACGGTTGCCCGGATGTGGGACGGCGATGGTCTGGGGACAAGTGACAGACAGACATGGACGGATGACGGGCGGGCCAGCCAACAAACAGCACAGGCCGAAGGGCAAAGCTAAGTTCTAAAGTTGGACTGGCTTTTGACTGCCGCGGCGACATCCGGAACTAGTAGTCTCAAGCTCAGCTCTGGTCCAGATGTCGTCCAATCTTGAGCTCGAGTCGGATTCCAAGGACGGAGGGGTCAAAAGGATCTGATGAATCCCGCGACCGCGCACTGGTGGGCTGGGCATCATCGGCATGAGCATCACCAGCATGGGCATGGGCTGGGCGTGGGCATAGGCACGACATGGGTCAACTGGTCTCTCGCCTCTCGCCTCTCGTCTCTCGTCTCTCGTCTCCACGGTCCTCCCTCCTCCTCCTCCTCCTCCTCCTCCTCTCAAGTGCTGACCAGCGCCTGTGACGCCGACGCCCCTCCCGGCCTTCCTTGGACATGTTTCCCAAGCGCCGCCGGGCTCGACATGGGAACATTGAAATTTCAATCTAGATGTGTCTGCACTTTTGCGCGAACCGCCCCGCAGCCGTTAGATGGTGGGCCTTGGTGGCGCACCCATGCTTCTCCATCCACACATGCAATCCATCAATTGATCTCCAGGGATCACGCCGAGGGAGCAGCCAAGCAGCCACACGTCTCAACTGCCAGTGTGATGATGCATTGGCTGCATGTTGTCGCCAAGTCGCTGCGGACCGCACGGCCGGATGCCACCGGGGTGCTGCTGAGGGTTGAGGACACGCATGCCGCCTCCAACATTGAACCCATCATGTCGAGACATCACCAACCGGCAAGAGTCAGCGACAATCCGCCGAGGGACATGACTGCGACGCCCGAACATTTCAACCAGTCGACGACGGCCATCAACGGCCACAAGCATCTCCGTCCATCACTAGTGCTGCGCCAGCTGCAGCCACCGCCGTCGTTGCCGTCACATATCAAAGAGGAATACTACTGCGGAGTAGCAGTACGTTCTTTGCTTCTGTTGACCCCGTCAATGTAATGCAGCCGCGCGAGCTCTTGTCACTTGAAATCGTTCAGTACACGCGACGCGGGCCGGGCCCATCTTGGACGAGCCGTACGTGTACCAAGTCTGGTGTGTAATAAGGGACCCGGGGAGACATAAACTTTGGGAATCCCCTTTCAATGCTAGCAGTACTAGCTTCGGAAATATGATGGCCTCGGTAGTTTCAAGCCTAGCTATTAGTTAGTTAGTTCCGGTCTCTTGATGCTGCTTATGTAGGTCTGCCCACTTACGTAGCATGGAGTGACTCCGATGTCTGCACCGTCCCTAAATAATCTCTTATACTCCGTCAATACAACACTACAGAGTGCTACCATCGGGCCCGCCCCTAGATTGCCATTGCCTACTTACTGACGACTGGCCGCAAAGCCCTTCCTGCAGGGGGGCTGATCCCTGGAATTAGACGAGGGCCATCGTTGTTCTTGGGGCATGCCAGTGGGATACGACAGTTGGTCTGGTGCTCCTCGTGGTTTTGGCAGCTCAATTACCCATCATCGTTGACTACCTAGGCACGGAGTAGTTGAGCAATGCCGTACTCCGTACTCTCTACACCATCCCGTGACATCTCTCAACACGACAACGTGCGCCTCGTCCTACATAACGCTGCGCGAGGACAGTGTTACTGTCTGCGCGTCCCGGTTGTGTGGATAAATGAGATCCCAGGTCTCAACGCCAGGCTCGTTGGTTGATTGGTGCTCATGCCGATTGTCCCTCTGCGCTGGTGCCACACGCAACCGCCGTCATGGACATGGAAGCGTTCGCTGGAATCCGGCTCTCTGGATGACGAGGACGTCTCCTCGGCAACTCTACTGACTGCATGGCCTTCCCACTCGACGTGACCCGAAAGGACGGAACGCATGAGCAAAGCCCCCTCTATGCTGCATACCCAACGGCAACGAGTTCTCTCGGTTGGTGCTCCCTACCAGGAACAAGGGCTAGAATGCCATCGACGGGTTCAACGGTCCCACGGTCCACCACAGGGCCATGTCCCAATAAGGTCTGACGAGAATTGCCTCGCTGACTAGTCCTGCTCACACATGTGTAAATGCGACTCGGGGCCAATCCTTCGGCCCATGTGTCTCGTTATCATCTTCTCGGTGCTTTCTCCATAGAATCACGCCGGTCAGTTTCGCCCTTTGCCTCGGGCGACTGTGCTTTCCAGTATCCAGCCACTTTCGCGACGTCTTTTAGTCCATCGCTCGCTCTGCTGTTTTGCTCGTGTGCCTCCCAGGTTGTGGTCTCTGCCATCCACAATTTAGTTCCCACCAACTATCCACCTTTCCACCTTTCCACACATACTATAGGTACATTGTACATACTAACTATGGCTAAAGATCACCAAGATTATGGACTGGGAAGGAATCACCTAGGAAAACATCAGTCAGCGTCAATCGTCCCCATTTGTCACCGAGGAATTCCTGGGCACTGAACAGCCCGCACGCTCTATTCGGGATCCATGGCGTAGACATGGTGTACAAACACAGTGCTAAGAGAGCCACATACTCCGTACATTCGGCCCAAGTTGTGGTGTAGCAATCCGGAGTACTACTCCGTACCACCACTTCAGAGATATGCATGCCCAAAACATAAACTTATGCAGGCAACCCAATTTGGTCGATGCTCCATCATATTTGTCCCGCCTCGCCGGGGCGGCTCACGAACCAGCGGTAACGGGGACGTTGGAACTGTGCCACAATCCCATGCTGGGCATGATGCGAGAATGAAATTAGCCATGTTCCTCTAGCTGGGGGATGGAGGGACCCTACATTGCATATTGACACAATGTTCGGCCCCTGGCCCCCTTGAGGCCCGGAAAGGATCTGGTCCTTTCCGCAGTTGCTATCCGGAATCCGGGAGTGTATATTGTCGTCGTTTACTCCGTATCGATTGTCCATCGACCAAGTCAATCAATCGTTACAGCAAAGACTCAGAAGAAAGACAAAGTTGCTGTGGAGGGGAAGAGAAACCAAGGCTTGCATTAGCCAGTCAAAAACACACATTGTAAGACAGTCTGCAACAGGGACACACTCACTTATCTCCCATACGGAGTACAGACGACGGAAGAGATGTGTCTTGGTTACTGAAGTTCCCTTTCCCTCTCTCTTCTCATCTGTGGTTCAACGCCTTTTCAGCCGCAGTCCGCCCCCAGGAGCTGATGCTGGAATACTTGCTAAATGCTCTAATCCCTCGATGCGATTCGTTCAAGGGTCGCACGGGGACTGTGTGGGAGTCGGATTGTGTAGCCCGCCGGCCAATGCAGTGTAATGCGTCAAATATGACATGTCCTCTCTCTTCCAGTGAATGATATACTGTTGCTAACATGGATTATGTACTGATCACACCGCGCTGTAGTTGTGCTAGTCCAAGATGAGACTTCTCCGATCAGACGCGTCGTAAGGGAAGATGCAAACATTGCGCTCTAAGGTCATAGTCTTAGAGATGGGCCGAGTTTTCGCATGCCAACAGACCATGGGATTGCTCGTTCATACTGCATATCATATCTACCCACAACAGTCTTTTGTCAATGGCCTCGTTCCAATAAGGCTTGGTTCCATGCTATTGGCCGGTGTGGCGCCGCCGCAGTTTTAATTGCTTTACCGAGTAGAGTGCCACGCTTGCAGAAGCTGGAGATAGCTGTTGACTTCATGTATAATCTGCGGCTCAGCACCAAGCAGCAGACCATGCATGAGTTGTCAGAGTTATCTGGCGTGTGAAATGATCATGGCCTCCCACACACTGACAAGAAGTTGGTAGCAGGATTTTTCCAGAACATTTACGTATGTCGCTGGGAAAACTACCCGTAGGAGGGTGCCTGAAAGCTGATGGTTGGAGCATCTTGTCCACTCAGTCAGTGTTATGTCGACCTAAGTCTCGTCTTACTCGCCAAACTCGAGACCCAACGGGGCGTTTCTGGGTTCCATCTAAAACTTCTATCCAAGGTATCGTAGATATCATGGCGTGATCCGTCCCCCCCGGTTGTGCCTTTTCTTCCCTTGATTCGTCTTCACTTGTCTCTTCGTCTGTTATGTGGACTTCCTTGTCTACCAGCTCTTCTTGAGAAGATTTGGCAAAGAGGTCTTCGGTATAAGCCCAATAGGGAGTGTCGAATCTTCCATGAACAAAGACAATATTCCTCCCTTCGCCTTTGATTTTTTCTAGGCTAGCGTATGGTGTTGGCGTAATGACTTGTAGACACTTTCGTTTCAAGTCTAATCCTCGAATAAGGACGAGCCCGATTGTTCTACAGTACTGAGGATCAAGGGTTGCGTCATTGGGATTTGGAATGAATGGCAAGTCCTCCGCCGTTCTGGTGACTACCACTTCCGGAGTCATTGCGATATCTCGATCACCTCTGATTTCGGGAGTACCCGTAAATTGCCGGAAGGCTTCCGGCCCTTCAATTTCGACCATGGCCAGTATTGACCCGTTGATAGAAGCCGCTAGAAGTTCTGGGGTGCACTGGTAGTCATAAGATATAATTCCAAAAACCCCACTATTACTGCCATGATATGAAACCACAAACGGTCTTGCGGACGAAATAGCATGGCCGGACCAAGTGACCCGCGGTGGTCTCAATCGCTTGTTCTCGATATCAATATGAGAATGATAGTATGACATCATTTGCATTGACCTGAAGTGAGCAGCAGTTCTGGAGGTAAATTCTGATGGTTGCGACGGAAGCATGCTGAACGAATTCTTGGTTGCGTTCTTCAATACATCCACGACATCGGCAGGGCCATCTTCTGACATGTATATGACTTCGGCAGGACGAATCCTAGTGATCAGCTCCACAAGGAGGTCTAAACCTGTGCCCAGAATCCAGCCTGGGGTGTTTATTATAAGGGGGCAAGTACGAAGCGACCTTTGGTATGTGCCATACAGGTCGGTGGCGCAGGAGACGAGAAGATCGGGTGCTGAAGCTGGAGTAACAGACGCCAAAGAGTGGCATCTCAGAATTGTGTTCGACGGATCGTCAAAGGCAGTGTGGGTAAATGGGACTCCGAAGTTCGGGTTTGAGACGCATACGAGAGATACAGTACCAGGTGGAGAAAATTCGGGCTGTCCAGGGTCAAGGTCAAGCACTGCCACTCGTTTCACAGGATTCTCGCCATTTGAAGATGTCAGAAGGCGGTTCGTGAGCAACCTCGAGAAGGTCGACTTGCCTGCGGATTTTGGTCCACAGACAAAAGTTGTCCGCTGGCCTGTCTCTGAAATCGACAGCAAGGATGCCAATTTCTTATTCCACTCCGGTGGAGAGGCCAATTCTTGAATAGCACATCGCCTAGGCGCATCTGAAGATGAGACTATCTGCAAATATGTCAGTCAAGTTAATTATGTGGCGAGCCATTTCGATACATACTATTTGGAATGTCTGCCCTCCAGCCATGATCCCATCAACGGCCTCACTTGGCTCATTCCATATTCTCCGAAATAGGGGTGAAAGACGACCTAGCTTTCTTAAACCACTCGTATTAGGATCATTATGTAATTCCAGTTGAGTGTCTTGAATAGTTCGAATCACAGGCAGAGCCACGCAGTGGGGGGCGGAAACCCAATGTATGTTCTCGGCAGCATGTAGTGTTGCTCCTGCTAAAGTGACTTCACCGCCTACTACTCTGATTCCAAAGCTTCCTAGAACAAGAAATCTCTACAGGCATTTAGCGGCTGCATCTCGTAAATATGTGGCACAATAACATACCTCACCCTCATCCAACGTAAGCTCCAGGGCGCCCCCCGCTTTTGTTCGACAATTGCTTTTGGTTAAAGAAAAAGAGGAATAACTAATGGTCTGGGATAAGGTAGCGGAGAATGAAGATTGTACATCTTCTGATATTTGATTATTTGGCAATCGTCTTGAAAATTGTCAGAAGGAGGTCGTCAAGACGAGGCAGTTTGTGCTCAGCTTACTCGGCTGCCTTTGGATCATCCGCCGCTAGGAGTCGACGGCCATCATTTCGGAGTTGAACACTCTGTTTCGAACTCTTTTTAGGAGGACGAGTAACATTTCTATCAGGCCTAAGAGTCTGGAGAGCGCTGAAGGAGTTTATACTCGGTGTCGACGGCTCTGCAAGGTTTGCAGGCTCAGTGGCTTGGCTTTGGGCCACAGAAGCAGCTTGCCGTCTACGAGCAGCAATTGCACTGACGGCGCTGACCGGAGCTAGAGAGAAAGGAAGTGTTAGCGTAGAAGACCTATGGCACGACTGGTTTTCATTTTACTAGAAGATTAATAAAAGGAAGAGGTTAGAGGCGTGTGGTTCGTACACTGAGGAGGGCCTTGACCATCCAGCTTGCGACGCTTACTAGACGACATGCTTAAGTCGTGCAATTCAAGTGCAGGCTCTTAAGAGCCTAGCCAGGGTACTGCTAGAAATTAAGGAAACAAGGCTGCTTTCTTACTCCAAGGTAAGACTTCGACAAGACATTCAGGCAAAGAGCGGCTAGGAGAACCAGCGACGAAGAAGGTGATGTTTCTTATCGATAAGCACAATTGCTGCAGGCTTGGCAGTTTTTCCCTGCCACTCACCTTTAAAGACCCTGAACGCGGCGCGAATGTGGGGCCTCGCGCAGAGCCGTCGCCAAAATTTCACAGCTCAAGTGCTTTCGCCAGTCTTCAACCTCCCACTTCTTCAACTCAACAACCTGGGATACCAGCCAATTGTGCTCTCGCAACAGCACATTGAGTGCACCCCTCTCGTCCGCAATGGCACCCAAGAAACATTTCAAAGTTCACTCTTTGAACAAGCACATTGAGGACACGAAAAAGGGCCTCAGTGCTGAAGCTCAGTACAACAAACGACCCATCCCCAAGTCGAAAGTTTCGATCAAGAAGGAACCCGGCGCTATCGACAAGGCCATTTTCGGCAACGAGTCTGAAGACGACGAGAGTGGTAGTAGCAGCAGTGAGAGTAGTGATGAAGACGGCCCCGACTTTTTGCAGAAGCTTCAAGTTTCAAAAACATCCAACACTGCAACTCCCAAGAAGCCCGCCAAGAGAGACGAAATAGCCGACAGCGACGATGAGCGCCGGTCGACCGCCAAGAATGTCACGTCTGCCAAATCAAAGCGACCTGTACAATCTGGTGCGCCTTCATCGGATGACACTAGCAGTGAATCCGAGTCCGAATCAGGATCTGGGGCTGAGTTGAAGTCAGTCAAAGGTGAACAGAAAGTGAGAGCAAACGGAGGGCCATTGAAAACTGAGGCTCCATCCAGCTCTGGCTCCACCTCTGGTTCTGATGAGGAAGAGGAAGAAGGAGATGAAAGCAGTAGTGACGATGAGCCAGATAAGAAGGCCACTGCGACAAAAGTCAAAGGCTCGACCTCATCGGACCAAGAGTCTAGCGATAGCGCCAGTGACGACGAAAGTGACGACGAAGGTGAGCCAGCGGCTTCAAAAAAGCCCAAGGCAGCGATAACGTCGACCAATGGCACTTCCACAGCCACCACTTCGGAGACAAGCTCCAGCGATGAGGGTACTGATGATGAGGATCAGACGGCCGTCCAAGCAAAACCAGTCGCTACGAGGAAATCAGTTCCCGAAGAGCCATCAGATGATGCATCCGAAGACTCGAGCGAAGAAGACGCAGACGTGTCTATGCACATTGCTGATCGTCAACATGATCCTCGGGCCACTGTCCCAGACTTTATCGCCCCAGATTTTATTCTTCGCAAGAGTGACGGTGGGACCAACGGACAGGACGTTGCTCGTATTTGCAACCAGGCCAATCTGCAAGGGAAACAAGTCTGGTACTTTACGGTGCCAGCTAACGTACCCATCTCAGTTGTGCAGAATATGGAGATTCCTATGAACCAATCTCAAAGCGGCGACAGCGTCTTCTCACATGATGGCGAAGACTATGGCATTTCTATGGACAGTATGACTCCAAAGAGCTCGATTCAAATTCTAATACCCTCTTCTGACGGAACGCGATATCAATCCGGTAAGGCTTCCCTAGCACGCTCTTGTCCTATCTCAACTTAAATAACAGCATGGCTGACCGGGATCTCTGTTCAGCCTCCCGACCAATCGACCAGGTAATGCAAGTCAAGAAAATCACACAACTTGGCCAGGGTTCAGGAGCTACTTCTTCTGTCGGCCCTACTCCGAAGCCACCGGCTCGACAACAACCCGAGGGCCTCAAAGCCAGATATCAACCTTATGGAGTCACTAGTCCCATGGGTCAAATTGGTGTAGATGCATCCTTCCACATTGAAGATGATACAGAGATGGCTGATGCTCCTGCTCCTGCTCCTGCTCCTGCGATACTCGCTGGCAGCGCACAGAACAAGTCGGACAAGAAGGAAAAGAAAAGGAAGGAAAAGGGGGAGTCTGAGACGCCAAGAAAGGGAAAAAGAAAGCACGTTTCTTCTGAGGATGATGCGGTCGCTGCTACAGAACAACTTATGGGGGAGAACTTGTCCGCAGAAACCAAAACAAAGAAGCAGAAGACTGAGCGCGTTGGGAGTCCCGATCTCGGATCCGATGCGCCTCCATCGTCGGCTGTTTCCAAGAAACAGACGCTCCTTGTGCCCCCGGCGATTCCGGGGTCAACGCCCTCGTCGAAGTCCAAGCGTAGCAAGTCCAAGCCTGAGACTCCAGCGTCAAAGCCTCGTGAGACGGCAGTTCCTGTCCCTCAAGTGCCAGGATCCTCTCAGCACAAGGTTTCTCCTGTTCCCATTCCTCAACCTGGTGTAGCCTCCACGCCTGTTGCAGACAGAGACAGCAAGAAGTCCAAGAAGAAGAAGACAAAGACTCCTGATGCCACGGCAAAAACTCAGCAGAGTCCTCCTCCAAGTGCACAGCCAGCAGGCAGAAACAGCAAGATTAAGTTGACTCCTGTACCGATGCCAAAGCTGAAGACCACAGGCTAGTCACCTCGACCCGGCTCTGGGCAACAATTTCGCTGGTTAAAGAGCACCGGGCATCCATGATCAAGAGCTAATCCCTGCTAACGAGTACTGGTTCCGGAAAGAAGGTGATATTCCGCATGGAATTTTTTGTTCCCTCGGTCAGGAGAATCGACGAGACGGGCTATCCAATGATATCAAGGATAGGTTGGCTATTCTGCACAGCTACGGTGCCCGGCGTTTTAAGGATATGGGCTACATTTGGCAATCCTTTGGTTGCGATTTTGATTCTGATTGTGATTGTGATTCTGACTCTGATTTTAATTTTTGATTCTTTTTTCCCTTGGCTATTTGGACTCCAAGAGCAGTGTTTGTGCTCGGAGATGGATGAAGGGGATGGATATTGCGGAGATGACCGTATAAAGGTCCGTGGCATAGGATTGAGGTAGTGAAATCAAGCAGGTAACACTCTCAAGTTAAACTGTTTACGGTCCTCGACTCGTGGTTGCTATTGGATATTGAATGTGATGTTGCCTCCTCAACAACACATCTAGTATTGAAGTGGGTATACATATGATGGAATCGACTTGTTCAAACAGCAGCTCTGTGCGATTCAACACCCAACACTATCGACATGAAACGTACATGCGCGACGTAGCGATGGACAAGAGCTGACGGAAGCAGGACGACAGCATCCAAGAGAGTAACCACCAGCACCTACATATTTATCTACATGTAGAGTTCAAAAGGCGCCGGCAGCTACAAAAACATCCATGGCCCGGCAGCACATCACCCCTCGGGAAAAGAAGCGACCGAGCTTGCCAAGAACAAAACGCAGCACAGGAACCAAGGCCCGCTCCGTACGTTTAATCTTAAAACAAAAAAAAAAAAAAAAAATCGTGAAAAGCAGCTCCTCCATGTTTGGCCCGCGAGCAAGGGCACACTCGAACACCCGTGCAACCAACCCAACAGGCCTGAACAAGCATGAAACTCGCCCTCCGCATCAACCCCCCCTCGCCACTGTCACACGAAACGAAATCCTTCCCACAATGCCGAAAAGAAAATCAGCCATGCATCCCGACGAAACATGCCGCATGTGGCGCTCTGTGCCTTGCATCTCGGAACAAGGGTGACGGGGTGACGGGGGGGAGCCAACCATGCCAGCATCTGGCCATGGCCTGCCGAGCATCAATGTCAAATTCATCAAAATAGTACTCCATACCAGTGACATGAAATGCGTCTTGTTCCTTGCTTTAAGTACTTTTAGGCAGGGCAGATTGCGAGCGTCCGTGCCCCGTGCGGGCTTCGGAATACATACGTACCAGGCAGCACGACAAGACGAAGAAGCTACGAAAAAAAGCAATAAATTGAAAATCAACAGTACTAGTAGCAATAACAAAAATGCGCAGCTTGCCGTTGGCAAATGCGGCCGTGGAACCGGCACACAGGACGGGCCTGGCAGTGCTGGTGCTGGTGCTGGTGCTGGTGCTGGTGCTGAATCGGGTTACCGACGCAGGTCTTGGCATGCAGACAGACAGACATTGATAGTTTCTGCTTCCCGCAGCAAAAGAAATAGAAATAGTATGTAAAGCGACTGTTCCGAAATCACATCTTGCGAATAGTCGCACTCCGCACAACTACGTACATACATGCTACACACACACATCAAAAAGGTGCATGGATAAAAAAAGACGTCGGCCTTCATCTCCACATGATGAAAGGAGCAAGGGAGCCGCCCAAACAATTGACAGTACCGCAAGGCCGCCCCTGCTCACCGAGAAACAATGTCGGAAATAATGGTGGGGGTGGGGGGGGGGGGGGGGGGGGGGGGCCGCTATATTTGGGTGTTCACGGCCGTGGCGGGTAATTACAGAAGGGGGCTACGGGTTCATATTATGCATCAAATGCATGTTTGCGTGTCTAGAATGGCCCATCTGCCCGTGTGTCTTGACTTGATCAAGCAGCCGCTTCTCCTGTGCTCAATGGAGCTTCTTGTCGGGCCCGATCCGATATTGGTTCGCCGAGCAGCATTGCGGACGGAAGAGTTTCTGTCGGTGACGAGCCCTCTTTTTTTTTTTTTTTGCAAACCTTTCTACCGGCACTTGGATTCCTCGCCGCCTGGGCTGGGTGGATGCGCAAACTAGGAGAATTATGCAAGACCAGTAGACGGCCAAGGTGCCTGGGATCGGTGACGTCGGTTCTTTTGCGCGTGCTGCGGGTGGATTTGTTGAAATACAATGTCCGTTCGATATGACTTCTCCATACATCTGTGTGCTCCGCACTCCGTAGTAGTGTATCGAATTTATGTACAGAGTGCGATTTATTCAATTCAATTACTACTACATTACTCTTGGCCCCGCCTAGACCCAAAATCTGGTTTGGGTTGTAATGACCGGCAGAAGTGACCAAGGCTGACACTGTCGCCCTATTTTCCACAAACTTTAGCCATGCAGAGCTTCCCAGTGCCAGCTACCCACATGTAGCCGGTATTCTAAAAATTACACAGAAAAGAAGGCATGCGTACTTTGTAACGATTAATTCTTCGCCTCTTCCCCAGTCAAATTGCCAATCGTCATCGCCTCTTCTAACAAAGACCCAAAACAGGCATCGGACATGACACGGCTTGACAAGTACCCCAACTGCTCCGTATGTTGGTGGACAATAATACCAGATACTACTCTGCAGTGCTAGCTGACAAAGGGATGGAGTCGTGGGAAATTGCTTCTCTGCCCGACTCGCCTGGGCTGACGTGATGGAACCAACAGCTAACCCACTTTGAAGGCGATGCCAAGACTCATTGTGTATTGGACGTGTGGCAGACAGTCGAGTATACATATTAACATGAATACGCGTGTTGATCTACGATCGACAACGCCTGTCAAACTGTTCCGTGCCGAAACGACATCCCCATTCCACTCCATGCAACAAGGTTGGGCCACGCCGCTGGATTGCAAGGCGATTCCACCATTTTTAGCATCATGGGCCTTTCCATCTGCCACTGCGCAAGCGCTGTCAAATGTCCTCGGCGCATTCAATCGTATGACCCCCCGGCCAGAGAGCCCTTCACTTTTGCAGGCCAGTTGTTTCTGGATTGCATATGTACCTACTTTAGGTAGTACATACATACATACATACGCCTGGGCGGGGTATCGTTTCAAGCTTCTTTGGCCTTCTGTTTGTGCATCGCGGTGGCGGCGGTTGGCGGCGACTGTTCATGTGAGTTGCGAGAGAGGACGAGGTACAAAGGCGGCATGTACCAGTACCGCCAACATCAGTCTAGAGAGAGCACTTGAGCTGTTTGAGCTTGTGTGTGCTCCCTTGAACGCCAAGGCCACAGGTGGCTGGTGGTGCCAGCCCGCGAATTCCTCATGCGTCTGATGCTCAGCATGGGAGACACCCAGGCAAAGGCATGTCGAGGCTCAGGCCCCCTCCGGTTGGCCTCCAGGCCTCGAAACTCCCAGCCAAGAGACCACATGCATCAGCCAGTGGCATGCAGACCGCCAGCCGTACTACCTTCGAGTATTCAATGTTCCGTGAAGGTTGTGGGCTGGTCCTGCGGCTTGCATGTCGTCATCCGTTTTGCCAGCACGAACCCTCTCGGTGCACCTCTCGAAAATCTACTCGCGCTACCAGAAGCCACCATTGGTCTCCGTCCTGCCGTCGTACGTACCATCATGAAGAATCGCCTTGGCGTACCGAGTGGTTCCAACGCGCACACGCTGGTCCCCGCCCTCAGGACTCCTTTTTCGCATTTTTATCGTCGTCGTGCGATGCTACAAGTATAGTACTCTTGATGCTATGTACTCTTGTTGGGTTGGTCGACATGCAATGAAAAAGGTGTGCTGTTGATCTTCAAGCATCTCTGGACCGTGCTTCCGGTCCCCGTTGGTTGGATTTGCTCGATAAATAGGGCATTCTTTTTTTTTGGAGATTAGCCATGGAAATCAATTAAGCCCGTCTTTCAGCTTGCGTAAGACTTTGGCTGTCTGGAGGCTGTCCCGCGACCGCGCGCCGCCCAGACCATGAAAACAGCCTTGTCATCAACCATGGGGAAATTGCCCTCGCAGGGGTCGTCATGCTACACATGCGACAGTCTCGTGCTCTGAAGCCCAATTGACATGACTGTCTTGACTACCTAGGTAGTATTTCAAATTGGCTCAGCGCTGTCACTTCCGTGGTAAACTCAGCCAGGGGGCGTGATGGTGATGCCCGGTGCCACTGAGCCGCCTGATGAAATGAGAACCATCCATCCATACATCTCGACATGCTCATGAGCCAGGCCTCCAGGTGTGCTGACAATGTTGTATGAGATCTAGTTTTGGATACCAAGGCCCAGTCAGTGGATCTAGATTGTTTCCGACAACAGGGTCCGAACCTGGTGGGCTGCCTCGCTTGCTGATGGTAGCTGACGGCAATGCCAGCAGGCCATTGATTAATTGCCCCCCAATGCTTGCGAGCTCCTGATGATGACGGAACCCCATCAATCTAATTGCTGCTCCGGCTCTGCCGCCCGGGGAGTCAGAAGGGGGTTACGGAGTACGTACTTGTGGAAGCTCGACACACAGCAGCTCCAACCGTCCAATGGTTATCGTGACTGCTCGCCTCGTGGCTGTTTCCTATGGAGGCTTGTGCCAAGAATCGATTTGTTGTACAGCATCATCTCCGCACGGAGTACGGAGTAGTCCCGTATCATATCCGGAGTGTATGATGGTCGGATAGCTCGGGATGGGCCACTAGGTTTTTGCGCGGTGGTTCGCATTCCTCGGCTCGCACCAGATCTAGTCTGTCTCACACCGCAACTGACCTGCCACCAAGTTGGCGATTCTGTCTAATCTTCTTGAACTCCGTACGGAGGAGTACCGTGTAGTCGAACGTCATCTGGTCCCAAGCGCTTCTTCTCTGCGCTTGGCATATTCAGAACATGTCTCAATATAATGCCATCTGAGTTGTTCCACCACTTCTGCGCTTCGCCCTTAGTACTACTGCATCAGTCGCATCTGCCTCGCATTTCCCCCTCTCTTCAA